GCAAAATAAAGTGCAATACACACTGTATAGGGTATTCTAGAGAGGACGGCAGGATTTAGTCCATCGTGGCCGCTCGCCCCTCGTCTTGTGCTCCAGGAGACATAACGTGGGCGCAGCTGGCTGGTCTAGCCTCTTTTGCATGTCGTGGGATGTTGGAACCACACACCACACTAGTGCCCAATTGAGAAGATTGATGGAATACCAATCAATAAGTGGATTAATTGAGGTCCGAGGTCTGACCTCTCAAGAAGAGAAAAGAGGGGGGTGGGTATCCCCAACTCTACATACATATGCCAAGGAATCAGTGGCCCCTGTTATCTCATATGACTCATGTCACATGATGCCAGGGCACCCATGTCCTTCTGTCCAAACACACCTCCCTCAGCTTGATTACATAAGAAAAGCTGAAATACCAGACATGGTGACCGTCCATCTCAATCCAATGATCGACTATACCCACTTACCTGAGCCCCAGGCTCGTCCGGAATGACTGGAATGACCCCTTTGGGAGGTTCTTTGTGAAGCCATCAGCTCGTTGCTTAGCAGTCCCAATCCATTCTACGGTCAATCGTCCTGCTATAGTTTCCTGCCTTACCCAGTGTTGATGGATATCCACATGTCTCAAAGCCGTATTGAGTAACCTATGCTTGTGATTGGCGATATCTACTGCTCGTTGGTTGTCACAGAAAACCTTGGTTCTACCTATAGTTCCATCCTTGACAGGCTCCCCAGATGGCTTATTTCCAGGTGGAGGTGGAAATACCTTGTCAAATTCAGAGAAAAGTCGAGTCCACTAGTACCTATTACCTGCAATTGATAAGAGTGCTAGCAACTCTGCCTCTGCGGTTGATTTGGTGACTGTCTTCTGCTTGGTTGCTTGCCAATCAATAGCACCACTATACATCATCATCAAGAATCCCTGTGAACTCTTCCTGTCCGGGTTGTCACCAAATGAAGTATCTATATACAGCTCCATCTTGGGCTTATCCCTATAGAAGTGCAACTTCATGTCCTTGGTACTATAGAGGTAGGCAATCAGGTGATTGGCAGCTTCTATATAAGCTTGGCTTGGATTCTTCAGAAATTGAGAAAGAGTAGCATGTGCCTTTGCTACATCCGGCCTTACCAAAACAGCTGCATAACCAATTGAACCAACCTTTATCTAATATCCTTTGATGAAGTCAGGCCTAGCTGTATCAGTAGCAGGTTCCAGGTTTCTAGTAGGAAGTGGTATATCTGGGAATCGAGTCCTCTTATAAACACCAAATTTGATACCAATCTTTGTCAGGTAGGCAGACTGGCACATAGTCAGGGTTTCCTAGTCTAGTGATTCCAGGACTTCTGTACCCAGAAAGAAGGATGGCTCTTTCTGAGTAACCTCAAAGTTAGAAAGCAGGTACTGGTTGAACAGGATAGCTTGATCCTCCCTGTCCCTCTCATAAATCAACCTAATATCATCCACATAGAATATCATAAGCAGGTAGAGATCCATGTTCACTATCAGATAGTCAATTCCAGGAACCAGCTTAAAGCTATAGTCTTCTATCCTTATAACAAACAGGTCATACTACAGGCGAGGTGATTCAGCTAATCTATAGAGTGCTTTCTCAAGGATGAAGCAGGCATCTGGTCCAAATCCATACTCCTCTATCCCTTCAGGGATTGAACAATATACAGTATAAGGAATGGTAGCATTTAGGAAGGCATTCACTATATCCTATTGCCGGGTTTTCAGATTCCTTGCAAAGGCCAGGGCAGTGATAGCCCTGAATACCTTGTACCTAAGTGTAGCCGTATAGGTTTTATGGGTTGATAGCAATTGAAGATCCCTACGGATACAAAGCCTAGCCTTGTACCTGAGAATCTCACCAGTTGATAGGTCTGTCTTGTAAGCAAATACCCAGACCAAAGGTACCTTATAACCCTTATAACCAAAGAATACCCTAAATGTCCTCTTGCCTATAAGCTTTCCAGCTTCATCAACTGCTGCTTGTCTGAATTGTTGATAGTGGATATGCCTTTCCATCTCTTTCCAGTTAGCAGGGGGTAACAGTGAGCTTATTACTTGGTAAGGTTCTTTGAGATTGGGTAGAGTATAGGCTTGGAGGGAAGTAGCAGCTGCAGAACTCAACTCATCCAGGTAATCCTCTAACCGTCCAGTTCTATAGTCGATCCATCGTCTATAGTTGTCTATACTGTACCAATGGGTACTCTCTTCCACCTCCCTATCTGAGGCAGGGTGATAAGAGGCCGAAAAAGCGGGTGTTCCCGGTAAGGCCCCCGGGGCCTAACCAACTTGACCTTGGTTGGCAGCTACATTGTCTTCATCTCTAGCGGGTGTTTCTGGTAGTGTTGGGTATAATGACTCTTGTTCCTGTTGTGGCCCTTCACCTCCCTACTGTTCATTACCTCCCTGAGGTTGGACAGCAAAGACCGGAATATTGTTGGCTAGAAAGGGGTCATCTATAGAACCATCAGAAGTTAGAGATTCCTCAGGCATTAAGATAGAATCAACCACAGTCTGGTGAATAGCAGCAGGAACCAGTTCTTCTAAGGTTTGTCTATTGATGTCCAGTGGATTGTATCTCTTATTGTCTTTAAAGACTACATCCCTCGTCCTGATCACCTTGTTCAGGGGTGAAGGAATCCAGATCCAAAAAATATTGGTAGAGGCATACCCAATCAGGTATCCAATGTAAGCTCTCTCTTCTATCTTGTCTCTCTTAGCAATGTCTCTGCGGAGAGCGAAGGCCTTACAACCAATAGGGTGGAGATAGCCAAGGAAGGGTTTCTTAGTTGTGACTTTCTCAAATAGAGTCATCCAGTTGAGCTTGGCAGTAGGGGTCCTATTGAGTAGGTAAACAGCTGAATCTATAAGCTATAGCCAGAGTGTCTTTAGTAATCGACCATCAATCCTAAGAGTCCTAGATTTAGTAACAATCTCTCTTCCAGCAACCTCACTTGCTCCATTCTGAGCAGGGGTACCAGCAGCAGTAGGTAGAGTATTGACCCCCTGCCTGGTAATGGCTTTGCCCGCATCCTTTCCTATAGTTGCTTCTATATCACAGCGAACCAGGATGGTTTTGGCACTAAAGGACACTTCCATCTTCTTGAAATGTCCTGGAAATTTGGCAATTGCTTGTGGCTTGGTTGCTACAGGATCACCAACATAATAGCCCTCCTGGTTATAGTACTAGTAGCTGTAAAACTTGAAGACCAACCCATTTGGTCCAGGGAGAGAAGGGGTTATATCAATAAGATCCTATGAACAGACAGCTATCTTGGCATTCTCTGCCTCAGGCAGCACTTCCCTATGCTTGTCTTTTCTCCTTGAGATCACTGCTTTAGCCTTGGCCAGCATGCATGTATCACAAGTAACACTATTCAGAACCTCCTTGTCTGGTCCTGTCTCAATTACCTGGCAACCCTCAGTTGCAGGTTCCAAGTGCTCAATAGCCCTTACAGATGGGTGGCCTAGCAACTGATGCCATTGATTGGCCGTTGCTGTCAAAGGTGGGAGTGGTTGGTAACTGGATTGTGCAGCAGCAACAGATCCAGCAGGTGACGTTGATGCAGGTAAGGTTGATTTCCCCGCATTCTCGGAGTGTGGGGTGCATACAGACTTCACCTCCTCCATTTCAGTACTGATTCCTCCAGATAAATCAGTAAGTCTAGTGGTTCCAGCAACACTTCTTGTTGTAGGCAACCGTTCAATAATCTAGTGACCGTATCTGCTATTACTGTGTTCAGGTTTGAGGTGTGCCTACAGTCTGGGTTCCTCCTAGGGTTAGCCAGTAATCAACCTATTAGGCCAGTTTCTAGTGTTATAGTGGATTCCCTTTGTGTTAAGAATCTGCAATGAGACCAAACTTGTGAAGAATCCCGGAATGAGCCGGGCATTAAGGAGAGTGAGCTTCCTTGTCACTCCATTCCCTATATCCAGATTGATAGTGGCATTAACAATTGCCTCAGGTTGGTACCTTTTGTCCCTAGAGATTACTATATCAGAGGAGGTTAGTAACTCAGACCTAATGATCCTTGCCCTTATAGATTCGTTGATAATGTGAATATTGGCACCACTATCCAGAATCACTGCGTTGTAGAGCCGGGTGTAACCAATTGATCCAACAGATACGGGTTCCAAGGTAGCAGCAGCGGTAGTATCTTCGAGTTCTGCGGCTATGCCCTTGTCCTTAGTGTCCTTGCCCTTCGACCCTTGAGCAGCGTTGTATACTTGAATTGCTTTGTCTACTCTCTCTTTCAGGTTCTTGTCCTCCTTGAATCTCTTCTCAATCTTCTTCTTAGTATCATCTCTTAGCTTCCATGCCTCAGGCCTCGGATACTCGGCATTGAGGTAGTAGCATTCCTTCCACATGTAGTTCCTACTATAGAGACATGGTTTGCTTGGTCTTGAAGATAAGGATCGGGTTAAGGACGAGGATGATTCGGTTGCAGCGGCGGTTGAGATGCTAGCGACGGTGGTTCTGTGCTTGCTCTTGAATTTGGTGTCTCTATTGTACTGAAAGTAGGACTGCCAGGCTCTCAATTCTGAATGGAGAGTTGTCACCTCCCTATCATTCTGCTTATCAAGCAGCCTCCCTGTCCTTGTGGCTATATAGTCTCTATATATTGGAGCTATAGAAGACAACCATGCTTGGGTAGATTCATTGTCTGCTTGTGTACCAACAGCATCTCTCTTACTACACCAAGTGAACCACAGGTATATATAGTCATAAATGGACTTTCTATATAGTAGGTAAGAAAGGGTTTCCAACTCTTTCTTCAGCAACTGAGTAGCAGCAAGGGTATTAGGCTTAGTGTATTCTGAGAGAATCTTGAGTATCTGCCTGATTGTCTTACAATTGATTACCCTATATTAAAGGTCTGCAGAGAGAGATTAGTTAATAATTGATTCAATCTTCTGGTACCCCCTTTGCTTGAGTTCCTATACATCCTTGTTATACCTATGCTTGAATTGAGCCAGACTAAGAGCTGTTGGGGTAACATCAGTAGGTAGAGCCGCAAAGTCAAAGACAGGTTGTCCTTTGAGCTGTATTGGGTTTTCTGGATCTGGCTCAGCTGTCTCTGGATTGATATCAGCCTATATCTAGAGCTTCACTACCTCCCTCTTGATATAGGTGATCTACACATTCCAGTCCTACTATGTGCGCAGCTTGGCAATCGACGTCGTCGTTGTTGAGGGTTCAGAAGAATCAGCTATAGTGTCTTCGTTGAATTCGTCAATCCACTCTAGGTAGGCAATCTGAGAAATGGCTTGATTCCTAGGATACGAGCCGCTAGGTGTCTCTTCTTCTAATATAAGCTGACTTGATAGTCCTTCTTCAACCTCTTGAAAGTCAGGTGTCGGGGATCGAGATCGATTGCTCAATAGGCTCTGGCTTTCTTCTCTTTGTCTGGATGAACGGGTTTGGGCCGGCATAAAGTGATGGTGTGCGGTCTTCGGGTTTTCTTGATACAGCGGATTTTGATCAATCTCAGGTAATTCTGGGAGATATCCAGTAACCAATTGATTCCTTTGATTAATCAAACAGAGCTAGCCGGGCTCATAACTGTTGGAACCACACACCACACTAGTGCCCAATTGAGAAGATTGATGGAATACCAATCAATAAGTGGATTAATTGAGGTCCGAGGTCTGACCTCTCAAGAAGAGAAAAGAGGGGGGTGGGTATCCCCAACTCTACATACATATGCCAAGGAATCAGTGGCCCCTGTTATCTCATATGACTCATATCACATGATGCCAGGGCACCCATGTCCTTCTGTCCAAACATGGGAGAACAGTGGCCATATTGCCTGACGTTGCCAGCGCCGGTTCAGCAAGTAAATAAAAAAAAAACAAAAAAAAACAAAAAAACAAAACCAGAAAAATCCAGCAATCAATGCTTCATCTTCCTTCTTCTCTTGCGCCACATCAAACGAGAGAAGGTTCATGGCCAGTGTATGGGGCACGTGTTTCGGTTGGGGCTTGGCGGTGTTTCTGTGTGGACTACGGAGAACCACGAACCTTGAACTTACATATCATCAGCCGCTACATCCTATCTGCCTTGCCGTCGATGTTGGACAATGTACTTGTACCTACCTACATTAAGATATGTTACCGTACCTTATGTACAAGGTACCTAGGACATTTCGCACCAGAGTTGCTGGGCGACATCAAAAGACAACACGCACAGTACAGAAGAAGTTGGAAATCCATCAGCACTCATTTGGACAAATACCATGTACTGTGCTGTAATACCTGACATTTATGATGTCGTTTACTTTCCAAGGAGCAAGACCTCAGCTTTTCCCGTGCAGTGCTACATCACACCATCGTCTTGTCCTTGCTTGACGACCTCCACCATACGTCGTTGCATTATTAGGTTATCCAGGCGCGCGGCGTATCGGACCGCTTCATGCATATGCTGTGTAGGGCGATAGGAGGTCGGGTAGCTTGAGTGCATCTCGTCGTACTTGTGATTTCATCCCAAGGTCCAGTGGGGGTCTGTATGTCTGCTGTCTGCCGATCGATCGACCGTACCAAGTACCTCCGAAGACTTCAATGTCTACGGCAACGTGGTCCTCGGACATGGATTTGCTGATCGGCTGAAGTCTCGGATGCTCTTCCACGCGCAGTAGCGGTGCCGGGTATGCCTCTTCCAACGGCACTGCTTCAGTCTCCAAACTCTGAGAGGCAGAGTATGCCAGACCAGAGACATCCAGGTAGGAGGTACATGTATTCCACATGTGAGTCCTATTCCGCTTCCCAGGACAGTCGATGCATCGGGGCACTCGGCTCGCAGCCCACCATCATGTCCCCATTCTGCCCGTCGTCCGCCCATCTGGAGCCTAGGGCTGTGTCAGTCGTCGAATGGGATGGCGGTCCAGGTTACGCAGCATGGCAGAAAATGATGATGCTGGGCGTCGGTCGGTGAAGCTCTTGGGGATTCCACCTCTTCCCACCATGTGGCGGGCTCATGTTGCCATTCCCGGGAGCGTCGCCGCCGCCAACATCATCTCGATCCCTTGCTGCCACTGATCCCGTCATCGTTCAGTATTATTATTACCTACCTAACCTATACATGGAACTACATGTAGCTGTGCTGGCCTCATCTCTCACCGCTCGCTGGCGCCTCTAGCATTGGCATTTGGCAGCCGACTAGCCAACCGTCCAACCCATGCCGTCGGCACTCCGACCTTCTCTCCCTGGTGCCGCGCCGCAAAACTCTGCGCACTGTCTTGGTGCCCTTGCTTTGCTGCGAACCTTCTGCATCGTTCCGCGATCCCGAACCGGCTGATATGCTCGCGTGTTTGTCGTGCGGTACATGCACAAATGAGGATCTGATTACAAACTTTGTATGTATGTATGATCATGTACCTACCTAGGTAGGTATGGACTACATATGTACATGTACATGTATGGTCCTAACTCCTATGCAAGTTGCAAATATGGATGGCTCGCCGGGTCGGTCAGCTTATCGGCACCGACTGCCGGTACTACTGTTAGGAGGTCGTCCCATGACAAGGCTCTGGGACACGGCAAACGGCGACGTTTCCAATCAATTCTTGTCTACCCGACCTTCCTTCAGGTATCCATATTATTTATTGCCCGACCCACTGCCAAATCAATGCCAACTGCCCTAGGAGGTAGGAGACACTACAAGTATCGGCTCCACAGAGTCTCACACGGCTGTATGTAAACGAGACCATCCTTACAGAACCGTGCACACGGGCTCCCGACCGCCGTTGTTCTCGCGTTTTCACTTTCCACCTCTCTTGTCTCTCTCCCATAGGACGGGACCCATACCTACTACCGCTTAGGTACAGGTACATATGAATGATATAATCAGATCTCACCAACAAACAACATACAACCTTACCGCTGTCCCCGACCAGGAATGCCCTGGGTCCCCCGAGCCGTTAACTTTGCACTTCCGCAGGCTTATCCTGCGATCATCTGCGACTATTCCCCATATTGCGGAAGCCGGCAGGGCTCCAGTGCTGCGAACACCCTTTTCAAGGCCAGCAATCTGAGCAAAGAGTAAGACCACGGTACTAATAAGTTAAAATAACGTGGGCTGATCGACAGAGGGCGTGGTGACTGGTGACTAGTGACTAGTGACTACGGGGCAGAGACGGCAGAGACAGCATCTTCGCCTGGGCTACCCCAATCTGGGCTGTAAATACGGAACAACTAACAAGACTCTGCGCGTAGAATTACCTCACCTACCCAATCGCCGTCCTCCAACAACACGCCTCCTTGACCGCAAGTTTCCGGTCGGCGGTAGTCACAATCCTTCACTTCTTCACTTGGGGCCGTGGGCACGCTGTACTGTACTGGCAGAGCTTCGGCCCACTGGTTGCATGCCCTATTGCCCTTCTTGGCACCATGTTTGAATCCCTTCTCGCACTCCTACCCTGTAAGTTCTCCTCTATTATCTCCGACCTGCTAGTGAGTGACACGACCGCCGGTAAACGGCTTCTCACGAGCTGAGACGTGACAACACCGTGTCACGACCACTTCCTGGACAGGCACTACTGCCTGGATCAGTAGTGCCTGGATCATGGAAGCTCTGCGTGAAGTGGCGGTAAACGTCCGCATATACCTGCGCCGTATTCGTCCTGTTGCTGCTGCTGCTGCTGCCATGATGGTACCTGCGCCTTCACCATTCACTCACTCACTGCACACTACTGGCCATGGATCCCGTGCACTTCAAGAACGGTGCAAGAGGGGACGAAAAGCAGCTTACTCCGACTACAGTCACTCCATACGGCAAAGGCTATGAACATGTATCAGATCACGACGACTATCCACAGACTGCAGGTGCTGTCCATCGTCCCGGAGCGTCATATGCTCATATACCAGACCAGGACGACCAGACGTTAGCGCGCATTGGCTATCAGCCGGTATGTGAGGGAAGCCTGCCTCTGTCCACCATCCCGCACTACTGATGACCTCTTGATTGACAGGAATTGAAACGAGAATTTGGCAGATGGTCAACCCTCTCATATGCAATCTCCATCTTGGGCGTGCTAGGCTCGCAGCCTGCTACATATGGAGTGCCCATTACTGTCGGAGGTCCGGCGACCGCGGTGTGGGCGTGGTTCATCGGATCATGCATGGCATATATCATTGCGAGCTGTGTGGCCGAGCTGGTCTCGGCATATCCGACCGCTGGCGGCATGTACTTTGTACCGGCCAAGATTGTGCCACAGAAGCATTTACCCATATGGACGTGGATCATTGGTTGGTGCAACTTCCTGGGGCAGGCGTGTGGAGTGGCATCCATCGCCTATACGTTGGGACAAATGATTCTTGCTATGAAGAGTATGAGATCAGAGCTGGTCGATGGGGCTTATGGCTATTCGCCGTAAGTACGGGAGCAAGCATCTTTCTTGGGGAGCAGACCGCTAACGAGATGCGAGCATAGAAAGCCTTGGCAGATTGTTCTCATCGCCATTGCGATGCTATTCGTGTTCGGGTGTATATGCTCGCTGACAACAAAAGGCCTCTATCGAATGGTCATCTGGTTCGCGCCCATCAACATTTTGGCTACAGTCGGCATCTGCATAGCACTTCTGGTCCTGACAGAGGATAAGCGAGATGCAAGTTTCGTCTTTACAGACTTCAGAGACGGTTCCGGATATGGCTCCAAAGGCTGGTCTTTCTTGCTCGGCTTCCTCAACGTCGCGTGGGTCATGACCGACTACGACGGAACGACGCATATGTCTGAGGAGACGCATGATGCCGCCGTCCGTGGTCCGGCTTCGATCCGTCTCGCTGTGGTCATCTCCGGAGTTCAAGGCTTCATCTTGAACGTCGTATTCACGTTCTGTCTGACCGAGACATACATGGACGACATTGTGGGTTCGCCGACGGGTCTGCCGATAGCACAGATCTTCCTGAATGCCGCTGGCAGAGATGGCGCAACGATCATGCTCTTCTTTGTCATTCTCATCCAATTCTTCACCGGAGCGGCCGCCATGCTCGCGAATTCACGCATGGCATATGCCTTTGCGAGAGACGAAGCACTGCCACTCTCTCACATCTGGAGTCGAGTCAACGCTCAAACGGGAACTCCGGTGTATGCAGTATGGTTCGTGGCTGTCTTCTGCGCTTTCCTGAATCTCATTGGCATTGGCTCGACCCTGACCATTACGGCCATCTTCAATCTCTGCGCACCGTGTCTGGACCTCAGCTATATTGCTGTACTCATTGCCCGCTTGGTCTACGAAGATTCTGAACAGTTTGTGCCAGGACCATACAAAATGGGCAACTATCTCGGCAGATTCTTGCCCAGCAAGCCTCGTAACATTGTTGCCATCTGCTGGGTCTTACTCATCAGTGTGGTCTTATTCTGCCCAACCACGATCCCCGTCACAGCCACCAACATGAACTATGCCGTCGCCGTAGCGGCAGCAGTAGCGATTTTCGCTTTGGCATGGTGGTTCCTCGGAGCAAACAAGTACTACACGGGACCTCGACTGAAGAACATTGAAGACATCACGATCAATACCGCAGCAATCGCTGCGCACTTGGCCGATCCATCTACGATTCCGAACGCAGAACCATCCAGGAGTCCTCCTTCGTACTCTAGTAGACGACACAGTGGACCCGAGCAGCATGATGCATCATCATCTTCGCGGAGAAGTTCGTCGCGAGACGAGACTAATATGCGGTACGATAAGGCCCACATAGTCTAAGTCCAGCGCGTGGTTTCCCTTTCAGTGGTGTCTGACTTGGGCGAAAGACGATGTATTAACTAGTAGCAATCTGAATATTCATCTGTTGGGACACTTTTTTTTCTCTCTTCTCTTCTCGTCCTTTCTCTCGACCTTTTTCCTTGACGACAGATCTGCCAAGAATTAAATGTTCTTTGATTACTCGGATGAATTGATATATTATGAGAAAAATGACAAAATTAGGAAACTAGGTAGGTAAGTAGAGAGTGAGTGGCGAAAAGGAGCTGAGAGGCACACGGTCACGAGACGTTGCGTCGAAGGACGATTGCACACAGGGATTAAATCTTGGAAAATCCAACTCTCAATTCATACGCCACAGTTGTAATACATGACGGAGGCATTGTGGAACCATGGCCGTCGATATACCTATTCAGCTACCTCCTAACAGTAAGGTATCTCACTGTACCCTATGTAGAGAGTAAAACTTGAATAATTACAATATTTCTACTTGGGGTTTTTTTCTCTTTCTATACCATGTCGCCAATACAAATGGTAGACAATGAGTCTGCAAAGAAGAAGACGACGACGCCAGTCAAACCGCTTTCCAAAAAATTGCCCTCCAAAACTCCTATTACGCCCGTAAAACCTGCCACTGCCACGACTCCAGTGAAAAAACCAACAACGACGCCGCCCTCCTCCTCAAAGCCCATCGGAGCTTTAGGATCTGCATCAATCAAGAAGCAACCCATATCCAAGCCTTCTTCTTCTACGACTGGCATATCACCGCCACCGCCAGTAGTCGTCAAAGCTGCTCCCGTGAAGAAGAAAACTCCATCAACACCATCCACAACGCAATTGCCGATTAACAAGAGCAGTCCCACGAACAGCAGCGCAGGGAAACAGCAGCAACAGCAACAGTCCACCGAAAAAACTTCTTTTCAAAAGCAAGAAACTGGAAAGAAAAAACCTATTCCACCTCCTATTCAAGCCCAGAATAGAAAACCCAATGTTGCAAATGCTACTGCAACTGCTGCTGCTGTAGGGAATAAAGGTGTTGGAGGAAGAGTAGGAGGAGGAGGAGGAGGAGGGAGTATAGGTATGTCTTCTTCTTTTGCTTCTGCTTCTTTTCCAGGAAATCATCATCGTCATCGTCTTCTTCTTCCTTCTCCTCCTTCTTCTGGGAATGTGGATTTTAGCGGAGGGATGGATTCGAGTGTGATTGAGAAGTGGTTGCCGGCTTGGTTGGTGGGGAGGTGGAGGGTTGCTGAGGAGAATTGTTGTAAGGAGAAGATGGAGATGGAGATGAAGACGAAGCCGAGGAAGATTGAGATTAGAAGTGCGGGAGGAGGATGAGTATTTACCTATCTTTGTCATCATACCTTGTACACAAGAAGAAGAAGAAGAAGAAGAAGAAGAACCTTCCATAGCCTTTCCCCATTTTCACAGAGAGCACACCTGCACACACTCTACAAATATATACTAATCATCCATTCTCTCTTCCCCTTCACTCGTACCACAGCTCTTCTCGACAAAGCCCCCAAAACCCGTACCGCAACAGCAACGAAAAAGATCAATCAAGCCGGAGCAGGAGCCACGCAGACCTCCAACGATGCAACGACAAATGTGGGAAAATTGACGAACGATACAGTCCAGAACATCAAACGCACAACGGATTCTGCCGTGGGAGATGTGGCAACTACGGTGAAGGATACGGGGAATGCGATTGGGAAGAGAGATGTCAGAGGTGTTGGAAAAGGGGTTGCGAGAGGTGAGATTTCTCCCCGGCTGCCGTTTTTTTTTCTTTCTTTTTAATTCTTCTTCTCTCTCGAAATTGGAATCTACGACTTATTGATACTCTGCTCCCCACAGGTGCGGGAAAGACTCTATCGGGAGTGGGACAAGGAGCTGGCGCGACAGTATCCGGTGTCGGATATGGCGCAGATGCCACAATTTCTGGGCTAGGAAAAGGTGTCAATGCAACAGTAAGTACAGTTACCTTACCTACCAGCTCTCTCAGGAGGAGGGAACTTCATCACCCTCTTCCTCCTCCTCTACCTCCAAAATCGCCCAGTCGATGATGCTCCTTTCTTTCTTTTCTTTCGTTGGAACAGTCCAGTCCACTCCCTCCTTCTCTCCCTCACTCACTAACCCCTCCTTTTTTTTCAAAAAACCCAGCTCGGCGGCCCCATCGGCTCAGCCGCCCAGAATACAACTTCTGGCATCGGCAAAACCGTCTCGGGCGTAACTTCCGGTTTGGGACAAACCATTGGCGATACCACTCGCGGAATCGGTAATTACGACGTCAGTAATACGGTCGGAGGAGCCACGGGGGGTGTAGGTGAGTTTTGAGAAGAATTTTTTTCGGTGATTTGATATTTCGAATTGATGAATAGATGGATGTTGATGTTGATATTGTTTGTTGTACAGGCAAAACCGTCACAGGAGTCGGTCAAGGACTCGACGCCACTGTCAGTGGAGTAGGCAAGACTGCAGGAAAGTATATCCCAGGTCGTCGAGTCGGAGGGACAGTAGAAGGTGTGACGAAGGGGGTTGGTGGGACGGTAAGTTTTTCTTATAATTTGAAGATATATCAATACTCCCCCATCTGCATCCCAAAGGCCATAGAGATAAAATGCTGACTTTTGATTTTCTCTTTTTTCTTTCTTGTCATTCTAGCTATCGAACGTCACAACCGGTCTCGGAGACGGTGTCGGAAAACTGGGAAAAGGTAATGTGATGGGTTCAGTCGGTTCGATTGGTGGCGGGGTGGTCAAAGGAGTCGGTGCCCTCGGAGGTGGAATTTGGGAGGGTGTGAGTGGGAAAAATCGGGAGAAGGTGAAGCCGGTTGGGGAGGAAGTATCTGAAGATGATGAGGGTAAGTCGGCTTCTGCAGATCAGGGGATGCAAAGCCGCAGCGGCGGTAGTGGGGAGAGGAGCTTTTTTTTGAGAGGGGGATATGCGGACCATGTGTGCTAATTGTTGGGTTGGAGAGGGAAAATGGAGAATAGTTGGAGGGGCAAAAGAAAAGACAGTGCTCAGTTTTCCTAGACAGAGACTTGGGTCTTGAAGTGGGGAGGACGGAGGTGATATCCATAACAGCAGCAGAACCATAACGACAGTGAAAAGAAAACACAGAAAGGCAGATTTTCGGGGAAAAAAACCATAATGACATTTTATCCATCTCTCTCCTCCCAATCTCAATATTTCTACAACTTCGACCCTCCCACTTTCACCTTCTCATCCTCCACAACAGCAGCCAACATCCCCTCGGCAACATCCTCCCCATCCTCCGCCTCCGTCACCCACGTCACCACTCCCGCTCGATGACTCCTGACTTCAATTTCCATCTTCATCTGTTTAATCACACAAATGGCTTCATCTTTCCGCACCACATCGCCACCATCCACCAACACCTCCACCAATTTCCCCGACAGCGGCATGATGATGTGTGTCGGATTAGAGGGGGTGCCATAGCGGTGATGAGAACTCATGGCGGAGCTGGATGCGGAAGTCGAGGTGAGGGAGATTTTCAGGGGCAAGGGGGTGGAGGATGTGGTGGTGGATGAGGAGATGGTGTAGAGGATGTTGGCGGAGAAGGAGGAGGGGAAGTCATTTTTCAGGACTTTGGTGAGTTGGAGGTGGTGGGTTTGGGATTCTTGTTGTTGTTGTTTTTGCTGCTGCTGCGTCTTTTTGGGGGAATCGGGGGAGCTGATGTCGATGGTCCATGCGTCGTCTTTGCGGAAGGTGGTGCTCCCTCCGCCTCCTCCACTACTGGCTGCGGTGGCAGAGCTACTGATGGATTGCTGTAGTTGGACGAGACCGTGGAAAGGGTCTTTGGAGCTTCTTTGCATTTCCCGGCTGAGGGCGAGGAGTTCGTCGTGCTTGGATTCGAGCCAGGTGGTATCGCATTCGCCCGCTTCAAAGTCTGGATGGGATACAATGGCTCGCAAGAGAGCGAGATTCGTTTGTACTCCTGTGATGAATGTATCTTCCAATGCGCGTCTTGCTTTGCTGACTGTATCTGGCCATGTGCGAGCGGTGATGATGATCTTTGCAATCACGCTGTCGAAGTCGGAGGTCACCACTGCCGAAGCACCCGGTATGAGAGCGGTATCGACACGAGTCCCGACTCCAGAAGGGAGATGAAAAGCTTGAATCTTGCCAATACTCAACGAGTAGTTCTTTTCTGCATCCTCCGCCGTGACTCGCAGCTGTATGGAGTGTTGTTTAGGAGGCAGCATCGGATCTTCGGCCAAATCACCCAATCCAGCTTCGTCAAAGGAAGCACCTTGCGCTAACCGCAGCTGTGCTTTTACAATATCGATGGAGCAGATTGATTCTGTAATCGTATGTTCCACCTGCAACCTCGGGTTGATTTCCAGAAAGAAAAACTCCTTCGTCCTCGGATTCAACAGAAACTCAAACGTCCCCAGACTCGCATACTTCACTTTCGTTGCAATCCTCACCGCCGCCTCAATCACCGGTCTCACAACCTCCCGATCCAAACACATCGACGGCGCCAACTCCACAATCTTCTGATACCGCCTCTGAATGGAACACTCCCGTTCCCACAGATGCCTCACTCCGCCTCTCCCATCCCCAACAATCTGCACTTCCACATGTCGAAACCCCTCCACAGCCGCCCGTTCCGCAAAAACCTGTTTCGAAGGACTTTCCTCAATCGCCCTGTGGACCAACCTCTCCAATTCCGACATTTCCCGCACCAGTCGAATTCCTCTGCCGCCACCCCCATCGACCGCTTTAATCATCACCGGAAACCCATTCCTCTCCGCAAAATTTCTCACACTTTCGACCGAAGCAGTCGGTTGCGTCAACGCCGGGAGGACCGGTACGTGACATTCTTCCGCGAGCTGTCTCGCTTGCAGTTTATCTCCCGTTCGTTCCAGAGTTGCGCTTCCCGGGCCAATGACGATGACGTCGATTGCGGCCATCTGGGCTGCGAGGTCGGCAGATTCGGATAAGAAGCCATAGCCGGGATGGATGGCGTCGATGTTGTGCTTTTGGACGATGGACTTGAGCTCGGAGATGGACATGTATGAGGCCGGAGAGGGTAGTTGGATGGCATGTGAGGCGTTGTAGGTGTGGAGAGCATCATTTGCAGTGTACACTGCGTAGGTTTCGAGGTTGAGTTCTCGACATGAGGAGAGGATGCGAGATGCTATTTCGCCTCTGGTTGGTTGCAAGTGAGATGATGATGATTAGTATATATCCTTTTTGGGGGTGTAGTGTCTTTTGCAATGTACCTATTGGCCACGAGGATCTTCTTGATGGGCCTCGGTTCTATTATTCGATCAGTAGTCATATTGTCGCTGTAGCCCTTGAAGTAGATGATAGATTGTTGACATTGAAAAGCATTGGGAGGCAATGGAGGCGTGAGTTCATGCGAGGTACCTTGTGGAAGTGCCTCGGCTCTCAAATGTGGAGACATTTGCTCTCTCTAGTCCAATTGGACTTTCTATTCAATAATCATCAAATTCTCCATCAAAGCTGTCGGGTACTCAGGTATACCATATCCTCCAACGACAACAGTAGAGCGCTCTGGTGCTGCACTCGGGGCAGCGTAGATGTTGCAAAGATTTATGGATTGCTAGAATAGGTAAGCCAGCAACCTGCTACATGTTAGTAACCTATAGTAGTAGATGAGTATGCTCTAGAAGCTTCAAATGTGTTCAATACGTGGAAACTAGCCTACGGTAGGTTGTATTGTATAAGCAGGTTGGTGACAACTTATTGAACAGGCCCTTAATCATGGATGTGCTCCAAGGTTCTCTTCTAGGTTCTCATTTCTTCGTCGTCAATAGTTTCATCGTCCATTCGTAAACCTTGCGGTAGAAGTCAGCATGATCCGCCACGCCATAATCGAGTAGTACATACCGCCCACTGCACTGCATTCACAATGAACGCCCTCGCGCTACACACCCCTAATCCTCGAAAGAACGCTCCAGCGCCCTCGGTCCTGTACACTTGCTGCGCAATTTTGAAAATACCAGGCCTCTCAGTCACAGTCGCCTGACTAGCCGTTCCCAAAAGAGGCTGAGAAGCATCACCTCGACCCACAAGATCCCAAGTCTGCACCCTCGTCTTCACCACATCTAACGGGAAAATGCTGGCCCAAGTCACTACACCTGCCAACCCACCGCAGAACAGTACTTTCAGGGCTTCCTGTGTGTGGCTGTCACTCTCGTTCACGACCGTCCTCTTCGCCAACTCGTACGACCAGAAGTAAAACCCATAACCCACACTATCTCTCACAGCCGTGATTGTCCCTCCCATGTACAATCCCCTCAGGCCCGTAGTTCGCCACAGGTCTTGAGTAACTTTCCAAGAGGATTGGTACGATATTTGAGCACGACATTTGACAAGTTCTGTAGGGGTGGAGACGAAAAATGTTGCGAGACCTCCTACAGCTCCTGCTGACCAGATTTTCCACCATTCAGGCTGGGAAGTGAAGTCCTGAGGAAGAGTATGCCAGTTCCCCGTTTGAACATAGGACAAAGAACGGTTGTAGGTCATGAACATGATGGCATTGAGAGCGCCGTAGCCTAATATAGGAGCTGCAGCGCCCCGGGCGAATTGAGTCCATTTTGTCAAAGAGCCGGGTGTGGTATCATGAGCGGAGAGAGAGCGTTGGGCCTGTGAAAGCGATGAAGATCTATCTGTCGTTGCTTTCGATGCTGAGCCGGCTTGGAGTTTTGTCTTGACAATGTCCAGAGGGTTGCCGATCAAAATGCCTGGAGGTGTGTATAAGCTGCAGGCCGCGATGATGGAGTGGATGGAGGGCTACCGATGGCTCCAGACACATATCCAGCCCAGAAATCGGCGGACATGCTAGGACGAGTAGTTCTCAGGCGAGGATGAGACTGACGAGGGCTCCTCCATATACACCGCTGTCACCTCAGCAATGGAGTCATGATCATCATGTGAAAGTCTGGGCACAAGGTGGGTGAAGTGAAATAAACCCATTAAGATACATGCAGTTCTAGTACAAAGACCGACGGCTGGAGCCGGCAAACGGCAGTGGCCAGTGGCGGGGCGAAGTGGCGAAATGAGACTCGAAACTCCCGTCAAGAGTCTACCTCCTAGCTTACTAAGGTCCATCTAATATGAGCAACTGCCACATCGATGACACCCTCCCACCTTAGCTCAGTACTCCGACATACAACATATCCCTCCTCCTCCTCTTTGTCCTCTTCCTTCTCTCTTACACCGCCGCTCCCGACACACCTCGCTGTCACCCCCCCAAGCGTTCACCGCCAGCGTGCCGCGATAGCACGTACACCGCTGCCAGCACATGTCCACATTGACCGAGACGAAACCATGGGATCTTAGCCACGTTCTCGACTTTGTCAACGCTCTCGCCACGCCTGGCCAGCACCAGAAGGACACCGTCCCCACGACCAGACTCGCCCCCTCTGCCTCGCACCCAGCCAATGTTGTGAGCAACAATGCCAGCCTCACTGATACTGCCGACGACGATGACGCTCATGGAGGCGTCGGTCTCGGCAACTTTGGCAAGGTCTGGCAGTTCCTAGGCACTCCGGCGCCTACTCAGGGAACTTCACTACTGGCGACCAAGACCGGACAGGTGGAGAAGCAGACCATTGCTAGCAAACTTGACTACACTTCTGACGGCGCGGCATATACGCTCAGCCGTGGGGAGCCATCATCTGCCAATAGGCACCCTTCATTCACAGACGGCACAGATGGCGAGACCCAAAGGCCGGAGTTCGAGAAGGCTCCGAGCAAGACCCAAAAGAAGCGCATGCGAAGGAAGGAGAGACGGGAGCAGGAGCTTGTCCAAGCACGCCTGAACGGCGGCAGAGCTGACGCCATCTCTGAATCTGAAGCTGAGACACCAGGTCGGAGGACACCCGCAAAGAAGGCATCAGCACATGCCATGAAAGAGAAGGAGCCTGGGACACCGAGCAAATCCAAATTCGATAAGACTGAACTGCTAAGGCGGGTTGCTGTAACAAAGGCCGCACAGACTGCAAAGACTGCTGCGGTTACAAATGCGTCTACACAACAGGGACCCATGGGTCCAGGACTGGCTCCTGTATTGGATCTCCCCGGCACGAAGCAAGTTCCTATCCAGAATGCTACTGAACAGACTGTGCCTGCGAATGTGTCAAGGCAGACTGATCCCTCGAGTGCTTCCCGCTCTGATGCGGAAGAGACGACTTCCCAGGCAGTCAATGCTGTAGCTGCTGCGTTGGCTGCTCTCAAGCATGGAGACAATCCGGCTAGCCCCTCTCCTAGTGGGACAGGAAGTCGTAACAAGAAAGCACCCTCGACACCAACCCAGACCAAGGCACAACCAGTGGCTCAGACACAACCTGTACAGAGAACACAAGTTCAGACGCCACAGGCCGTGAGCAAGCTCAAGCTAATGCCAGCTTCCGTCGGCGTTCAGCCTCCGCTTGCTAAGGGCCTCGCCAACAACGGGCACGCACCAGCAGCCGGTATCAATCCAACAGCTTTCGCTCAGAGCATGCATATTCCATCAGGGCCTCCAAGCATGCGGCTATCGACCATTCCTTCTAGCGCAAAAAAACCACGTTCGCAACCAGTCATTGAGCCGAGAATCATTCGGTCAGGCGAAGACCGACACTGGGCACTTCTTATGAAGCTGATCAATGTGTTCGGTGATGATCGCAAACACCTGGTCTCGCCCATGAACATGACCACTCATAATAACGATCCCAAGGGAATTCATGTCTTCGTTGATGCGTCCAACATATTCATCGGGTTTATGGATATGCTGAAGCAGACACGAGGCATTCACCCGCTAACACATCTTCCACAAGTTCACTTGTCATTTGACGGCCTAGCGCTTCTCATGGAGCGTCGCCGTCCAGTTGCCAAGCGTGTCCTTGCTGGTTCCAATCCCTGGTTGCCAGAATTTGACAAGGCTAAAGCAGTGGGCTATGAGATGAACATCTTTGAAAAGGTGCTCAAAGCTCGCGAACTCACCGACCGCCAACTCTATTTCAAAGACCTCGACGCTCGCAGGTTCGGGAAAGGCTCGAAAGCGCCTCCTCCCGTTCACCCCAGCAACCAAATCACGAAGCAAGGTTCACCGCCTAAGCTCTACTCAGCTCTCAACGGCATTGGCAGCGGAAGTGGCAGTGGCACGGAAACGTCCGCTAAGCCGCAATACGCGCCTGCCAAGATGATTGAGCAGGGTGTGGACGAGATCTTGCATCTGAAAATGTTGGAAAGTGTTGTGGATTATGAGACTCCGAGCACAATTGTGCTCGCCACTGGTGATGCCGCCCAGGCAGAATATAGTCTGGGATTCATGGCCATGGTTGAAAGAGCGCTCAAGAAAGGCTGGACGGTGGAACTGGTATCTTGGAGTAAGAATATTAATAAGAGTTATATCAAGAGTCAGTGGACCGAGGCTTGGGACGGGAGATTCAAAATAATCTACCTGGATGACTTCGCAGAGGAGCTGCTTGATATGTGAGTGACGGGCTGTGGATGGCTACGTGGAGCTCATTGCGCTGTTCAGACGCAAGAAAATGTCTTTCGCTGGCAATGGGAAGGATCTGAAGTAGGAGTGGACAGCCTTGGCCGTCCCTGTAAATCGTGTACAGGATGGCAATTGGCCTTTAGCTGGTCTACAGGAGCAACGACTGGCGTCTCGACGTCTCTTAGGTGGCGTGCCGTGGGCGTGGTATTCATCTTTGCATTCTTCCTGCCAAGACTTGGGCACAGTGCCGGCTTTTGGTCAGTCGTAACACAGCAACGACCATGCAACGTATGTAGACACGCGAAGAATGTGTCCCATGGACCTCCATTTTCTATTTTGTTTCGTTTGTTTTCATTTCTGCTCAGCTACGCCCGCTAAGATTCGCATCATTCGCATCATGTCGCGCCTCCTGCCATCTCGCTCTGTCCGGTGCCTAACCATACTGCATATCATAATCACTATCGCTTTTCAAAAACACGGCCAAACGTTTCTCGCACTGTTCCCTCGACCTCTAGAGGATCTACCTCTCCGCTGTAGCCATCAAACTGCCAATGAAAGTCATGATCAATCGTGATCTTAAACTCGTGATATCTTCCGGAACGAGATATATCGTCGCTCCAAGTTTTCGAGCAATCGAAATGGCCAACTTGGCGTTGGCATACGCTTCCTCGTCGGTTCGACCAGCAGATACCAGGTCATAATCCACATATTCACTCTTGATGCCATTCAGCACATCCAGAAGGAACACGCCAGATGCAATTTGCTGGTCTTTGAATGAGCGCACGGCAGAGCTACGACCGCCTTTCTTGACAGTGTCATTGGCCCACTTGACCATGTCGGAGTCGCTGATCTCTCGCTTTCCGAGGCGCTGCGCAAGGCCTTGGAGGGTATTTGTGATGTCTCTTCGCATGAGTTGCCACACCAGACCGAGTGTGAGGGTCTTCTGTCCATCTGTAATGTCGGCTCCTTGAATGCCGACAAGCGAGAACTTGTTCTGCTTGCCAATCTCCACGGCATAGTTGGTGTTTTCTACGGCCTTGAATCGCGACATGCCAGATTTTATCGTTAGGTAGGCCTCGTCCTCGTCTTGGCTGACGGGAGTGACCGCATTAGCCGGCGGCTTGTTCGCATGACGCCAGTTGACGCTACCAGGAATAACTTTGTCGTATGCTTGGAGAAGGATGATGCCATCCTTCAGATCCTCGAAGAAAGATACCACTGAGGGCTTGACATTGAGGGAGTTCAGCCATAGCGTGAAGACTCGTGCTTCACGCTCACCCTCTGCATCGAAGTCTTCAATCTCAGCCTTTTCTTCTTCAGTGATGGGGTCAAGACCTGGGTGGTTATTGAACAAGTTGGCGACGAAAGCCAGGTTGAGCTTCGGGTTACCAGCACATAATGATTTCGGCGTCAAAAACTTGCGGCAGGGTGGATCGAGTGCATCGGCATTCTGAAGGACTTGCTCGGCGCGTTGTTCCAGATTCGATGTCTGTAGTGGAGATTTCGAGCACACATTAGGTGCCAGTTGATTGAGGAGCACAGTGTAGTTCTCGCTATCCTTGACATCGCTCGAAAAGTTTTGGACTCTGCAGCACGTCAGCTAGACTCACACTCGCTCTTTGTACAAACTAACCGTCGATGCCAGCCCGCGTTTTTCAAGTGGTAGTTGAACCATCTCAAAAGGATCTGCTCAGGCGGTAGGCGCAAGAACTGCTCGAGCGTCTCGCCATCTTCGAGAAGTCGGTACAGCTCAGGGTGGAGCTTGATATCAATCTTGCCCAGCAGGCCACGTCGAATGACTTGCCATATCAGACCCAGGATGAGGTGCTCTCGCACCTCGATGATGTCTCCGGCACCAATATTGACTACTGAACAGCCAATGCCCTTGGCAGACTCAATCACGATGTTGTTGTTCTCCGTGAAGTGGAAGGCGTTCAATGTCTTAATCTTTTTCCCCGTGCGGTTCAGCACTCGCTCGTCAATGGTGTCCGGCACGCTATCGTTGATGAGCTTAGCAAGCACGAGACCGTCTCTGCAAGCATCGAACATCTCGAAAGTGTCAAGTGGAAAAGGAAGGAGATGCCCAACGTCTGGGTCCCCTGCAAGCACAGCATTGATGTGCGAGGTGAAAGCAGTGCGCTCATCCTCGTTGATTGTGTGTTGCGAGCTGGCAGTTGAGCCTCCGACTGTAATCCTGCCCGCCTTCGCCTGGATTCCTCCACCGACACTGCCTTTGCTGGCGTGCGATGGAGATGGCACTGGTGCTCCCGCCGAGTCACCCGTCTTCTGCGCAGCGTTACTGAACCCGCGCGTTCGTTGTTGAGCAGGGCTGCTCTCCCGCAGTCGTGCGATCAAGTCCACAAAGTCCTCCAGCTCCACTCGCCTCGAGCTGTCCAGCTCGACCTCTTTCAGTGCCTGCCGCACGACATCGTATGGCTGTCGCTCGCTGTTCTGCGCCGATTTGATGGCCGTCCCCTCGTCGACGTAGCCCTTGTCATCCACATCAAGCTTGCGAAAAGCATCGCTGAGACTGTAGATCTCGGACTGCGGGAACTGAGGATATTTCTTCTGCAGCTTGAGGACGTTCATGGTGGTGGTGGTGCTGGGTGCTGGGTGGGTGTCTCTATGCGGGAAGAGAAGGAAAAGGTGGAAGCAGAGTCTTTCTCATACAAAGTGGTAGCCTGCAGAGACGCGCAATGGTAACAGTCACTGGCAAGACAGTGGTAAGCACTTGAGCTGTCTCGGAGCGGAAGAGTGGGAGAAACACAGCCCACTTCAAACAGCGTCATCGCGTGCAGGCCAGAGGCCAGGCACCAACTTTGGGCTGACTTCACCAACACACACGTACAGTCAGCAGCATCACCTTAACAGCCGCGACACACTCCAACCGGGGATAGAATATGGCTTCGAAATAACATGCACCGATCATTTCCTACGGGGCTCAAGGATACATACAGCCCACCAGACTGAACACAGATTGCTGAGATTGATGAAAGTCGCATACCAGCCAGCAACTCTGTAAGTTATGCAACATTATTATGCTACGGCGAATGCATGCCATTTTGTTCCTGAAAACCAAGCCTCCCCAATGGTTGAGCTAGAACAATCAAATGTTGCGTGGTATCTTCGCTACACTTCCCCACGTCACCAACTTCCCAAGGAAAGATAAGCTACATATAGTACTCCAATAACGCCACGCCTCATCCACGCGCCTCGGCGTGCATTCTCAAAGACTGCTTGAGATCATTCCTCCGCTCTCTTTCCTCGAGAGCAATGGGTCCCATAAGCCTCGCCCAATGCACTTGTGATTGAGGTAGTTCGTGAACTCCTGCTTCGCTTTTTCCCAATGTTAGGGCCTTTTTATGGAGCCGTGCTCGATGTGCGACAAAGCAGGCCAGCAAAATTGCGTCTGTCCGCCCGTGTCTCGAGACCCTGCTGGCAGCTCACAGCATACGGGCAAAGACTCGACGCTGCCGATATGGTGGCCTAGGCTCCGCTACCCCAGGTGAACACCAGAATCGAATGATAGAACCAAGCTTAAAGCAATGAGTCTAAACGAGTGAAGACACTCAGGCAAGCAGCCACGACCTAGGACCACATGTTAGCATAACACTGAAACTTTCTCGGGGGAAAGACTGCCTCACCTCCAACTGCAGCTCCTTGTCCTTTGCCGCGTTAACCTCATCCCGAATGACGCTGTCCAGGTTCGCTCCTATGGCTGATGGCCCACCCGCCCTTCTTCCGAACGGCCATTGGCTGTACTCCGCCAGCAATTCATCGACTTGCGCAAAAGCTCGTTCTCTAGCCTCGTGCCCAAGCGTCGTCAGCGCATTCTCCAGCACATTCGCCGCATACGCCGCACAAAGCATAGCCACCGTCCTGGTATATCTGAATTCCATCTCTTCGGGAAGCCATTGCGTGGCAGGCAGAACAACTGTACGTTGTGTGAGGAACATTCGTACGCGTCGGCGGATTTCATCCTTGGCTGAGTTGTCGGTAACCGGATGCGTAGCCATATCGAAGAGGAGGAAGTTTCGCTTCTCTGTCCGTAGAATGCCCTTATCCACAAGACCTTTTGCAAGCCGTTCTCGGACCTGTTTGAGTTGGTAGCCGATCTTCATCAGATTCCACGTCTCGCCTAGATCCCAGCTAGAGTTAGCAGACCGTTTCCACCAACTTCGATACCTTTGCGCTCCACATACCAGACATGAGATCAATCCAACTGCTCACACTCATCTTCTCACTACTCTTCATCATCTTCAGCGCCTCGTCCAGCAAAACCTCTCCCGTCAGCGTGTCATCCACCACCTCAATCAGCCTCTCTGCCAAAGGAAACCGCCGCCTCTCGCTCCCTTTCTGCATGGAAATTCTCCCTCGAAAGGCGAGCTCAATAACGATACATCCTCGGAGAGCATAACTGATATTATCATTCCAGAAGGAAAGGTAGCCTTGCTTGTCTTTCAATCCCATGAGCAGGACTTCTTCCATCAAAGTAAGCTTGGGCTGCTTGCTGCGCTCCGCCGACTCCGAAATGTCGCGTGGGTCAAATGCGATTCTATGTCCATTCTCGCCGCTTTCGTAGCTGGTTTCAGGCCCACCACCGCCGTAGGGGTTGTTTTTGGTGGGCACGGGAGAGGACACGCGACTGGACTCGTTCTCGTTGGCGGCGTTATCGCTGGTATGGGCTGCTCCTGCACCGCGGCGGCGTGTCAGGCCAGAGCCGGCGGCTGAGGCCATGATTGTGGTGGTGAGAGAATGAATATGTGCGCAATTGAGTTTGTGGTGGTGGGACGTTGGCTGGGAAAGTTGAGGGCACGTGAGAATCCTTGTCAACAACGTCGAGGGTAATGGACTGCGGGCGGGCGCGGGTATAAAGGAGAAGTGCGATACGAAGTTTCAAATGGCTGGTCTCGTCCAGGGTAGGAATGGGCGTATCTGTGGTATCGTGGCAAGTGAAGATTGGCAAGCAAGAACTGTAGATGTTTGGTCTCCGAAGGAGGTTCAAGGTCCACAATTCGCCGAGCTCTCTTGCTCTCTTGTGCTCTCCGCTCTTCGCTCTCCACTCTCCGCATCTTGAACAATAATTTACCCCAATCACGACGACCAGGAAGGATACTTTTGGTCAGAGCAAGAACAGACATCGAACTTGATGGTATACATCTATGGCACACTGCTCTGCTGGACTCGGGCTACAATGTACATTTGCCAATTCGAGAGCCCCCTCGCCTCCCTTCATGTGCCTCTCACATGCATCGACTGTCCCATCTGCCCCAATTGTCACTTCCTCTTCTGCCATTGATGTCTTCTAGTGAGCTGTAAACCATTAGCACGACTCTTGTAATCTTCACAGCAAGTGTACCTACCGTCTGGCTGCTTGAGGATGTAGTCTACGGCTTGGGTCACTGTATGCTGTTAGTAAACGCCAGTTTGCATCCTCCCAACGCGCTGCACATACCGCTGTGAATGGCATCGGCCTCTTTGTCTGGAATCTCAATGCTGAACTCCTATATCGCGTCTGTCAATGCCCCTTCCAGCCACATGCCGCTATGACGCCACAAACCTCTTCTATTGCCATCACCACCTCGACGGTATCCAAACTGTCCAACCCAAGGTCGTTCGTGAAGTGCGAGGACGCAGAGAGCTGGCATAATGATCAGGAACGTTACTGCAGAGTGTTCGACCGCGTGCCCTCTATACCTTTGATGGATCCTGAACCTGCATTTCTCATCAGTCCAATGCCTCTTGCGTCAAGTTACCAATATCTCTGTATTACCTTGTCGAAGTTCTTCAGAAGGTCCAAGATACGGCCAGTAACCTCCTCTTGTCCAAGTCCCGATGAGCTGGCATAACACCGTATCGCAGCGATTCTGGTCGCTGGGCTGGAGATTCGGGATGTGATGAAGGGGCTGCGAATAGCTGTGCGAGCGACTGGAGCAGCGCGGGCACCAGATTGTGCGGCGACTCGCGTAGCGCGGAGGAGGGCGGTGCGGAACATGTTGACAGCGACGTGTGGTGTGTCGATGTATGGAAGTGGTAGCGGTAGCAATCAATGTTTGACGACTCTGTGATGCGCCGTCTCATGCGGAAGCTCGTTTCTCGATGACTAAACATGCCAAGAATTCCAACTTCTTCCTTCTCTCCTCCATCCTGTCCCATACTACAGTGGCCATCGACGTCGACAACATAAAGCTCGCTGTCTATCGACGACAAATTGGTCGTTCGACCATTCCGGTATCCGAAATGCTCCAAAGCTGCCGCATCCCTCGAGGACGCGCCACTGCAGGCTCTTGAGCTCCGCAGAACGATCCGATGCTGTACTCGCGACTTTGGCAGCCAGTCTCTCACATCGATTTTTCCCCCAATTCCAGTCTGGTTTCTCTTTCGTTACAGAGGTACTGTGCGCCACAAATCTGCCATGAGAGGCCTCGCGAGATGGATGAGTTCGTCTCACTCCTCCCAATACAAACCGCATCCAAGATCATGCTGTGATCACGCGTTCCTCATGTGCTGTGGCATATGTGATGGCCAGCTCGACAAGCCTTCCACGGCTTGATGACGTGACGACTAGAGGAACCTTTGGCAACAAGTTGTTGCTTGATACTCAAGCAATTCATCATCCTGAATCGGTCATCACGAACCCCACCGAGCTTCCAGACACTAGCTGCAGATGTGACACTTTCGGCGTGTGGTCAGCGGATATTTGTCGCACGGAGCGAGAAAAATGGTACGACAGTCTCATTGTTCGGGTCCCGCATCACTGCTACGTTGGCATCGCTGTCTTGCACGAGGTTCCTTGATTGGCCACCTTCTTGGCATGCTCTGATCTTTCTGCTGTTGATTGATCCCACCTATGCCACGATAATTCTCAATCACAATAACCCAGACGCAAAGCCATAGCTGTATCTACATCAATAAGCTGTTCGCCAGGTACTGCCTCAGCTGGCTTACGGACTTTCAACCTCGCCGCGGGTGGGGACGGAGATGATTGTTGGAAGCAAACGGTGGTATAGTTCTACTTGTAGCACGGGGTCGTGTGTCTCTGCCACCGCGCCACGCAAGCGACCAACACGAGATGCAGTTCGGGTCTTCGCAGGGTCCGAACCAGGCAGTCATGGCTTTCCGCTAAATATTAGTGTAGCAACCATTGCCGACTGCACCTATTGCGAATGTATCACACACATTCTGCACATGCCAACCAGAGTTGTCTTGAAGTTATAGGAGCTGACAGTACGGTAGTGTTTCGGACTGGGACTTGCCCCTTGGATATAGTGTATACCAGATTCTGGTTCACAAGCCGCAGTCACCGTGTTAATTACTCTCGCTGGAGATCAATGACAACAACTGAATCTGCTATCAGGTCTTGAATAGATAGCTCAATGCGAAGTATTACTATCCAGTTGAATTATCGATAATTGAGATCTGATACCAGGTACCTGGTAGAATTAAGCTACTACAGTACAGTAGCTAGATATTGAGTTATATTCAATTGTCGATGATTTAACTTTATTTCTCGATACTTTAGCTAACTTTCACAAGCCAACCACCTCGACCTCCTACCTCCTACGCTTGGTTGTTCTATACTCTATCTTCCTGTCGCTCGTAACCTTCCAACTGAGGTTTACGTCTCCCCTCTCCCTATAACTAGCGTACCCGAATACCTACTTCCAATAATAGAGCAGACCGATTAGGAGACTATAGCAGTGCTAGTCTATCTTCGTATGGTTTTACAATATCTCCGACGCGTATTCGCAGACGAAACCACCCCTTTTTTCCAGCGGCACAATTGATCAGCAGATAGATCAGCAGAGACACTACAAGCAATACCTTTGAGTAGGGTAGCGACCAAGAGATAGACTGTGTAAAGACCACGCGCTCAGAACGATGATTTAGCTTGCGAATACTTGAAACACAGAAAAAAATACAGCCTCCAACAAGACTAGAAGCGCCGAAACTACCAAATTATCGACTGCGGTTGAAGTCTCGATCATACAGACAAAGTATTAATTATTCACTCACGAATGCCTTCACAGAGTTGCTGCTGTTCTTGAACAACTTTGAAACATTTCTTCGCGAGCGAACGGAACCCCTGGGATCCGCGAGTACGGTAGTCAAGTAGGTACAAATGTTAGGTTTCGAGCGAGCATTAAATAGCCGCAGAATCGGAAACTTAGCATCCGCCCATGTCATTTCATATCTCGTACAAACCTTCATCACGACCTCCGACGGTTGCAAAAAAAGGAAAGCAAATCTTGCTCCATACTAGTGATACCCACAGAAAGAAACAAAAAGAAAATGCTCGGTGTGAAAATTATGCCGTAGACCCGTGGTGGTGTGCAAAAAAGGGGGGTGAATGAAGACTTACATACATACATACCTGACATAGGTACCTACCTGACTTACATATTTCTTTGCTCCGCCCACTGCCTCCTACTAGGTACATACTTCCCTTACCGTCCCTGAAGCCAGACCCTCCACCATACCCCAATACCACCACTCCAGATTATGCGAACCTAGTCCGCATCCATCCATTTCGCCGACCTCAACCCAACAAACCAAACCAACCAAGCAAACAACCATCCAACCAACCAATAGAACCAAACCAAACAAGCAACCCAAAACCACCAATCAAACGCCCACCATGCCAGCCTCCAGAGCCTACCGCATCACAAAATTCACCCTTCTCGTCCTCTCCAAAGTTCCCGTCCCACACATCCCTCGCTCTCTCCGCATCACTCCCAAACAACAATCACAATCACAATCACAACAACAACAACAATTACCTTCCTCCAATCATCGTTCTTCTTCAAAGCGCAACAAAAGAGCTTCTGCTCCACCGGAATTTCTGCCCGAGAGAAGAGAACCCACGATTAGACCGGAGAGGAGACAATCTGCTCGGCAACGACAACGACAAGAACAACAGCAGGAAATGGTGGTGAGGAGGAATCGGCAACAGCAGCAACAGGGGGGAGGGATGGAGTTCTGGTGAAAGGATTTCTTTTATGAAAAAAAAAAAAAAAAAATTTAAAGGAGAAAAAAAAAAGGTTATTGGATTTTTCTAGCTCATCTTTCGATGAATGACACTTTTCTTTTCTTCGGCTTGGAAGGGGGGTCAGGGGTTTATCGATATTAAGGTACATATATGAGACGACACCAGTAAATTCTAGGGTTGCTTCATTTGAGGAAGGAAGAAAGGGATGAAAGGAAAGAACGAAGAAAGGGAAGGAATGGAAGGGAGGAAGGAACGAACGAACAAGAGGCTTTTTTTTTTCTCACGGCAACAACAGCAACAGCAAGGACAAGAACAAGAACACAGCTACATATATCGAAAGCGGGAGAGAGAGGGGACTTGGGCTTGGATACTGGGAATAGCGATGATGAGACTCACTCATACAGGTAGTCAGAAACGGATTCCTCCGATGAGCTCGGCCGGGCGTCAATTTGTCTTCTGACAGTGTCATTGAACAGCGGGCGATGGGATGGGTGCTTCGAGGGGTTCTGCGACATGAGACTGCACGTCACGAGGATGCCGAGGATACCGCTACATTAAGTCAGGTACTTAGGTATTGTTACATTTTGATCGTTCCTGAACGTCTGTGTGTTCGCTCACCGCGCCTTTGAATGCTGTTGCCCTTGGGCTGTCGTCTGTGTTCGACTCTGTCGCCGTCTGCTTCTTTTCCCCGCCTTCTCACATGTCACACATTCTCCTGTCCCGCCCCTCCAGGTACCGTACCCATCAGGTCAAGCTTCGAACGTGTGTGTCGAAGATGGCATTTCTCCAACCACCTGCATCAAATTCTTCGATGCGCTCTGGAGCTTTGCTAGCCTCCTCGTTCCATACCTTCACCACACTTCCAGGCGCATACACATTCTTGAACACGCCTTTGCCAGGCTGCGCAACGCCCACTCTCGTATAGACATCCGGATCGTCCGCTGGGGTGAGCCGAGCACTCACAGCCTTGAAAAACGTAAGCAAATCGTTAGGGTCAGCAATTCTCGTTGCCCGAAGACGCTCTCTCGCGAAGAGAATCTCGCGGTTGGCAGCATGGAAGAAGTCCGCCAGAGCAGAGGCCAGCTGCTTCTCCATGACTTTGCGAATGACTGGGCGCAGCAGAGGCTTGATGAGCCATCCGAGCCAGCTGAACTTGGACTTGCGAATCTTGTAGTTGAGCTTGTGGATATGTACGCGTACACCTTTGAGAGTCAAGATTTGCTCGAGACGTTCTTTCGCGATTTCAACATCGATATGGATGTCGATCCCCTTTTCGTCGAGCGCGAAACCTGCAATACCTTCATCTGCCAGACGGAGAATGCCCTTGTGAGCACGAAGCCAAAAGCCCATCTCATCGGCCTTGGCGGAAAGTCCATCAATCTTGATAGTGACAAGGTTGGTCATTGCGCTTGTAGTTCCGAATCTGGCCTTGCGGAGCTCGCAATCGTTGTATGTTTCCACCTTGAGCCGGTACGGGAGAAAAGAGGTCTGGTTGACTGTATGTCCCGGCTCGATGATGAGGTTTTCTAGCAGCAGATCGATCTCGGGTGTGCTGACCTCCAATCTCGGAATGGGCACATACTGGATAGCTGCGATGAAGAGTGGTATGAAGATATTGATGGAATCCTGAAGTAGTTCCGGGTTAGTGGCCTGGTTGATGGGGGAGAGAATCTTGAATATACGCAGACTCGTCTGGATCAAGTTGTTGATGTGCTCATCTCTGAGCACGCTGTAAAGAGTCGTCTCCAACTGCTGGAACAGAGCCTGAACATCTTTGCTCAAGTCGCTGCCATTGCTGGACTTGTTGTACTCGGCTCTGAGTTCTTTGAATTTCTCATCGGCGTGCTCCATAAACTGAGGATCTGTGAGCAGCTTTTGCAGTCCGTCACCAGCTTTGTTCAACGTGCTCTCGAATTGAGGGTCCTTATCCTTGTGACCGAGCACTTTCTTGAACAACGCCTCCGTCTTCTCCCAGTCCTTTTTGTTTCCAAAGCTGGTGATGAAGATCCAGATGTTGTGCGCTGCACGATCAAGCGCCTCATTTTCCTGCACATCCTTCTTAGCAACGTGGGCAATGTCCTCTGCGGCGCGTGAATAAACCAGAGCGTAGCGCTTGATCAGCAATGACAATGTCGACACAGAGTCGTTGTAGTCGGGTCGCTTCCTCAGCTTCAAGACAGCTTGCTGAAGGCGGTTGATCAACGTCTTGCCCTCGTCACCCTCCAGCTTATCCGCAGCGCTGTCCACAGTCGTCTTTGCCACTTGAGCTGTGCCGTTCGCGACGATCTGGGTCACATCCACCGCGTCCCCTGTCAAGTCCTGCGTGCTGGGCGCTGGCTGATCATCGGCACCTGGCTTTGCAACCTTTTGCTTCTCCTCTTCCGAAGGATCGACCTTGTTGCCCACCTCTTTGGCGACATGCGACAATGCGAAAGCAGAGTCTCTAAAGACCTCCTTGCCAACGGTGTTGAGGTCACTGAGAAAGATCCTGAAGTCAGAATTGGTGAACAGCAATCCTCCTACGGTTTGCAAGCTCTGGTATGCCGCCAGGGTGTCTGCCTTGGCTTTGGTCTTCTGTGCTCGCACAGTAATGTCCTCGACATCCACGGATATGCTGCTCTTTGACAGGAACCAAATGATGTCCTGCATCTGGTCCTTGCCATTTTTGTGCTGGAGCAGGTCCATGAACTGCTCCACCCATGTTCGCGTCTGCTTGATCAGTCTCCTGCCACTGTTGGACAGATCAGGGTGCTCGGGGTTGAGCACTTCGCTGGAGAGGAAAGTGCGTAGGTTGATGATGAGCTGTTCGGTCGAAGGCATGAAGCCTTTGGACATGGCGCGGTACATGTGGTACGAGTGGAGCTTCTGGTGCAGCTCCCGCTGCAGCGTGGTATCGTCATTGTACTGGGGCAGCAGAGGCTCGCGCTCGGCCTGATCGCCTTTGTTGCGGAAGCCAAAGCAAGATGCCATGCTGTGTGTGCTGTTGTGGTGGTGCTGTTGATGCCCGGAGCGGTGTTCGTGGTGGAGGTTGGGGGTGGTGGGAGAGCAGACAGCGAGAGCAGGCGGCGATGATCTAAGACAGCAGAAGCAGAACTACCTGTACTTGGACTTTGTCCCTATGATACCTTGGCCTGATAGGTACATGGGCTACTGGTGACGAGTGGAAGGCGCAATGGCTTGCCTCTTGCAGCAGCAAACCAAGCAAATCAATACAGTGGAGGTTACCCGCAGGTTCAATTGCCAACTCCTGCCTTCATACGGTAGTGAAAAGACGTAGGAGGTACGCGCGCATACTGACGTACTAGTTCGACTGCGACCGGACCGGGCTCCGTCCTCCACGGCATCACAGCAGCCTCAGGCCAAAAGTCATACAGTACATGTACCTCAGACAGGTACATATATGTAAGCAGCGGGAGGAGGTATATGTACCTACCTACAAGGCACCTCATCCTCATCACTCATATCAGGCACACATGTCATCAAATCTCCAAGGCTTGTCAAAAGCTTCCATTGGCTTGGTGGTCCACGGTGGTTGTGTCGACGAGGGAGGAGGTACAGCGTCGGAAGAAGGTAGAAGGGAAAAAGCAATAATACCATATGATACCTGTACCTTATTACTAAAACGGTGCGAGCTGCACGACGACCTCCGTGGAGTTAGGAATGCATTCCTCGTTGGTGTCGGTCTCCGTCGCCGTCCGGCACAGGTAATGAAACAAGAATAATAAAAAGATCTCGGAGCATGGTGCCTGGCCATGTGGCATGCTAGGCATGCTAGATAGGCATGGGGTCTCAAAGCAGTGTAGCTGCTGACGGGTAGCGGCACCACGATAATGGGTAGGGCTAGAAATGTTCAAAATTGTTCCTCAGGCTGACGCAGCCCTTCTCACCTGCACAACCGAACTGCACCCTGTCGTCTGGTCACCAGAAATGAGCATAGCCGATGCCCGATGGTCAGGTACAGCAGGAGTACAGTACAGTAGGTAAGCCTGGTAAGGTAAGGTGGTGAATGCGAGAACGATGGTATATCGGGCCTCTTCCCGTACACACATATCAGGTACCTCCGTGATCAATCATCAGGTATATGCGATTATGCGCAAATCCAAGACGCGAGGATATCGGGTCTCCTCGTACCTCCTCGGCCAATCACAAACATTCACACAGCCATTGAGTGGCCGTTTACCGTTGACGGGGCCCATTATGATCCAAGCAAACAAGTTCCATGATCCATCTGCCTCGCGTGCGCGACCCAGTGAGAGCCAACCCAGTCCAACAGACGATAGTTAGCGTGTAGTCGCTTTTTCCGGAAAGGGTCGTTACAGTAGGTCCACAGCTCTGTTCCGTGTATTGCAACTTGCGCGCAGTGCGCACGGGAACTTTTTTCTGTTTCACCACAATCACTCACTCAACACCATCATGGAATTAATCGCTCACTTCTTGCCCTGCCCGACTGACTCACCCCCAGCACTCTCCCATCGGTCGCATACCTTCCGTATCTGAGGACGAGCCCATTGGACCTTCCCTGGCCTGTGTACACACTTCACGGAGACACGGACGCACCTGCCAACTTATTATTACAGTATAAGGTATGTACCCGCGCGGTCTCAGCCCTGCACGCCGATCGCCACTTGCGTGTAATCCAGAGAACTAATCCTCCCCGACGCCTCCGGCTTCACCCTACAACCCAGCCCAGTCCATATGCCGCCCTTCAGTCGCCCGACCCGCCTACCGCTATCACTACTTATTATTCGCAACTCGACCTTCTCGTGTCGGCCTTTTAATTCACACCCACCACTGTTTGCGACTTCTTCTCCTCCTTCTCCTCCTCATCATACTCCTGCTGCTGCTTCACCTTCACCTGCATCGGCACTACGACCCTTCACCACCACCACAGCCATGACTGCTGCTCAGAGTGGCCTCGCACCACAAGCGAATATCAAGCAACCTGCTTCGCACCCGCTTCACCCAGAGAGAAGGGTCATCCCAGCTCCGTACGTTCGTGCCGATCTCTACATCATCTGCCGCTAGTACAATATTGTTCGGCCGCTATACCTCCCCATGCTGAACCACTTTCTCGCACCAGCTCCGACTATGACACCACCAACCCCAAGGAGACGAGAAAGTACCTGAGGACCTATGGTCTGACTCCACCTGCCGTCGAGACCTTCGAGAACCAAGCCAAGAGATGTGAGTCGAGACACTCGACGGACATAGGCCTCTTCACACGCTGATATGACTCAGGTCTGGCTGTTCTTGCTTCGAGGAGAACGCCCATTGAAAAGTACCAGTACCTCTCTGTTCTGCGGAATACCAACGTGAACCTTTTCTACCGTCTGTTCGCAGACAACGTCAAGGTCAGACATGGAACAAGAGCGTGGATGGCTGCAGGATGATCTGACAAGCTTGTAGGAGCTCACCCCTCTCATCTACACACCCACTGTGGGCGAGGCGTGTCAAAGATGGTCAGAACTATACACACAGCCCGAGGGTGAGTAGGCAAGTCCACCACGCGCAGTGGATTGCTCCCTAACACACCTGTTAGGTCTCTACCTCTCGTTCGAAGACAAGGGAAATCTCCACTCGGTGATCCGAAACTGGCCGCATGATGTGGAGATCACTGTCGTCACGGACGGTTCGCGTATCCTGGGTCTAGGAGATCTCGGAATCAATGGCATGGGTATTCCAGTCGGAAAGCTCTCCCTCTACACTGCATGTGCTGGTATCCACCCCATGAAGACCCTCCCACTGTGTCTCGACCTCGGCACCAGCAATGAGCAATTCCGAAACGACCCTCTTTACTTGGGTAGTCGACGCGACAAGGTGACCGCTGAGGAAGAGAAGGAGTTCCTTGACGAGATGATGGCTGCTCTTACCGAAAGATGGCCTTCGATTGTCATCCAGTTCGAGGATTTCAAAAACCCATTCCCTTCGCTCGAGCGATATCAGGATACATACACTATGTTCAACGACGACATTCAAGGCACCGGTGCTGTCATCACCGGAGGATTCATCAACGCCGTCAAGCAATCCGGTGTGAAGCCAGCGGACCAACGCGCCGTCTTCTTTGGAGCTGGCAGTGCAGGTGTTGGTGTCGCCAAGCAACTCACCGAATTCTTCATCAAGGAGGGGCTTTCCGAAGAACAAGCCAAGAAGCGATTCTGGCTCGTGGACTCACAAGGCATGGTCACTCTCGACCGCCCTGGCAAGCCCCTGGCCGAGCACAAGGTGTACTTTGCACGTGACGACAACGACGGCCAACAATTCGAAACCTTGGAAGAGACTCTCGAATACGTGAAACCCACCATTCTGATGGGCCTTTCCACAATCGGTGGAGCATTCACGCCCCAGATTCTGACGCGCATGGCTGAGCTCAATGACAAGCCTGTCATCTTCCCACTTTCTAATCCTTCTAGCAAGTCTGAGTGCACATTCGAGGATGCCGTCAAGTACACCAAGGGCCGATGTCTATTTGCCTCTGGATCACCTTTCCCCACTCTCACATACGAAGGGAAAGAGCTGACGCCCGGACAAGGCAACAACATGTATGTCCTCTGAATGTTTTCGAGTTTCTGCATATAGCATACTAACGGTATTGGGATAGGTACGTCTTCCCCGGCATCGGTCTCGGCGCGATTCTATCCAAGGCCGTGAACGTGACGCAAAACATGATTTACGCTTCGGCCGAATCTCTCTCGACGTCACTCACGAAAGAAGAGGTGTCTGATAATTGGCTCTATCCTGACATCCGTCGCATTCGTGAGGTCTCTGTCACTGTGACTCGGGGAGTCATTCGTGCTGCTCAAAAGGATGGAATGGACCGGGAACTCTCGCTGAGGAACTTGTCGGATGAGGACTTGGACTCCTACATCCGGGCTCGGATGTACGATCCTTTCACGGAGCACGAGAAGGTTGTGGAGGAGATCAAGGAATTGATCCCTGGTGCGTAGAATGTTCCCAAGTCTGCGACTGAGATCGTATGGGACGGGCATGAGAACTGATTGTGCCATAGGCGATCGAGCGAGATTATAGGTGGCCGATTTCTAGGTGGTTCAGGCCTTTTGCCAGGAATTTCAAAGTGTTTTCCCTTTGCATGCGACACCATTTTCCAGTGGGTCATTTTTCTCTCTCAACTAATGTTGTTCTTCTCTGGCGATGATGATATGAAGGGCTTGGTGTATCAAAAGGCCGTATAATATGGGCATGCTATTGGGGTTGTGAAGACCACCTGCCATGGGCTAGTCTCGAAGCCATAGTATCACATGTACAATACATGTACTATCTATCAGTGGCAATAATGACGGCAAGTTCCACTACAGTGTACTATATATATGTCGTTGGACGTAAAATCGGTGCCTTGGTTCTAGGAGCTTCACTACAGTGTACTCAGGTATGTCGTTGGACTTGGGTGGATTTTGCCGACTGAATGAATGAATGAATGAATGAATGAATGAATGGATGGATGGATGGTTCATTGATTGATTGATTGATTGATTGATTGGTTGGTTGGTACCGTATTACAAGTATGTATATAGAACATCCCGAGTCATTACCAGATTTTCAACAAAATGTTCTTCTTGTACCTCTATCTCTCTTCTCTCTCTCTGACCTCCAGTGGTCATCTACAACTTCGCCTTCAATTTCCTTCCTTCACCATTCATAAAATACTCTTTCGCAGCCAACTTCGCCTTCTCCACCACACTCGCATCCTCAATCGTCGCAGGATACACGACATCCTTTTCAAATTCCCCCACCATGGCATGTTCCACAATCTCCTTCAAACATCTCCTCAACGTCTTTCCCGATCGTGTTTTGGGAATGACTCCCGGTGCAGCGATAAATCCTGCCAAACTCGCAATGGGTCCGATATGATGTCGCAGTTTCGCATTGAGATTGTGGAGTAAATCTGCTGGAGGGTGTTCGATGCTGATCCATGCAAAGGGGACGTGGCCTTTCATGCTATCGGGGATTCCGACGACGGCTGCTTCGGTGATGTCGGGATGGGAGGAAATAGCTTGTTCGATGGCTCCCGTGGAGAGGCGGTGGGCGGCCACGTTGATCACGTCGTCGGCGCGAGACATGACGTGGACGTAGCCGTCTGTGTCAATCATGCCGGCATCGCCCGTGTCGATCCATTGGCCGTGGAAGCGTTTGAGATAGCCTTTGTAGAAGCGATCGGGGTCTTGCCAGAGTGTGGTCAGCCCGGTGGGGGCGAGTGGCATGGCCAGGACGATGTTGCCCATGGTTTGCGGTGGGACTTGTTTGCCGTCGTCGTCGACGATGCGGACGTCGAAGCCTGGTACGGGCTTTCCGGCGCTGCCAGGCTTGATGGGGAGGGGTTTGTAGAATGCTCTGTCGTGGAAGTCGAGGCCGGTGCCGGGTAACAGTGCAAGAGATGTGATGGGGGAGCCAGATTCAGACGACCACCAGTTGTCAATGACTGTGGCGTTTTCTGCACCGTACTTGCTGATGAGCTCGTGGTACATTGTGACAATCGCCGGTTCACTTCGTTCCCCCGCCAAGAATAGCGCGCGGAGGTGCTTCAGACCACCCTTCTCGCCACGCGTTCGAAAGAACTTGTTCTCCGGATCCTCTTTTCGGATTGCTCGAAGTGCGGTAGGAGCGGTGAACATGGTATTCACTCGATGCTCTTCCACAATTCTCCAGAATGTATCCGCCGATGGTGTTCCGACAGGCTTTCCTTCAAACAGCACAGTGGTCGCCCCTGCGAAGAGAGGACCGTAGACAATATAGCAATGGCCGACAACCCAACCGATGTCACTGGCAGTGAAAAGCGTATCACCGGGTCCTCGAATGCCAAACAAATATCGTACTGTGAAGTTGAGACCGACCGCGTGCCCACCAACCTCTCTGACCACGCCTTTCGGACTCCCCGTGGTTCCGGATGTATATATAATGTATAAAGGGTCGTTACTCTTGACCGGCACATTCTCTGCTCGTTGCCCCCGGTCTCTCGCAGATTTCACCAATCGTTGCCAAGTTCGCTCGCCCATCAATCGATCCGTATCATTCCACCGATGTTCCTCCCTCTGCCAAATGATCGTTCTCGCAGGTTTATGCTTCGCCTGTTCCACCGCCCCCTTCACCATAGGCTTATACGGCAACGGACCTTTTGCGCCCTCGATTCCGCAGCTTGCAGTTAAAATCACCTTGGGCATACTCGAATCGATACGCTGCGCCAGCGACGAAGCCGAGAAGCCTCCGAATACCACGGCATGCACAGCTCCCAGTCGTGCGACGGCGAGCATCCCAATTAATGCCGCTGGGATCATGGGCATGTAAATGATAACCACATCCCCCTTTTTCACGCCCTCCTCGCGTAACGCCCCCGCCAGAACAGCAACCTCCTCGTCGAGCGTAGCATACGAGATTTCCTCCTTCTTCCTGGTGACGGGACTATCCCACCTGATAGCAATCTGGTGTCCATGTCCCGCTTCAACATGCCGCGTCACCGCATTGTACGAGGTGCTGAGTTCGCCGTCGGGAAACCATTGCCAACTGCCATGCCGGGTGCCGTCGAGGATCGTCTTCGTCGTTCTCGTAAAGGCGGTAGTGGGAGATTTGTGCCACGCGACCTGCTCGGCCTGGTGCAGCCAGAACTTCTCGGGATCCTGTTGGTGAGCTACCCATGCGTCGTCCTGCTTATGGGGAGCCATGGGGGAGAGGGTGAGAAGAAGAAGGGTCTGCTGCTGCGGCAATGACAGTTGGGTACCTGTATTGTTAGTAGGATACAGCGTCACTTACATGTGCTGAGGGAGGATTGCAAAGCTTCATATGGGTTATATGAGCTCCTCGCGTCTGCCTCCTAGAGCATTTCGGTTATGAGCACTGGGCGCCGATACATCCTCGACCGGTCGAATGGGCAACATACAGAAGCGGTCCCTTCGAGGACGATCGGCCAGTGCACAACATCCCCGCAAACTCAACTTGCCCCGGATTTGGAGAGCTCTACGCCAAGACATTAGGTCAATCCTGCACTTACTCCATCCGTCACGCCTCAAGATTTCGTCTCCAACTGGAAATGTTCGGAGGTGCCAGATGGCGGCGATACTCTGCCCTTGACCAACTCGCTCACTCCTTCACACCCTCTTCGGGCGGCCTCTTATCCACTGTGGGAGGAGCCGGCGGGCAGGATATCCCCGCGTGGAAGTGATGGAATGGTAGGAAAAGGTCATGCTGCAAGGAAAAGAAAAAAAAGGGGACATAGCAATGGTAGCATATGATGAATCCGCGTCAACATTATTGTGCATTCATTATACATATCGTGAAACGAAAGAGAACGCCGCTATAACGCTACCATCCAATGTCATCATCCAGAAACGTTCAATGTCGTCGGTCAATCTGTGCACATCTTGGGCCGCCCCATAGGATGCGCCAAGCTCTCCTTCACCCCCCCACCCCCTTAAAAAAAAAAAGACAGTCGCCCTCAAAGCATTTTTGTCAACTGCATCACTTGAAGTAGCCGGCACTGCTGCCTTCGGTGCCACTTTCAATTGCGGCAGTAGGACAGTCAGTACCAAGCCCACTATCGCTTGGTGGAGCATAATATCCCTCCAGCTCCTTCTTGTCCATTTCTCCCATCACCTCCTGCACCGCAGCCTCAATCTCAGAAGCAGTGGCATCAATTGGAGCAACACTGCTGATCTCCGACTGCGCCTCAGGCACAGTGCTGAGACTGGAGCGAGGGAGATCTGAGAGCTCCGACTCGTTGATCGCACCCAGCTGCGCATCGCGTTCATGAGCTGGAGTCTGACCCAGCTGACCATTTGCCGAGCTTCCAATGGATGTGCGGCGGTCGAGGTCGGTGCCAGTAAGGTATGAGCCGTTGCTCAGATACGATCCGGTTTCGTAGGTCATGTCGCTGGGGGCCAGACTACGGCGGCGCTCATCCTCGTCAGGAGTCTCGCCCTCCTCTCCCAGATAGCTGCCTGTAGCGTAGGACAGGCTGCCATCTGTGCCAGACAAGTAACTTGTTCTGCGCTCTGTGCCAACATCGGAGCCAAACTCCTGGGGTGAAGCATCGGCCATATCGTCTTCGTCTGACAGCTCGTTCTCCTTGTTCTCCGCTGTGGACGCAAGAGAAGCGACGCGCTGTTTGCGCTCTGTCCACGAAGGCTTACGCATGAAGTTGTGCTTGACAGAATGGCTGCGCTTGACGTTACCAAGCCCACCGCCGTTCGCCAGGCTGGGCCTCTCAGCCGAGAACGCGTGCGCTCCTGTGGGAACGTTATGGTTGATCTGGTTGAGGGACATGATTCGTCGCTCAGCCGTGTTTGGTGCGATCATCCCGTTCCGCAGAAGACCAGGCCGTGCCTTCATGGCTAAGGCATGATTTGCTTTGATAGGTGGCACAGAAGAGGTGACTGTCTGGGCAGACACCGCAGAAGCATTGCTCGGCACACGAAGGTCGCGACCCAGCGGCTTCTTCTTCGGTGGTGACGAAGTCGGCTTGACTGACTTGGACAATAACAACATGCGAGACTGGTTCATGACCCCTTCCAGCATGCGTCGCTCGATGGCTGCTGCCTTGTTGTCCATATCATGCAGCTCGTCACGGCGAATGTGTATTGCAGTCTCCATAGCAGAGACATCGGCATGGAGACGCGACCTCTGTGTGGCGAGGGCCTCCTTCTCAGCCTTAAGCTGCTCAACGGCCGCTTGAAGAGACATCTTTTCCTCGTTAAGAACCGTAATGTCGGCTTCAAGCTGATCTTTGCGCTCCAGACGACGTTCAAGAAGAAGAGCGATCTCTTCGGCTTCTTTCTCCTTGCTATCGTGGTCATCTTGAATTTGTTTATTCTGAGCGGCCACGAAAGCAGACACTTCACTCGCAGTGGCCATGACCTTGGCGTGGATCTCGTCCAAGCGTTCAAGCTGAGAGGAGCGGTCCTTGGCCTCTTCGACATGTCCCATGAGTTGGTCAAGCTTCTCGTGGACAGAAGTGTCATCGTACTTCTCGGGAGGAGCAGGGGCTTCCACGGGCGGTGGCATAAGCATCGGCAAAGACTTTTCTAATGCTTCGTGGTGGGACTTGAGCCCGTCGGCGTGCTGAGTCTTGCTCTCTTCGAAACCAGCCTTGAGGACATCTTGCAACTCTCTCACTGCCTGAGCCTGCTCTTCCGCCACGGTGGATGCTTGTTGAGAGTGCTCATAGTGCTGATTGATCAACGCCCGCACTTCCTCCAGTGTGACCATGACGCGTGGGTTGTGGTCCGCCATGTCACTCTGCACCACATCGACAGCAGCAAGAACCTTAGCAACCTCTTCCCGAGTCGCGGTATGTTCGCCCTTGAGCGCTTCAGAGGTCTCTTCCAGCTTGGCCTGGGTTGTCTCGGCTTGAGCAAACACAGTCTTGGACTCTTCAGTCATTTTCTCGACTTGTGCAGGAAGATCGCCGATGAATGCAGTCAAGGTCGAGCCGAGTGTATCAATGGAGAGCTTGAGCTCGTCGGCCATCTCCTTCGTACTGCTGAGAAGCTCTTCCTGCTTGGAGACGTTCTCGGCCATTGCCTTCGACTTCTCCTCTGCAGCAGTCTGAGCATCGTCATATTTGCTCATCAGCGCATCAAAGGAAGTGTCAAGCTTCCCACTCAGTTCAGTGACAACAGCATCCTTGTGCTCGGACTGCTTCTCCAGCGCAGACTCCGCAGATGCTGCATGATCGACCTTGATCGCCTCGATGGATGTATGACTCTTTTCAAACTCTTCCTTCAATTTCTCCATGACCTCTTTGACTTCGGCCACGACAGCTGCACTATCAGAACGCTCCTCGAGACCCTTGAGTGTCACACCGAGCGCGTTAATGCCAGTCTCCCCTTCTGCGACCTTCTCGAGGAGCTCAACCTTGATCTCTGTAATGAGATTCTTGACTCCATCGAGATGTGTAATGGTGTCGTCGAATTCCTTCTTGCGATCGTCGAATGCTTTGGCAGTAACGGCGATATCTGTCTCGTAGCTGTCGCGCATCTTGTCATGGCTCTCGCGGAAATCGTTGATCAACCCGTGCAGCTGTTCCACGTCAGACTTGGTCGGAACAGTCTCTGGATCTGGGTTGTGCATCTCGCTGACAGTGGTCTTGATCTCGGTGCATAGGACTCCTAGCGCATCGAGATCAGCCTTCGTCACCAACTCAGGCTTCTCCTCTGCATCTTGAGCGGCGCTCTTCTCCTTGAGTTCGTCCATCATGGTCTTGATGTCAGAAGCAAGCACCTCCACCACGGCCACGTCAGCCTTGGATGCTGTCGAATTGTCAAGCTTTTCGCCAATGCCAATAAGCGCTTCATTCGCGACTGCCACGGCAACTTGTATCTCATCGAGATGATCCTTCGTGGCAGCAGTGGCGGGATCGGGTAAGACCATCTCATCCAGTTGAGCCTTGGTGTTGCGAAGCAATGTCTCAATGGCGTCGGTATCTTCCTTTAGAGCAGCACCTTCGGGACTTCGCTCCTCAGACTTCGACCCAAGGCCGACTACACTCTCCTGAACCTCACGAATTATGCTCTCCAGGCTTGTCAGATCTTCCTTGAGTGCAACGCCTTCAGGGACTTGGGCCTGAAAGGTTTGGCCAGGGAATTCCTGCACAGCATGGTCAATGGCTTCGATCTTGATCTGGAGCTGGGCAAGCAGCACTTCGATGCTCTCGAAATCAGACTTGCTGACACCACTGCTGGGCTTGGAGGCAGCCTCGGCTGCTGCAATATCCTCTGGCGACAACTCGCGCGTGAGGTCACCTGCGACACCATCTGCAAGAACGATTTCACCTCCGAGCGGCTCATCCGGCTTGCCGTCGACGGACTTGATTCTCTCCATTTCGGCGCGGAGATTAGCCAGGCCATCCTTTAGCGTTTCGAGAATCTCATAGTTGACAGTCTGGTCAAGCGGCTTATCAAGGGTCTTGACGATATCGGTTCGTAAGCTTTCCAGGCCATCGTTGATCGCGTCGAGCACTTGTCCCTGATGCTGCATCACAGTCTCTGGGTTATCGAGCTTCTTTTCAAGATGCGAACGCAAGTCATCCAAGCCAAGACGGACTGCATCGAGAACTTCTTCATTGTTACCACCGAGAACGACACTACTGGCGATAGAAGTGCGCAAGTTTTCGAATTCGCCTCGAATAGCTTCAAGCTGTTCGGTGGAGATGCCCTCACTTTCATGCTTGGAAACTGTGTCTTTGACCTCGTCGAGAGTCGCGCGAATTGAGCGCAGGGTCTCATTGTCGTCCTCGCTTGTTGATCGCTCGCCAGAGCCTCCGACGACGAGAGCACTGCCAAGTGAATCTTTGAAAGCTTCCAGTTCTTGCTTCACGGCAGCCAATGCTGTCGCAGAAGCATCGCCCTGGTCCGCCAGCATCTGCGTACGGAGATCTTCAATGGTCTCGCGGATGCTGGTAGCGATTTGATCCTTGTCGGTGTCGCTAATCGTGGCCTGAATGGATTCCTTGAGTGTGGCAAGCTCTTCTCGAAGAGCAGTGACCACCTCATCAGTAGCACCACCAGCCAGCGCACTCAACTCACTACCACTGAGTTTACCGTGTAGTACAGCCATGGAATCTTGTATCGTCTCCATGAGCTCGTTCTTGTCGGCGGCATTGGCGTTCAAAATTGCGCCCTTGAGCTGATCAAACTCTTCCTTCATGGCTTCGTTGAGGTCCTCATTGTTCACCAAATCTTCGCCGCGGCTTTCAAAGTGTGCTTTGAGGTCGTCTAGCCCTTCCTTGAGGACCATGATGACCGCAGTTGTCTGTCCGGCATTGGACTCTTCAACGTCTCGCACAGAACCAGTATCCTTGATCGCAGCATGCAGTTGCTCAAATTCAGCTCGGATGTACTCCAGCATATCGGCCCTACCGCCATCATGTGATGGTCCTTCAGCACAGAAGCCTTTGACATCTTCACGCAGCTGTTCCAGGCCGCTCTTCACGGTGTCAACGATTTCGTCCTTGCCGGTCACGTCTTGGGCACGATCAACATAAGTCTCGATTTCTCGCCGCAGTGACTCGAGGCCGTCTCTGATCGCATCCAGCACTTGTTCCGTATCACGGCCGTTGGCAGCAGAGTACTGTTTGAACTCTCCACGCATACCATCGATGAGGTCGCTAAGCTGCTTCAGGACTTGATCGCTGAATCCGCCGAAAGGATCGTCCAGGCCAGCTTTGACTGCGTCGAAGAGGTCATCGCGGCTGATTTCAAGTTCACGAGGAGCTGATCCATGCTCTGCAAGACCAGCAGTCACGGCTGCAAGCACCATGGCATTCATGGCTTCATGACTGACTGGCGCTTCCGTCGGCGAGGGCGTGAACTCGTCCAGTGCCTGTCGCACATTTCCGATGAGCTCCTCCTTGAGTTGTGCAAGCTGCTCTGCCGGTAAGGGAGCCTGGAAGTCCTTGAGCGCCTCTTGCATGACTTCGTAGATCTCACCCTTGTCAATCTGAGCAGGTGTTGGCTCTTCTCGGTTCTGGCGATACTCTTCGAGGCCCTCCTTGAGCACATTCAATATCTCATCGCGCTCGAGGCCAAATTGTTGAAGCTCAATGTTGGGCTCGAAGTCTTGTAGACCCTCCTTGACAGCGGCTAGGACGCCGTCTCGGTCCACGCCCACGTTTTCAGCATCAAGCTCGCGCGCCTTCTCCACGCTCTTGCCGTGCTCGACCAGGGCGTGCTGTACCATTGCCAGCATCTCGTCCGCGTTGGGACCAGATTGGGCGACTGTAAGTTGCTTGTAGGTGTCATCATCCTGATCTGCTCGCTGCTTCAAAATGCTGGCCAGATTCGTCTTCAGTTCTGCGACTCCCTCCTCGACGATGCGCTGCACTTCCTCGAGGTGTTCTGTATCCTTGCCGTCGTTTATCGATTTGTCCAGTGTACTATTGAGCTGGGCGTCGCCAATCTGATCCAGTTTCTTGCCGAGCTCTCTACCCATGCCAAGTACTTCGCCACGGAGATCGCGCACGAGACCCTTGACCTCAGAAGAAGTGCCACCAGAATGTGTAACAGAGTCTTTGATGCGTTGAAGAAGTCTGAGAACTTCTTCGTCGTTCGAATCACGTCTCGCGCTCGACTGGTTTCCATCCTGATGCTGAGGGGAATCGAAGTTCAGCCCATGCTTTGGTGAGCCGCCATCAGTAGTGCTTACCGGGACCAATGCCTGCGATTGAGATCGTTCTCTGATAAATGCCGTCAGTTCCTCGATCTTGCGCTTGGCTTCCTTGTTCTCTTTGCCACTCTTCTCCAGCAGCTCGGACAAAGTCACCAGAAGGCGATCCTGCCCATCCTTAGTGACCATCTCACGAATGATCTTCTCCAGCATGGCCACGCTGGCGGCACCCTCAACCGAGTATGGAGATGGAGATCCAGGACATCTTGGTTCATCTAGGAAACTGTGGGCGCTGGCGGCTCGTGGGACGGATGGAGGCGATCCAAAAGGTCTGCTATCAATGTAGTGACCAAAACTGCTAGTGCTGCGCGTGGAGCCGCCTACTGTGGGAGGCGGCAGAAGGCCCTGAGTCGACACCGTCGTTGCCAAATCGCGGAGACTCTTCCGGATGTCTTCGTCGCGAGAGTTTGTAGCCTCTTTCAACGTCAAGAGATCTGTGGCATTGTCCTTACTGCGCCGACTCAGGTTCTTCATCTCGTTCTGCAAATTGGTCGCGATGGTAGTCAGATTGAGTAGTTGGCTCGAGAAGTCGTAGGTTGTGTGCATGCGCGTGCCGGTTGGTGTGCTCGGTGCGTTTCCATTCGTGATATCGCTGAGAGGGGGGTCCGGCACCTGCATGGTTTGTAATGCCAGCATCGTCGCTGAAGGGGGGGTGTTCTCGCCATATATGGAGTGTCGTTGTCTTGTAGCCGGTCTGAGGGTAGGCGTGTCTTTCATGATGTCTCGCTCTTTCTCTGCAGGCGTCGGAGTCGTGCTACGCTGTGGCGTCGGCGAGAGGTCCTCGATACTGTTCATCCGACCTGGCATCCATGAGTGCCGTGATGAAGGACGCTCTTGGGGACGTTCTGGAGATCGATTCTCGAGGTAGCTGCGCAAGTCCTTGACCGGACTGGTTTGCAACGATTGCATGCGCTTGTGGTGCGCGCCCTTGACTAGACTTCTCTCATCACCGCTCTTATTCTGCGTATAGCTCGATATGGGCGCGCTCTCCCGTGCCTTCTCTACTATGGCCTTGGCAGCGGCGGCAATACCAGCAGATGTGTTGGCTTTGGTCGGCGACGAGCCTGTGGAGGGGTTGAGGGGCAATGGCGGCGGCGCGCGTTCGGGGTCAGAGCTGTCCCACCTGCGTTTGATTGCGGTCAGCAAGGTCATGATGTCCGAGTGTTGGCAGCCATGTCAAGTCGGTGCGGTGCGGTGCGGTATAGCACGCGCCTGTGTTGACACGGGCGCCAAACAAAGCGATTGTACTCACATGGGCACGCTGCCTCTACCGTCGGTGAGGCTGAAGGAATGCTTGTGGCCCGCAGCGCCGTCTCGATCGCTTGAGGCTTCCCTCTCGTGCCCGGACATGATGTGTCGCGGGCCTGGGTGGATCGAAGTCGAGCCGAGATTATTTGTTTGACTGGAATGCAGTCGCGTAGAATGCCCGTCTAATTGGCCTCGCTCCGGGCGTTCAGGTGCAGCATAGGTATGAACCAAGTCGTGATTAACCAGAACGCTTCAATGTAGAGGAAGTCAGAATGTTGGTGTATGTCTGTTTGGATGTTTCAACGAAAGCAAGCAAAGTTGGTGGTTCTGCCGTTGATAGTGAACTTTAGCTGTGTTGTTGTGATGATGATGTGGGGCGTTGCTATAGCGGGACGCTCCGAGCCCAAGTTGACCTGACTCGACGCCAAAGACGCGTCTCTGCGGCCTCTCGCTTCCATCTTTCTGTCGGGCATCCAATCCCATCCAATCCCATCCAATTCCATCCACCATCTGCTACCCAACAACCACTCAATATAGCACAAATAAGCCTCCGCGACGTGGCGACAGATATTGCTGCGGGTTGACTGAACCTGATACAGCGAAGAAGCAAAACCAGCTCTGCAGCTAAGAAATCGCCAAGTGGTATCTCGAGCCAACATGATACATAGGTAAGGTACTGTAGAGAAAGGCGGTCTGAGTGATGATCACTACCACTAGCAACAGCGTAGCAACGAGCTGGATGCGCAATGCATATGCGCAAGTTGAGCGTTTTTGGTTTGTACAGATGCCATGGGTTAGTTATACAAGCAGATATACATGAAGAAGGAAAACCAGCTTTGTGTGATACATCTTACACCATCCTACCCGCCCTTCCACCAATGCTCCCTCCGGCCTTTCTCCGCTCATAAAATTTCCGCCCTTCATCAACCCACAGAACTGTGCTAGCCAGCGCCACCAGTTTGAACAAGTCACCCAGACTCAGCGCCTCGGTCTGAAATACCGATTGCAAGGGCGGAAAATATATCACCAACCCCTGCCCTAATAACGACCCGAAAACAGCATATGTAAACATGACATTTCCCTCTTGCCCGGCCGCAGTATTACTTTTCCCTAGCCAATGCGCCGGTAACAAAGGTACCTCTCCTCTCAGTACAGATCTGGTGGCAGAACGACAAGCCAGAGCGTTAAACATGTCGAACAGGACGAATTGCGTGAAAGTCAGAGTCGTATCTCGAGCGGAGACGGAATGGGCTGCGAGATCTTCGGGTGTGAGATTGGAGACGTAAGTGATGAGTGTTCCGAGGATGATTATGACGGCCGACTGGAGCACACGGCGGATGAGTCGTGGAGTCAGGACGCGTGCGTCGCGAGGTCGAGGAGGTTGGGAGAGGAGGGCTGGATCTACGGGCTCGACGCCGAGAGACTGCGCAGGTGGGCCGTCCATTATTATATCTGCAATGCGCCGGTGGTCAGTGGTGATGATAATGATGATGCTTGAGAAAGTGGGGGTGAAGACTCACTAATCCACAGAATTTGCATTGCGTTGAGAGGATTCTTCCATCCTCCGAGTGAACTCAGCATCACCAGGCCCAGCGCTGCGATGCTGGTGGACAGCTGGAAAGTGATAAAGTTTTGAATGTTGTAAAAGATGCCCTTTCCCTCTTCAATGGCATTGAGGATCGTGCTAAAGTCATCGTCGGTGAGAATCATGTCAGCTGCTTCTTTTGCAACATCCGTTCCCAGCTTGCCCATCGAAATGCCAATGTCTGCTTTCTTCAACGCTGGTGCATCGTTGACACCATCGCCAGTCATGGCAACGACGTCTCCACGACTTTGTAGTGCACTGATGATCTTGAGCTTGTGCTCAGGCGACGTCCTTGCGAATATTGATATTCTGCTCATGGCTTCTGCAAGTTCGGCTTCGCTCATATGATCAATCTGGTCGCCTCGTAACACTGGCGAGCCAATGGCAGAATTGAGGTTGATTGGCATGCCTAGCTTCCTCGCAATGGCAACTGCTGTGGTCTCGGCATCACCGGTGATCATGATCACTTTGACACCGCCAGCCATGAGTCGTCGAATAGACCTGTCTACGCCTTTACGCGGCGGATCAGACATGCCAACAAGACCTCCGAAGCAAAGTCCGCTGAAGATATCCTCTCCATTCGGAGCTGGCTGCTGCTTTCCACCACGAGTAGATGCCGGAGTAGATGAGCGACTGCTTGCACTGACGTCCCTACTGGCATTCCTAAGACCTCGCAGTCGGACAGGACCCGAGGCGAACGCAAGCACGCGCAGACCTTCTTCGGCCATCTCTCGCGCTGCAGCATCAACCTCTTGCTTGCGCTTCTCATCTAGCACAACCTCGCCTTGGCTGGAGATGTACGTGTCGCACCTGTCAATCACGCGCTCCAAAGCACCTTTGATATACGCTGTGGTATCGCCATTCGACCCCTCGAGTATGACGCCCATCCACTTGCGCTCGCTGGAAAAGGGTACTTCATGCTTGCGCTCACCGAGACGAGCTCGTACATCATCTTCGTGAAAGTTATCCAACATATCGAGCAGCGCGACATCTGTCGGCTGGCCTGCCCACCGACTCTTCGCATTTGCCAGGTCATCCTGACCACCTGTGCTGGCAAGGACGGCAGCACTGGCCGCAGTGATCTGGCCGTGAGTGTGCGTATTGAGCCTGCCATTGTTCACAATGTTCGCGGCTCGCAAGACGGCCTGTGTTGTAGCAGCGTTCGGCGCGTCCGTTATCACCTTTGCCACTTCTTGAGGTCTCCCGTCCCCGAAACTCCACATTCTCGTTGCAGTCATGTGGTTTTGCGTCAAAGTGCCTGTCTTGTCTGAGCAGACCACATTGACGGATCCTAGCGTCTCTACGGATGGAAGCCTGCGAACGATTGCGTTTCTCCTGCTCATGCGCAGGACACCTAGCGCAAGAGTCACCGTGACAATGATGGGAAGTCCTTCTGGAATCGCTGCGACAGCCAGAGATACGCCGATCTGGAAGAGCTCCAAGAACTTTCTGCCTCTCCAAAGTCCAACAAGCATGATCAAGGTGATGACGCCGAACGACATGTAGCTCAGCTCCTTGCCCAAGCGATCCATGCTTTCCTGTAGAGGCGTCCTTGGGGACTCGATTTCTGCAAGAGATGCACTAATGGCACCAAATTCTGTGTCACCACCAGTACTGACGACAATGCCCTGTCCATACCCTGATCTCACCAACGTTCCCTGAAAAGCGATATTCGTCTGATCTGTTAACCTGATCTCCCCACCCCGTAGTATAGTGCTAGGATCGGTACTGCCATTGGCATAAGCGACCGGTCCAAGGGTGTCGGCAGTCTTGCCGACAGGCTCATTCTCGCCTGTCAAATTGCTCTCATCGATGCTCAAGTCCGCCGCATGTGTTATTCGTATGTCCGCAGGTATCCTGTCTCCAGTGTGAAAGAGCACGAGATCACCAGTCACCAGCTGCGATGCTGAGATGGTCGTGCTCGCCCTGGTCGCCTTCTCCTCGCTATCGGAGTCTCCTGATTCTTTGTTTTCGGTGGACACGGCTGATGTACTAATGCCCCTGATTACGTGCGCATAATGCGGCACCAGTTGGTTCAATGCTTCCAAGCTCTTCTCACTCCTATACTCCTGCACGAAAGCCACGCTCACGACAATTGTCACAGCGATTGCAATAGACACTGCATCCTCGAAATTGCCCATGACGGCCGAGATGGCGGCACTCGCGAGCAGGAGCAAGATGAGAGTCTCCTTGAACTGCTTGGCAAAGCGCAGCCATAGTGGTTCGGGCTCTTCTCCGGGCAGTTCATTGGGGCCTTGCACGTGAAGTCTCGTAGACGCATCGGACGGGTGCAAGCCATTGGTGAGGGAGGTCGAGTGCCTCTCCGCGACCTGCTCCACAGTGAGCACGGCATGCTGCGATGTCACCGACTGCTGCCCAGGGAGTTTGATTCTGCTACTGTTGCGTGTATGGGCGGATGCTGCAGTGGACGTCGGCGGAGCAGCCAGCGACTGTTGCTGCGGCGAGGGCGAGGTTCGTGATGCATGTTGCAGTGGGATGATGGGCGGGCTGGACCTGGACATTCTTCGTCGTCTCTCCCCCCAGCCATGAACGCTGCTGGCCGTTCGTCTGCTTCTTCTACCTGGGCGTCGTGTTTACTGTCGTGATTGTCGGAATCGCATTGGAACCGTCTGTGTTGCGGTGTGTGGCACTGTTTTCTGTCAATACCGGTCGAAGTCGTCTTTGTCTTCGTCTTGTGCCTGAATCTGCCTTCTCACAGCCATCCACTTCAATTCTGCCAGTCGTGTCAGCGAGCACACCACAGTGACCATACATTGGTAAAAGGACAACGATCCCTGTCGGGCAAGCATGCTCGCGGCGCGGCGGCGAAACCTTCGTTCCGCAGTGCGGTTGAATGGGCCACTAGGCCCGTCTCCCGTCCCGCGTCTCCAGCCACTCCGGAGCAGATGAACACAGCTCTCGGGCTCTCCTCGCTGACGGCGCACACACAACGACACGACACAACCCACCGCCGCCGTCGCCGCCGCCAGCAGCAGTCCCGCTCCACCACCGGCACTGGCGACACATACTGCTTGCGCCTACAATTGGATCGTCCCTTGTCACGACATGTGCTCCTGAACGACGCCCTCCGCCAGGCTCTAGCGACGAATGAGACGCGTCGGTCGGCAGTCATAACAACGCGCTCATCGATCCGGTCGCATACTTCACCACTGCATCGAACACGCCTTTACCACCTCGACACACGCATATTCAACGTCGCGTAGGGCGACTGCATCCTCTCCTGCCATCCGCCATGTTTTACGAAGCGTCCCTCCTCACCAAGACCGGGCCCTTGGCTCGCGTCTGGCTGGCTGCCAACCTGGACAGGAAGCTCACCAAGACCCAAGTCCTGCATTCGAACCTCGATACCAATGTCAAGGATATCATTGGAGATGCTCAAGCGCCAATGTCTCTGCGGTTGACGGGCCAGCTGCTGTTGGGAGTCTGCAAGATTTACAACAAAAAGGCAAAGTACCTCATGGACGACTGCAGCGATGCACTGCACAAAATCAAGATGGTTTGTCTCATGCGTTCACGCGTATGGATCACAAGCTGACAATGGCGTAGGCCTTTCGGCCCGGCAACGTTGATTTGCCTAGCGATCAGTCCCACAAGGCCAACCCGGCCGCATTGACTCTTCCTGATACCATTACAGAGCTTGACCTCTTTGCGCCCATGCCCGATCCTGAAGAGCTTCTACGGGAACCCGAAGAACGCGCGCCAGGTCAAGACCCCACTCTCCTCGACTATGGTATGAGCCAAATCATCGACTCTCAGACTCCAACGCGGACACAACAGAGGCGAACTATGGCTCTCGATTATGACGATCTCGGTCTGGACCTTGGACTTCCTGATGAAGAACGTGCACGTGGGAGCCCAGACAGCGATGGCCCGAGCATAGAACTGGGACGTCGAGCACCAACACCACGACGCGACGAACCTACCCTGCTTGAGGTCGATGACCTTGGACTCGATTTCGGATTCGATGACACTACACTACGACAGACTACTGAGCAGCCAGATGCTCCCGTTCTAGGCGGCGACGAGGATCTCCAGATGGGCGGCATGGACGAGGAAATCGAGAAGGCCAATGCACACGCTCTCGAGCGTGCAAAAGCTGCTGGTGAGCAACGACAACGAGACTCTGCATCTCCTCTTTCGTCTGTCCGCAGTAGTGTGGAGCGAGACCTGGAAAGGACATTTCAGCTCGACCAGGCCATGAACGAGGATGAAGACGAAACGATAGCTCAAGCGCAACAGCGCGTCAAGCGCAGAAAGGTTATTCGCATAGATCACCATACTGAGTTCTCCAGTAACGAACTCAAGAAGCTTCAGGAGGACCGCTCTGCTATCACCAAAGCTCCCACATATCTGCCGCACGACCCGCTGCTCCTGTCCCTTATGGAAATGCAACGGAACGGCACTTTTGTAAGTAACCTTATGGGCGATGGAAGTATGCAAGGCTGGGCGCCTGAGCTGCGTGGCATCCTATCTCTGGAAGTCGTTCGCAGTGCAGGTGACAAGAAGCGCAAGCGAGACTCAGGCATTGCAGATGTCGACAGTGGCAGCGACAAACAAGCCACTCCCCAGCTAGAGATTCCCGCCGAGGATGATTCTGGTGTACAAGGTGGCGCAGGCGATCTTGACGCGACAGCCAACGATGACGCTCCGGTAATGATGGACGATCAAGATGAGGAACTTCACGAAGACGAAGCCTACGACGCAGGTGTCAACTTTGACATCACCGAAGCACCTCTCCTGCATCCCTCACAATCAGGACCTGTCGCTATCGGCACAAAGAAAATGGTCCACATGCTACGAGAACACTTTGCGCCTGGGCATCCCACAGATGCCAACGAGCCCCCGACGCCGAGCAAGCGAGTCAAAAGCTCAGCCCTGTTCACGGATCTATGTCCTGAGAAGCAGACCACGCGACAGGACGCCACGAAGATGTTCTTTGAACTGCTTGTTTTAGGCACGAAAGATGCCATCAAAGTTGAGCAGGAAAGCAAAGGACTTGGTCTTCCCATTCGAGTACGTGGCAAGCGTGGACTGTGGGGTGACTGGGCTGAAATGCAATCTGGCGGCGAGATTGCCAGTCAACAAGAAGACGCGGTCGCCAGAGCCGAAGAGCTCGCATCAGAAGTTGCGGCCGAGGCGTAGACTTTTGTGCTCATCTGGTACTTTTGGCTTGACTTGTCTTGGAACTTTGGCCTCAAGAAATTGGAACAGCGATGGCGCTGCGGTGTATGGCGCGAATTCTTATCACATAACGGTGGAATGGACAACATGAGCGCAGTAAGCTTATGGTCAGTACCAGACGATGTTGGACGGAAGGGGAATACTTCTTGGATATCTTCTTGCCGAGCAGAAGGAAAAGCTTCGGACTTTTACCTAGTAGTTGTGATATCCTCTTGAGCGATTGATGGAAGAGCAAGATGGAATTAGGTAGTATTGGATTGGACGAGGTGGAGAAAGAATCTTGAGCTGTTTCCAGCAATGACAAATGATCTTTTTTATGGCTTTCACAGTCTTGATATATCTTTGAACTTTCCAGTCATCTCCTTGCACCGTCGGTCGTATTGACTTGAGGTAATTGAAAATATGGCCTGCCACCTTGATACTACCTTACTACCTAGGTAGGTATTGAAAATATGCCAGAGTTATTATAATAAGTCACGTCGTTTTATGGGCCACCAAACACATATACACAAACGTCAAGAGCAGCACATCGGCATACAATCGTCGTTTTGTGTCAACTGTCACAAGAATGTACGGATGGATGTACTTCCACCCTACCTTACTTTTCATTCATCCCGACATTCATCCATCATACCTCACACTCAACTCCACAACTCCTCAAACCCTCCTCAAAACCGTCACAGCATCCTGCACCAACTCAATCCACATATCATCCTCATTCTGCGTCGCCTGCATCAAACTCTGCAAATCCCTCCATTCGCCTTGCACTTTCGGTTGGAAACACATTCGCACCCCGAGTTCCAGCCCATCCACCACAAATGCCATGTCGACACGCCCATTCAGTCGAAACCACGGGCTGGCGCCGGGCCGGAGACGCATGGCTTGGTCGACGCCATCGAAGGCGAGCATGGGAAGGCCGTTGTCTTCGAAGATCTCCCATTCGCCGTCGTGCAGGGTGAGTAGGGATGTGAGGTGGGAGGGGGTGTCGACGGTTCCGGCGGGAGAGTGTTGTTGTTGCTGCAGTTGTTGAGGGTTAGGCGGAGATGCAGATGATGTTGTGGTGGTGGTGGTGGCTGTTGTTGGTGGAGAGGAATATGAGCCAGGGATTTTCTTGGATGTCCAGTGGCCGACGAAATCTTTCCATTTGTCGCCCGTGTTCAAGCCTTCTGGAGCGGTATATGGGGGGAAGTCGGTCATGTTCCAATTCGCAGGCAGAGTGTCGTATAGGGGCCACACGCGAAATGTGAAGATGGCGGCTACCAGTTTTTTGATTGTGGGCCATCCGAGTGCGGAGTTGGTCATGATGGCCAGACTCATCAGACGGGGATTGTTGAAAATGGGAGGTATCTCGTTGATTCTATGTCCGCCGAGAACATAGCAAGTGTAGCCTGGTTCGTTTTGTCCAGTGTGGCCAAAGAATGTCCGGTCCATTGCCCAGCCCATGCCCATGGGTCGAGCTGATGGTGCGTCGTTGGGAGCAACCAGTGTGAGCATTTTTCGGGCAGTCTTTGGACTGAGGAAGCCATTTTGAGAGTACAATGAACGCTGAATGGCAGCAGTAGCCTTCAGGAGATCCGATGGCGTGGTCCATAGTCCAGCAGCTGCTAGTTCAGTGAATCGATGGTAGCCCCGAGACGATGATGTGCCGGGTGTGTACGCCGTAGAGTATGCCCGGGCGTAATTGTTGTCCCCCGAGATAGGATCACCATATCGACTCCGTGACATGCCCAGGGGTATTAGGACAGTCTCTTGCATGAAGTCTGCAAAAGGCGTCCATGTGATGTGTTCCAGAACGACCTGCAGCAGCGTGAATCCGCCGCCAGAATAACTGTATTGACTCCCAGGCAAGCTGGTGAATCGTATGCGAGGCGTGTTGGAAGGAGGCTTTCCGCTGAATAGTTCTGGATACTTTGCGGGCTCGCCCACATATCCAGGAAATCCGTGCTGCGATAAACCCGATCGATGACTGAGGAGCATGCCAACCGTGACATGTTGCAACAGGTGTTCAGTCTTGTCGTCCACAATGGATTCTGCAATCGGCGGCGGGATATGTTCAATAATCTTCGTGTCGTAGCTGAGTCTGCCCTGGTCCACCAACTTCGCCACTGCCAACGCGGTAATGGCTTTGGATATGCTGCAGGCTTGATATACTGTTTCTGCGTTTTCAGCTCCACTCGACATCACATGGTGCTGGACTGGACTGAGCGGGTCATCCAGGAATGCCATGGACACTGACGGTATTCCGGCTTCTCGTAGTTGCGCTGCATTGACCACAAACGTCTCCAGATCTTTGAGCACGCCCATGATGGACGAACAGCATACCGATCTGCTGCAGACGGGCGGAAGACTGTATTTACCTTAGTACATATGTACTGGTGGAGGAGTGCGTATGTATAGTAGGTATATTCCGATGGATGGCAGCGCTGTGTTCACGGTATGATGGCCGTGTCTGCAGCGAGAGTGCTCGAGTTACATTCTCCAGCTGTTCAACACCAGTCCAGCTCGTGTGAGTCGGTCGCATGGAATATTCCTGTGGATCTCAGTCATCTGGGCCCACTCTGCGACACCAGAAGTACTAGGAGGTACTAGGTAATATACTTTAGTACATGTACCTACGTGCTTGTGTAGATGACCTCCGAGAATGCCGATTGTCCGAGCTCCATCTGGCAACATCTTGACAAACGTATACTATATACCTACCTAAAGGTACTGTTATGTATGTAGTTCTAACGAATTCTTCAAATCAGGTAGCTGTATAGGAAGGGGAGTAGTGAAAGTGAAGGAGTACCGGACACTCGGGGCCGAGCACAGCAGCGCCAAACAAGAGCCACCCGTTTTCGATGACTTTCCGCCAGTAATAGGGTGTTGCGAACAAGAACGCTACCGCAGCAGGGCCACAAAGTCTGTCCGGTACCTCCTACGATACCACATAGTCAAGCAATACCTGAGCCAGAGAAACTCCGCCCATTGAGGGAGCATCGGATTGTAGTGACTGCACAGCACAAGAAAGAAATTTTGTTAACATGTGCCAAATGACCGTTATCCTTTCTTCATGTCTGTCTAGGCCCGGAGGGTATCATTTTGCAGTCTGATATCATACACAGACCAGTTTTCACCTCCTCCCTCGACGAAATCCGCAAACGCCGCTATGTGCATCCCGCTAAAATATCATCACAAAAGAATTGCCGTCTTCGACAGCCTAGGAATCTTTAGAGGCTGGGTTGCTCCGGTCGCAACTGCAACTTGCCGTTCCACATGCCTATGCGGAGGCAGAAACAGTCTCAACTTCAATCTTAGGCATATGGGCACCAGTACCGCCAAGATCCGTAGCCTTCTGCTTCGGGTTTTTGGTATAATAGTTGTTGATGGCAGACTTGATAGCATCCTCGGCAAGCATGGAGCAGTGCACTGCATTACGAATTAGTTCCGCTCTTTCCTCTCACTTCCTCCGCTTATCACAGGCTGACTTACACTTGACAGGAGGCAAACACAACTCCTTTGCGATCTCCGTATTCCTAATCCTGCCAGCTTGCTCGAGAGTCATGCCCCTGACCAGCTCGGTCAGATAACTCGAGCTCGCAATTGCGGAGCCACATCCAAACGTCTTGAAAACGACATCCTTAATCATGTCTTGTCCGTCCTTGTCCTTGCCGACCTTGATCTGCAGCTTCATGACGTCTCCGCATGCTGGGGCGCCCACCAATCCAGTCCCAACGTCGGCGTCATTCTTCTGCATGCTGCCCACATTGCGAGGGTTGTTGTAATGGTCGAGTACCTTCTCGTGGTACGACCGACGGGCGTTTTGTTGCACGATGGGTGCCGATGTACGTGCGATGAAGGCATTTCGGGCGGTCGAGTTGGCTGCTGTGCGGAGAGCAGATGTGGCTGTTGCCGGCGCTGTGGCGAGGACGCGTTTGAACATTTTGAGGTTTCTGAGTGGTCTGTGAGGCGAGTTCGGGATAATACGTGCTTCAATTGACGGTGCGGGTGATGGTTTGGTTGAGTTGGAGTGGTTGTAGGTGAGAATGACAAAGAGAAAGAAGCAATCGTCATGGTCGACACACACAGAGCTTTGTGGTCTCGATTCTCGGCTAGACGCCTCCGATTGGCGGAGGCCAAGCACTATCTCGCTGATGACGATCAGGAAAGGAAATAGACAGCGAGGGCGGCGACTGTCATGTGAACTGGAGCTTGATTCATCCAATGTCGTGAATAATGCTGCTGAGTTCGGCGGCAGTTGCTGCCTGCCGCTCTATGCTATGGCTATGGTACAGTGACAGCAATTACTTTCCATGTCATCAACGTTGCTCAAATTTCTACTCGAGCAGGCTTGCTTGGTTCGTGTACAGCACATCGACAACACTGCCCAGCTTGCCAATAGTGTCCAGAGCAGCATCGTAGCCCTTATCCCGCTCAGCCTCTTCAAAGATCTCGAGCACGCCTTGTCCTTGGTCAACGATGCCAATGATAACACGGTCAAGGATCATTTGCGCGAGCTTCCGCTCTACTTGCCCGACATCGAGGCCGACCATCTTTGCAACGTGAGTGATCTCAACGCGGGAAAATGGCTCAATGACCTTGATCAGGTTCTGCTCCAACATGCTGTCGTACAGTCGTCGCAAATGCGAGGCAATAAAGCGATCACCGCCAAGCTCGTAGCGGTATGAGTGGAGAGCCTGTTCGTACTCTTCGAGACTGCGATTATTGTGTGCGCGTGCAACGGCCTTCATGGCATCCAAGTTCTTGCCTGCGTATTTGATGGCGTGCTTCGAAGTCATGAGAGAGTCGACATCTTCCTTCAGGTTCAGCATGATTTTACAAAGGAGCATGTACTGCAGAGCAGCAGTCGCCTTCGTCGCATCGTCCAGTCCATGGTAGCCTTCCATAGCTTCGATGAAGTACGAGAAAGCTGTGTTGAAGTCACCGTCTTCGGCGTGTAACTGTCCGGACTGCATATCCAGGCCAGCCTGTAGGAGCGGCGGCGTGTAGACTGACGCAGCACTGGTCCTCGCACTCGTCAGAGCTGCTCTTCCCTTTGGAATGTTGCCCAAAGCGTGGTAGACCTTGCTCTCCAGCAGTTGCACCTCGACCAAAACCAGCTTATCATCTAATCGCTTCAGCTCCTTGAGCAGATTGTTGATGAGTGTGAGCGCATCGTAGTATGCTTGCGTTTGCATGTACAGGTTGACCAGTCGGACCTCAAGACTCTGACGCAGGAATCCCTGCTTCTGGGAAACGGCCCATTCAATGGAAGACTTCGTGACGGTGATCTGGGTGTCGGTAGTTTTGGGTATCGCAGCGAGGAGGTCGAGAAGCTGTCGCACTGCCGTTCTGTTAGTATGTTTACGCGCAGTCTTCTTTATGGTCTGGTCAGCATACCAAGCTTAGCAGTCTTCGCCCTCGCAAAGCTGGTGAGCACATTCCGCGTCTGTTCGATGAGGCTGACAAGGTCTTGTGTCCGCTTGTGGTCTCTGTACAGCTCGCCTAGGCCAGTGAGCGCACTCTCAAAGTCGCGTAGAGCCTTGTCATTCTGCCCTGGCGGTTTCGATAGAATGTCCTTGTAGGTAGCCTCTGCCTTCTGTGGTTGATCTTTGGCCAGCTTCCGCGCCTCCTCTATCCGCTTCACGTTGTCCTCCTGTGCCATATTATTGTCTTGATGTCCAGTCACTGATGCACTGCTCGAAACGTTGATTGAGAGTGTTCGAGTATGAAATCGGTGTTGCGATGCGAAGATGTGGTGGTTGTGTGTTGTCGCCAGCTCCGAACGACGAGGCAGGCAGGCACGGATGCACGTTGATCATCGGCGCTCTTTAACTTTTGGCCGAACTTTCTCCAACTTTTATAATTCCTCTTCCTCTTGTCTTCCCACCTTGCCTGCGGACACCATGGACTGAAGATGGTTAGTATTGCACGATACTGGTGATGTGTTGGATCGCGTACTGATGGAATGCAGAAAATCAAAGCGCTCACTCGCTCGACGAGCTCCATACAGACGCCTGGCAGCGATGTTGCTCGCCAACCTCGAAATCTCGATCCTGCTGTGCACCCATTCGAGCGGGCACGGGAGTATACGCGCGCACTTAACGCTACGAAACTTGAGCGCATGTTCGCTGCACCCTTTGTCGCGCAGCTAGGGAGAGGCCATGTGGATGGGGTGTATGCTCTAGCCAAAGATCCTACAGCGCTCGAACGAGTTGCCAGTGCAAGTGGCGACGGAGTTGTGAAGGTCTGGGATCTCCCTACGCAAAGCGAGGTATGGCAGTCGCAAGCACATCAAAACTTGGTGAAAGGGATATGTTGGACTCAGGACCAGAAACTGTTGAGCTGCGGGACAGACAGATTTGTTAAATTGTGGGATCCCTACAACACTGCAAGTGGCAGCAAGCCAACAGCGACTTGGACAGGGCCAAACTCTTTCTCGTCGTTGACAATGCATAGACACGAGCGCAACTTTGCTGTCGCAGCCTCGTCAAGCGTACAAGTCTTCGATGTCGACCATCCTTCGGATACACCACTTCAGAGCCACACATTTACTGGCGCGATCGATACGATTACCGATCTGAAGTTCAACCAGTCCGAGACATCTATATTAGCAGCAGTTTCAAACGATAGCTACCTGACCTACTACGACTTGAGGACTTCTTCCGCTCTACACCGACAAAAGCTTCGCATGGCTGGCAATAGCATCGCCTGGAACCCGATCGAGCCTTTCAACATTGCAGTGGGTAAGGAAGACCACGATATCAATATCTTTGATATGCGGAATCCCAGCAAGGCCTTGAATACCTTAAAAGACCACGTCTCGGCAGTTATGTGCGTTGACTGGTCTCCTACCGGCCAGGAGCTGGTGTCCGCCTCGTACGATCGTTCGATTCGTCTTTGGACGCCACTGAAATCTGGTCGCAGTCGCGAGCCATATCACACGAAGCGCATGCAACGTGTTTTCTCGTGCACCTTTACAGGCGACTCAACTTACGTGCTTTCTGGGTCTGACGATGGTAACATTCGTCTCTGGCGTTCTAATGCTAGTGAGCGGAATGGTATCAAGTCTGCAAGGGAGCGTCAAAAATTAGAGTACGATCAAGCTCTGAAGGAGAAGTGGAAGCACATGCCGGAGATTCGCAGAATTGCCAGACACAGGCACCTGCCAAAGGTTATCAAAAAGGCTGCCGAGATTAAGACCGAAGAGCTCGCGGCGATCAAGCGACGTGAGGAGAATGAGAGGAAGCATTCACGGGCTGGACAGAAGAAGAGACGAAGTGAGAGGGAGAAGGCTGTTGTGGCCGTCGAGCAGTGATGATCCACTGCGGACCTGAATGCGAGTTCATGCATGGCGACGGCGTTTTGGCAGGGCTTTTTCAGGCGCTGGATGATACCACGATACAGGCAATATCCCAGCGTAGTGACTTCTTCCTCGCTCCAAGCAAATACATAATGCGAGTTCTTTCACTCTACATTCGCCGTGCAGTTCAACTTCACGACTGATGCGCGTACCCGACTGTTTTATGCTTTTCCCGTATGATCTACGCCAAGGCGCTAGAGCCAAACCGGTGTACTGCCACGCCCTCGATCGCTTACCTCCTACATGTAGGAGGTACCCTTCTCCACCTTCTGTCTCCTTTACACTCACCACATCCAATTCGAAACTCGGCCAGTTCCCTCTACACCCTCGAACGATGTCTTCTCGCGGCGGCGGTACCACTCTCTATGTCAGTGGCTTCGGTCATGGCACACGCGCACGCGATCTTGCCTACGAATTCGAACGGTACGTCCAATCATCCCCGAACCTCATTTGAACACAGCGACGAATACATCCCTCCTCGCATGCAGTCATTGCGCGCCCGCTGCTGCTCGCGCAACTTGCGCTCCCGCTTGACAAAATTGCGACGGCTTATTGCGCGACATGGCAACGATTTGAAGATGGACTGACAGACTCGAAGATATGGCCGACTTGTCCGCTGCGACATACCAGCACCACGGACCGCATCGAGCAGACTGTAAGACAGCTCTCCAATAGGTTGTTGAGCAACTATACTGATGTGATACAGCTTTGCCTTCGTTGAGTACGAAAATCGCCGGGACGCTGATGATGCTTACTACGAGATGCACAACAAGCGCATCGGGCGCGATGACCTGCTGAAGATTGAGGTATGTACAGACAAATTTTAAGCAAGCATGCTGGAAGTTACTAACCGGACTCCTACAGTGGGCACGCACACCACCATCTGCTAGCTGGCGCTTCGACCCAGGTGCCGATCGACCACGCGATGGCCGTGATGGAGGTCGCGGTGGCGGTCGCGACGACAGAGGTGGACGTGACAGGCGCGAGCGCTCTCCTCGCCGCCGCTCTGGTTCTCCGCCACGAAGCCGTCGCCACGACGACGATCGCGAGGGAAGCACACGAGACCGCGACTATGACCGTGGATCTCGCCGTGATGACCGGGACGACCGACGCCGCGAGCGCACACGTAGCCCAGAGGCAGACCGTGATCGAGCCGACCGTGACCGAGACATGAAGGATCGTGACGTACGCGACGAGGATCGGGATGGCGACCGTGATGCCGACCGACCAGCGAGGGACGACCGCGACCGCGATTTTGAGGCCAATGGCAGCAACGGCGACGTTGGCAAGGGTGAGTTCAGCATCTTGAAAACACGCATGACGCAGCGTACTGATTGGCTCATCACAGAGGAGGCGCGAGAGGAAGAGGCTCCTCCAGCCGCGCATGATGATTTGGACACCGCCGAGTAAGGGCAAGGCTGACTTAGTGCACCAGCTCTCGCTATCCGGCTGCGTGATGCCTCAGCATCTGGCAGCGGACCGTTGCAATTCATTTGAGACGGGAAGCGGAGAACGCAAACGCCGTACCATCGACGACCGAGCCGGGCGCGCGAAAAGCAAAAGCAGCAAGACAGTGAACTGAGAGAGTGATATGGTAAAGTGTGATACAATTGACTGCTATCGAGGCTGCTGCGGAGGTTCAACTTTATTACACACAGGGACGGGCTAGCATCGACCGGATTATCCTCGAAGCGAATCGACCAGCTTGACTTGACGCCGTTTTCCTTCGAAGCGGATCCTCGTACCTCGTCGTTATTACCATATCGAGCGAACCCTGATGCAACAGCAACCAGCGTACCTCCCGTCCTTCCCTCGTCCCTTTCGCTCACTCGTTCGTTCCCCCGTCCATTCCCCGCCGTCCTCGCTCGCGCGATCCGTTCCCGATCGACCTGAGTCACCCAATATCATGCTCGTCTGCGACTCCTGCGATCCTGACTTGAGCGCCCGATCCTGCAGTTCCTGGCCTGACAAGACTTCTAACATGACAGCTGCTCGAACACGCACACAAGTGGTAAGCTATGCAACTACTAACTGGTAATGCGTACATCTGAATCATGCAACACATTACCATGGTTATGCGAAGACCGTACACAACGTGAGATTGTTATCGCGCTCATACAGGGCAGTAAATGATATTTGTAGATTCAGTATAATTACTCAATATCCTCGGGCCTCTTTTGAGGACTCCTCGAGTTGTCGCTCCCATGAATTCCGCCTCTGTTTAACGGATCTCCAGCCTCTGAGCTCATGCTATCTCGGCCTATCGCGAATTCGCTTCCTGTTTCTATGCTGCTTTGTCGTTTTCTGGGCGCATCGTTCTCAGCGGTCACCACAGCATGTGCCTCCTTCCTGGCATCGCGCCTCATCTTGGAGTATTTGAGCCAATTGTAGCCTGCGATGCTGGCAATTGTCACAATCAGGCCCGATACATTGATCGGACTCAGTTCGTCGCCGAAAGTGAAACTAGCGGCGCTAATGGTCAAGACCTCCTTGAAAATGCCGCACACTGATAATGTCACAACAGAGGAGCGTTGCAACAGGGCGAACTCGGCAGCTACCATCATAAAAGCCAGACAACCTGGGAAAAGGATAATCAGCGATCCCAAGAAATATCCTTTGGCCTGGGCTAGTTCCTGGAGACCTTGCAGTACCGCCGAAGCTCCTTCAATCGGTAGTGCCAGCACGAAGAGCACAAGGAACATGACAGGAGTGAGGAAGAAAATTGACGAGAATGGGTTACTCGTGGCTCGATTCCGGAGCAGTAAGATTTGGGTCAAACTCCACCGAAAACCTGAACATAAGCTTGCAGTCATCACGAGGATGAAACCGAGAGCATTGAAAGCTGCTTCGCCGGATACCATGAGTATCACACCTATGGTCATGAGGCTTATGATGCCACAGAGTTTCCAGGTGGGTTTTTCGAGTCTGAAGACAAAGGCGAAGAGGAGCACGAAGGCTAGAACGCTGGATTTGCACATTGTGAAGAATGTGAGCGATATGAAGCGGAGGGAAAAGTTCCCGAGTCCAATGTCTAGGGCTGTTGCTGTTCCGCAGGGGGCGATGCGAGAGAGGTAGAAGGTCTTTGTCATCAATGGCGGTGGTTTCTTCTTGGGATATTCGTCTTCCCCTCCCACTCTTTCATATTGATGCTCTTCTTGTGGTGGTGGTGGTATGACGTTTCCATTCCTGTCTCGACCAGGTCTAAAGCGTGGAAAGATGATGATGACCAAACACGCGAGCGAGAATTGTACAAACATGTGTATCGATGTGGTGAAGAGTGGGAAGTGGAAATCGAGATTCTCGGACGAGAACATCCACTTGTTGTAGACGGAGATGGAGATACTGAATGTGTACCATAGGAGAATGAGGATTCCGTTGATGATCACATTTCGTATCAGAGCGGCTTTGGCTATGCCCTTCTCTTCTGCGAGGAGGGCCTCGCCTGCTATTCGATTTGCCGGGTCCTGGTTTCGTCTCCGCTGTCGTCGCCGCCTCTTGCGCTCGCGTTGTGCTAAGCCGGTCTCTTCATCATCGTCGTCGTCGTCGTCTTCATCGTCTGAGCGTGCGTCTTCGTTGGAGGATCGGATTGAGGAGAGTTCCATGTCGGTACTCTGGTCCGACTCGGACAGGACTTTGGGCTCTGCCTCCAAGGTGGTTATGGGAGGACGGCTGCTGGTCGCAGTGTGTTTTGAGGATTGAGAGAAGAGCACATTAGCACTCCGCTGGCGCGCGTGGCCCTGAGGGAGTGGCTCCATTTCGTGTTCTGAGGAGCATGAGAAGACCGGGAGTGGTACAGTTGTGTATATTATTGACCGTTGCAGACGCGCTCCTATTCCTGGACCACCTGCACATCTCGGGGACTTGGGCCCCTGCGATGCACAAGTAGTCTCAGTCATCAGCCCCACCTTGGTTACCATAGCCAATTACGGGCAAGCTCGGACGCCGTTATTTTGACATGAATATCAATCAGCTTCCTCCTACTCAAACGGGTTCAGACTCAGAGGATAATCGTAGAAGCAGATGTGAAACTCGATACATGTGATTCGGCCTGATCCCTACCACAGAAACTTGTGGGATGCCCCTACCCTACCCTTTGCCCCTGCCCCCCCCTCTTTTCCGCCTGTATATATAAAACCTCTTGCCCAAAAGAGCCAAAACCTTCCTTACTCAAACAGTTTACTCCTGTCTGGTTCATTTACACCGTGCTTCACTCACTAGGAGGTAAGGCATCGAAGGTTCATTGACAAGTCACCTTTCTATACGGTCGCAGACCTCTAGCAACAACGCTGTTCCGTCTGGTCTTCGGCATGGGATGCCACATTACACTGCCAACACTGATCCCAACCCCATCAAGATTACAAACAGACTACGATATAATTGATCGATCTTGGACATTAGGCAGGGCGATAGATAGCGAGGAGATAGACGGTAGGCGGTAATAGTCCTGAGGCAGATATATCCTCAGGCATAACAAGCCGGATTTTCCACCCCCCTCCTCGTCCTCTTCATCAAGTATGCAACGTAACAGAGTCTGGAGTCGTTTTCGCATCTCATCCAGCTTCATTTTGGGGGCAAGAGCATTACCGTACAGTACGGTCCAGACTGCTTCAGCTCGAAGACCCGTAGCTCAAACAGCTGCCGATGGACCAGCGGATATGGAATACCCTGAGCATCTGTTCTATTACACATCCGGTCGCTGGCTGTGCGTTCCCCGTTCCATCTTCCGACCCTTATTACTAATCGTGATGAGCAGATATAACGAACAGCAGCGTATGAAAGAGCGAGAGCGGGTCTTCAACGTCAATGAGCTGAAGCGCTTAGCGGCCGAGGCTGTCTCGAGAAAGGTCGAAGATGTCGTCTACTTTGACAAGCTAGGCGAGGGCGGCGCCAATCGTGCATTTGTCCTGCACATGAAAGACGGCTCGCGACTTGTAGCTCGCATTCCGTATACGGGCACCGCACAGAGACAACTGGCAGTCGCTAGTGAAGCAGCAACCATGTCTTTCCTCCGCTCCCAGGGCGTTCCAGTCCCGCAGATTCACGGTTATTCGACGTCAGCAGACAACCCCGCCGGAACAGAGTACATCATCATGGAGTACAGCCTAGGTACTAATCTGTCCGACTCGTGGTTCGAAATGAACGAGCAGGATCGCAGCAAGTTCATTACAAGTCTGGTTGCGCTCGAAGCTCGGTTGTTGAACATACGCCTCCCAGCAAACGGCAGCATATACTTTCTCCGAGACCTCCCTGCAAATGTGGACAGAGTGGCGATAGACGACGACTCCCAGGGTTTAGACTCTTTCTATATTGGCCCCAGTACTAGTCCAAATCTCTGGCGCGGAAGGAGAGGCGGGCTCGATGTAAATCGTGGACCTTGTGAGTGGGAGTCCCCACAGATAGACCGCACATGCTTATAGCAAAGCAGTCATCGAAATGGAAGCTGTCTTGACCGCTGGGGCCAAAAAAGAAATCGCCTATTTAGAACACTTCGGCCGCCCTCTACTCCCGTACGATCGGATTCGGAGGGAGACATTTCAACTCGAAAAGCAACTTCCTTCCGTCCATCTCGACAGTCTACGGAAATATCTCACAGTGGCTCCATACCTCGTTCCAGCAGATCAACACAAGCTCCAAAAGCCCACCCTCCGCCATCCTGACCTCCGACCTAGCAACGTTTTCGTTTCCGACCACTACGAAATCACCTCCCTGGTCGACTGGCAACACAGTACCATCCTGCCCCTTTTTCTGCATGCCGGCATCCCCGACTATCTCAATAATTCCTCCGATCCCATCTCGCAGTCCCTAGAGACTCCCAAGTTACCCCCTAACTTCCACGAATTAGAAGAAGACCAGCGCGCCGAGCAACGCGAGCTCTTTCGCGCGCGCCAGCTCCACTACATCTACGTGGCAGAAACAGCGAAGCAGAGCCCCGCCCATTTCGCCGCCCTGGTCTACCCCCATTCCATGGTACGGCGCAGGCTCCATCGACTATCTAGCGATCCGTGGGCAGGCGACAACATTCCGCTCCGATCCAGTCTGATTTTCCTTGCGCAACGGTGGCACGAGATAGTGACTGATCCGACGATCCCATGCCCGATTCACTTCACCGCAGAAGATGCATACGAATGTCTCGCACTCGATGAGAGTGAGCGTGAGGCCGAAGAGCAGATGCGAGCGTCGATGGAGATGTTGGGCATTGGGCCGGAAGGATGGGTTCCCTGTGATCATTACGCGGCGGCGAATGAGGCTACGCAGCGGATGAAGAGCGATTGCTTGGAGCTGGCGGAGACGGAACTGGAACTAAGGGCAGTAAATGAACATTGGGTCTATGATGATATGGACGAGGATGAGTATTGGTGAGGGGCTTGGCGAAGTTCCCGCAGACCAGTAGGCAATACAGAGTAGAGTCAAGCGTGTCCTAAGCCACATGGGTGAGGTCCATAGTGACCAAAATAAATATCAGTGTGCCTCTAGGAGTCTTGGAATTCGAGTCATGCCGTCTACCACCATATCGGCTGTCTTGATCCTCACCGATGTGGCTCTCTTACGGGTCCATGCGGCAAAGGCTATATATTCTGCGAAGAGGAAACCGGACCCGTGGCCCGGGTGAAAACCTCTTCCACCTGTTTAGCTTTGTCTGGCCGAAGCCCTGCTACCATGATGCTGTTTTCAACTGTGTGTTGCGTCTGTCCCTAGCTGCCATATGGCCCTAGGCTGATTCTTGTCCGCGTAGATGTGTTCTGTGTCGTCTGACCTGCATATGTAGTCGGAGTGCCTTCGCTATAGAGCGGGTCGAGGTAGGGGCGCGCTAAATCCACTAGACCTAAAGCGTTACCACCTCAAAAAACTGCCTGTCTGTGCCTACGGGCCACCTTGCCGAAAATCTAGAGGAGAAGAACAAAGAGAAGAACAAAGAGAAGAACAAGGAGAAGAACAAAGAGAAGAAAAAAGAAAAGAACAAAGAGAAGAACAAAGAGGAGGAAAGAGAGAAGGACAAGGAGGAGGACAAGGAGGAAGACAAAGAGGAGGACAAGGAGGAGGACGAGGACGAGGACGAGGACGAGGACGAAGATGGAGATGGAGATGGAGATGGAGATGGAGATGGAGAGAGATGCGCGCGCTGTGCGCGCGCGAAGATTAATATTGGTATTCCGTACCACCAACGGGCAGGCCCGTAGGACATATTAGCAGTAGTAAGGTAGTAAGGTAGTCATATAGTAGTATAAGGTACCTAGTAGTACAAAAATTGGCAGAAGCAGCGGGCCTTCCGCTTTGGCGCGCGCGCTTCGACTCCCCGTCGCTCGAACGCGTCTCCCAGCGTGGAGCGAAACAAAAAAATACACAATCAAAAAGGCAACTCAGAACAGCCTCCCCACCCCTCGTGTCCGTTCCTGTGCCATGTAAGAATAATAATGCAATCATATTCGTCGAGCAGTGCTCTGCTTCTTCCTCTAAATCCATCACGCGAATCGGCGTGCATATGGCAGGCAGCGTCTCTTCCACTGCCCGCCCATCCATACCATACATTACTACTCTTGCCGTCATCTTTCATGTCATCTCTGTGTGCGCTTCACTTCGTTCGCCTTCCTGAATAGCACTGCACGTCTTATGCATCTGCGAATTCCACATCTCCCTGTGCCGCCTTCATTACTTTCAATTCTGCCAGTTGTGCAGCTAGCTCCGCGAGAATCTCGGACATTGGGCATGCTTGATTGAGCACTCCGTTCTTGAAGGGTCGAATCATGTTGCGGACGGCGAGGGTTGAAATGCAAGTCTGTCGTCACCAATGTCAGCAGCAGTCCTCGCGATGAGCTATGTAGCTTGGACGAAAGAACACCCCAGCTCGCACTTACCTCAATCCTACTGATCTGATGCTCAACAAAGTTGATCAAGAATCGATCAGTAATCTCGCCTCCGCCATGTTTGATCTTCTCCAGAAGCGCCGTCTCGGGTGGTCGGAGAGTGTTGGCCCCAGTACTCTCCAACGAGCTGCAGAGCATCTCGAGCCGCAATGACACGTTCCACAGATCCCACACGCTGTCTGTGTCAATGGTGAGCTGACTATTCCGTGTCTTCTTCGCCTCACTCGCCAGGTCCTGCGCGACCCTGGACTCTGCCTCGGCCTTCTGTTGTTGGACCACCAGTCGCGAGGCCAGCGAATGCGGGTACATCAGGTAGATGTACTCTGGGTTTTCCAGGCCCTTGAGTGTGCGCTGACCCAGATCCTTCACCTCAAACCCTTGACTGCTGAGCGATCGAAGCTCGCGTCGGATGGTCTGCGTGAGCACATCATCATTCAACGTATCCTCTGAGCCGGTCGAGCCTACCCGATCAGACTCGATGTGGCTTTCCAGCATTCTTTGCACCTCTTGAATGAAGTCCGAGGATACACAGATCTGACCACCATCAGCGACGCTCTCGATACGAGCGGCGCGGTTGACCATCGGACCAAAGTAATCCATGCGCTTCGTGACAGGGTCGATTTCGCACACCGGCCGACCCCAGTGAATGCCCATTCGCACACTCAGACCTCGGAAGATGACATTGCCATCTGCGTCCTGCATCTCTTCTCCGTGCACACTGTTGAGGATCTCTTGGGGCCACTGCACTTCGAGCAGCTGACTCTGAATGGTGAAGCACCACAGAAGCGCGCTCGTGACGGTGGGGAAGGCGACCATGAACGCGTCGCCTTCCGTCTTCACCTCATAGCCGCCAATGATTCTCAGGTGTCGGCGCATGACTTCGTTGTGCATCTTGATGGCAGATTGCATGGCGATGGGGTATGTTTCCCACAGGATGGTGCTGTTCTTGATGTCCGTGAAGACGAGTGTCACGTCTCCGGTCGGCGCGTCCACTTCCTGATCGAGTCGAGCGAGCTTGGAGTCACCCACCGCGTCGCGTCCCCGCTTGGCTTTGCGCACCGTCGTAAAGTAATCATCTGGCGAGCCGGAAGGACCCATACTCATAGAATGCGTTCTGAAGCGCGCCATCTTCTCACGTTTACGGAGGTCACTGACTCCGACCATCATCACCATGATCTTTCCCGTCGCTCCAAATGCGATAGCGAGATCCCGCAGCTTTTGCGCTGCCCTCATCAAGTCTCCACGCTCTTGTCTCGCGACGTCCACCGCGAAGTCGGGCGTCAGGTAGTCCCAGAGCTCTCGAGAAGCCAGCAAGATCATCTCGTCCTGCTCTTTGATGTCAATCTTGTTCAAAGCCGGTGCCGCAATGATGCAAGGCGCAAGCTGAACATATCCGAAGGCACGCGAAACATCGAGCTGGTCGTTGAGTTTTCCTTGTCTGGACACGTAGCCGCCAGCTTCGCGAATGCGTTGGCGTTCGCTTGTCTCGGCCGGATCGTGCTTCTTTGTGATGATTCGGTGTCCTCCTTCGGATTGTATGAGCAAACACTGTGCATCTCCCACGTTCGAGATGTAGAGCTCCAAGCCGTGGAGGTACATGACCGTGGCCGTACTGCCAGACATGATATCGTCGTCGCCGAGATCTGGTCCGGCAACGCTTCCTCGATGTAACAATGCACTGCTGGGGCGTTCACGCGCATCCATGACTTGTGTGGCAGTCGTGGCCAACTCCTTGTTCAGGCTCAGATACGTTCGTCGGAGTGCGTCCAGCGGCGTTTCTCGTTCACTATCGATCTTGTCGAGTTCCTCGATGAAGTAGTGCTTGAACTTCTCGTGCAGGAACTTAGCTATCTTGCTGCCACCCGATGAAAGAGATTGTCCATCAAAAAGCCCGACAAGAGCCTCATCTTCGTGTCCTCGGAATCGCGGTACGACCAGGTCAAGCGTGGACAAGTGCTCGTTGCGGCCGAGCGTGTCTGCCATACCGTATGGCATGGTGTTGCCGATGAGCGACCCGGCAAGCCGTACTCGTCTGTCAGCAGCCTGATCAGGCACAGATGGAATTGTGAGGGTGACATCCATCAGTCCCAGGATGCGCAAGTTGATCAGCGACGAGAAATCAGTCAAGTCGCGCTGGTCCCGCCCACTAAGCGATTGCGCACTGGGCTTGATCTCCAGACGTTTGTTTCCTGACAAATTGAGGTATCGCAGCTGGCGATTCCAATTCCAGTTCCAGTCGTATGGCCAGTTCGAGACGTTGTACTTCAGCATATTGCTACCCACATCGAGAATGGCAAGTCGTTGGATCTTGCCCAACTCTGCCGGCAGGACTTGAAACTTGTTGTTGTTGATGTGCAACACTTTGAGTGATGAAGTCTCCTCCAAGTCTTCTGACGGTATCGACGTAAGGTCGTTGCCGGACAGATAGAGCTCGGTCAAGTGAGTCCACTTTCGGATGGTACGCGGGGGCACATCGTAGAGCTGGTTGTAGGACAAGTTGAGAATGCGAAGCTCCGGCAGAAGTACGAGTTCGTTGAAGACATCGTCCTCGAGTCGATTGTCTGCCAAAAACAGATGTCGGAGGGAGGTTGAGAATGTCGCTGCCAACCTACTGGACATGGTGGAATCCTTTCTCGATCCTCCGGGCACTGCGGTGAGAGTCGTTGTGCTGCTCGCGGTGCTCGATCGGCCAAGCATCCCCTTTCCAGAGTACGCAGACACGACAGATCCCTTCCGAGACGTCGTGCCCGGCGAGCTCGATGTGCTCATCATGCCGGAAACTTGGCTTGGTCTGCGCAGCTGAAAATCCTCCAGCTTCCCCAACTCCTCAAAGTCCGGACTATTGGCATTGGGGGTGGGCGTGACAATGGTCGCAGCATCTGATAACGGCGGCAACGGAGCACCGGGCTTGGGAAAGTCGGCGAGCACGTTCGAGGACACATTGAGCGTCTCCAACTTTGCATACCACAGCTCCGGAGGGAGCATACTCAGATTGTTCTCGCGCACATCCAGATATCGCAACTCAGTCAGTCGTCCAATTTCTGCAGGCAGCCGACTCAATTCGTTCTTGGCGATGCTGAGATACTCCAACTTGGACAAGAGCCCAAAGTTTGGTGATAGCGAGACGAAGTGGTTTTTGCTGATGGTGAGTTTGGTAAGTCCAGACATCTTCATGAACAGTGCGTCTGGTAGTCTCGCCAGCTTCGCGGAGGCCAAGTTCAGCACTGACAGGGTGGGTACTGGTGCATTGAGGTCAAAGTTCGTGACAGGGTTGTGGTTCAGAAACAGTACTTTGAGGCATTGAAACGAGCCCTCGAATTGCGAGACGCCATTGTGCCCAAGCATGAGTGCTTCCAGCTTTGGTAGTTGTGACACAATATCGATGTTGCTGATGTTGTTGAATCGAGCATCGATCTCTCGAAGATTCACAAGCGAGCTGAATGAAGCATCGAAGGGACCCGAGAGCCTGTTGTTAGTCGCCCACAATCGCTCCAAGTTGGTCAGAGTGTGGATGTCGCCCAAGGAGGAAATCGAGTTGAAGCTAATGTCCAGATCGACCAAGGTCGTCAGGTCGCGCAATGCAGGCGGGAATTCTGTCAATGAGTTTGACGACAGGTTGAGACTTCGTAAGCATCGATATTGGGCAAAGTAGCTGGGCACAGTCGTGAGCATGTTATTCGACAACTTCAAGCTGAGAAGCCCGCTCAGCTTGTAAAGCTCTGCATGCTCTAGCGACTCGAGCCTGTTGTTCGATACGTCCAGCGTGGTAAGCTTTTGCGCAAGTGCGAGACCGGGAGGCAATTTCCAGGCTTCGTTGCTGGTGTATTTGATCTCTCGAAGATTGGAACAGCTCTGCACAAAATCCTTTGGTATATCGAGAGTCAGATTCCTGGACAAGTTGAGAGTAATGATCTCTGTTGATTTCTGGTAGAGCGTGATAGGTATCGTGATCAGATTCCGGCCGGAGAGATCGATGTGGTTGAATCGTTGCATCTTGTTGAATCCAGGGTCACGTTCGAGACTACTATACCCGCTCATTTTGGAGGGCAAAAAGGTGAAACGACACAGATACCCATGATCTTCCCGACCCAGATCTTCGAGATGATCCTTTTCTTGATATCCCACTAGCTCCAACAGCCGTTTTTGCATTATCAGGGGTCTTTCGCCGGATCCCAGCTGGCGGCTTGTGTCCTGTTTACGCATCACTATTTGGTACTTGTCCAGTTCGTCCTGAAGAAAAGTCTTCTTCGCCATCATGGAAATGAGCTCCGCGGCTGTGGTGTTGAGACTGGCAGATATGACTGCAAAGGTGCTGTCGGCTCGAAAGATACGCATGAAGAACATCGGTCCAGAGTCATCTCTCCTGACATCGCCTTCGTCGTCAAGCTCGGTGAGACGGCGCATGTTCTCGTCTGCCACCTTCTGCACCGCCCAACTGTCTGGCGCATCCCAGGCGCCCTTTTCATCGGGCTGTTCTGGAGGTGCCTCTTCGGGAGGCCACCCAGTGTATATCTCGTTGTGCGGCGAGCCCACAGGGGGATTTCGGTGGTCGATGATGCCCTCCATATGCGACATATCTGTATCTAGATGCCAAAGTGCGTCTCCAGCGTCTGCGTGCGGCGCATTGGGATCTCTGATGGGTCTCACTTGGTCGACATTCGCTTCCGCCGTCTTGCTGCTTTTGAAAGGTAGCCGAGGGCCTTTCTTCTGTACCGGCGCAGCACCGCCATTGGCAATTTCCGCCTTGCCCTTTCCGCTTTTCCCTTTGCTGTCTGCCCGCTCGCGTGAGGGCGCTGGTTGCATAGGGATCAAAGAAGTGTGAGATTGCGACTGCAATGCTTCTTTGTCTCCCTTCCGTCGACCCGTGACGCGATCAAAGAGCGATCGCTTTTGTCCACCAATGACTGGTGACTGGCCTGTCTGTCCGCCAATGGCACTGTGGGCACTCGGGGCTGGACTCGTCGAACGAACGGACTTGATGTTGAGTGCCGAGCTCATTGCGTTGGCAGCATTGCTGCCTCCGCGTCCAATACTGAAAGATTGCTCACGGGAGGTGGATGGCCGCAACGGAAAGCCGTGTGCCTTCTCCTCGATACTACGATTGTGCCTATGGCTAGGTAAGTGCAGCCTCGAGGTCTTGCGACTGCTGCTGGTGCTGTTGTTGTCAGCCGGCAAGCTCGATTCCGATGCATTTCGTGCAGTCTGCTGCTGTTGTAGTGTCAGCTGTGCTTGCTTCCCAGCCTTTCTATCTGCCATGAACCGAGCGAACCCATGACTATCCTGTCCTGTACTTGCCGGCATGCTCGTACTGGCACATACCTTGGGATCTTGGAAAGCCCACGGCGTGACCTCGCTGGAGGGCGGAGGCACAGGAGTTCGCGGCCTGGAACCGGGGCTCGGCGGACTGCTTTGCAGCATCGCATCATTCATAGAGTTGTTCCTATTTCTCCCTGAGACGACTCCATGCCCAAATGGGGGCAAGGAGCCATTCTGCATCGAGCTCGCCTCCGAGTTCTGGCGGCCCTCCTTTCCCCCGGGCACCTCGTTCTCGCCAAAGAAGCCTCTGAGCTTTTTCTGCATGCGATCCTGCACACTGATCTTGGAGCCTGTTGACGAGACCGTGGTCGCGCTGGCAATGGACGGCCGTCTATCATCGCCATCGATGGGAAAGCACATGCCATTGCCGGGCGCAAAGCCTGGCGATATCTGACCGAGGTCTTCTTTGCTATCATTGCAGAAGCTGCCAGTAAATATCGACTGCGGCATGGGCCCTTGATTCTCATTACCGTCGCTCCACGCCATAGGATGTGCAGTCGGCGGCGTTTGTCGAATGGCAGGGATGCTGCCAGAGCAGCGGGTGGCCGACATGGCGGGTGGTGTAGTGTCTTCCCATGGTGCAATGCTGTCGGCGCGTGCATTGCCCGGCTGAGGTTTGGGGAGCGTCAAAGGTGAGACCTCGGAGTCCTGACGTTGGGACCTATGCGCTATAGTTAGCTAATGTGTCTCACAGAAGACCAAATCCCAAAACGTGTGCTTGCGCCTCCAGGCAATGCGCCCATCCTCGCAGCTTGATTGACAGCAATCAAGCCGGAACACCGAGTGCCTGCGGATTCGAGCCTCGACCCCATGGCCATTGCCTCCTCTCCCCGTCTCGCGACGCTGCATTGGGGCCCTGCGGGTACGTACTTGTCGCGTCTGGTATGCAGCTTCGGTGGCTGGCTCCTCGCAGTCGAGGTCGAGAAGCTCGCGAACGGACCACGAATCGTGTCGGTCGAGCGCGTCGACTCTGCGCCAGCCGAGCCATGTCGATCCGAAGAAGGGGTGGTGTCGCGAAAGCTCATCCTCCCCAGTGTGCAGCTACATCCAGCTGTGGGCTAGCCCATGGGGAACACGAGTCCCGCGGCGGTGTTGTGGCCCGCGCTCGACGGTTCGAGGCCCATATGCCAGCTCGGGGACACGACGCGGCGGCGGCAGCAGCAGCAGCAGCAGCGGCAGAGTAGGAGGTGGTAGTTCCGGGTCGGTGGTTCGAAAGGGGAGGGGGTTGGGGGGGCGGACGGCGGGCGGCGGGCGCTGTATACCGCGAATGCAAGCGCAATATGCAGCTCGTGGTGTTGTCGGAGTGCGGGCAGTGGGAGTGGAGTTGGTGGTGGCTGCACGACGGGCGGGTGGGTGCAGGTGTACACTAGTGAGTACAAGCACACTAGCAGACGACATTAGCTCCGAGCTGGCAGCGTGGGTCGGTCCTTGCGCCTTTGCTTGCTTGCGTGCTCTTCCTCTGCTGTGTAACCACCTAGATCAAGATCAATGACAACAACAATAACAACAACAAGCACCGTCACCATCATCACCATCACCATTCACCACTCACCGTTCACCATCCCCTATCTCCTTGACCCCTTTCCAGTTGGCCTGGAATGTGACCCTAATTCGACCCCGAATGCTATTGAATGTACACCACCCGATACGCCACGGGCGATTTTGACGATGTTTGGTACCTTGGCATCTCTTGCGCATCGCCCCAAGAACTAGTCCTACGGTTATGGCGGAGTAGTACCAACAACAACGAGACGTAACGAGACGTAATCATGTCTTCCCCTTCCCTTCCTGCGCACAACCCGTACCGAGCGTTGCCTTTTTCCACCGAGAACGTCCACCCCACGCCCGCGCTCTGGCTGGAACGGAGTCAACAATAATACTTGTTACTAATAATGCATTCATTTCAATGATCCACATGCCTCGCGAATTGGTCTGGCATGTCGGATGGTATTCAACACAGCCACCCGCTGTGCGCTCACAAAGGTGTATATAACACCAAACATTCATCTTGCCTTGGTATTGCCCTCTTGCGCTCACACCAACAGGCACTCTTGTGTATCGATCAGTTCGGAGCCGACCATCAATTTCACAGATCTCCGAACACCTCCCCGATCCGAACCACCTTCCCAGCTTCCAACTGCGATCCTGGTCCATCCGTACCTCTTCTGCAGGAGTTGAACACACTGGATAAGGTACATGTGTACTTTGCTCGGCCACCATCCATCCTGCACAGCGGGGGAGCATGCCTGCCTGCGCAAAGGATTGGACTAGATTCGCCATCCAACGAGAATACATTTAGGTACCGTATTCGAGGAGTGTACTTGCAAACCAGGAACAAAGCGAACCCTAAGGCACCTCATCCTCCAGGTTTCTGATTGTAGGTATGCCAAGATCTCACCCAACCAACCATCGCACTTGATGAGTTCTTGGAGGTGAATGTAGGCCAACATCCAGCAACGTGGCAATAGTGCAATACCTGAGGAGGTAGTGCATTACTCACAACCAAGAGACGCTGAGCGACAAAAAGTAAAAAGGTCGGGAATCATGGTCCAAAGGAAGATCACAACGTGCCCGAGGGGTGTCTCCGGGGAGATGATGTACCTGAGGCAGAAAAGGTTGAAAAACGCCCCGACAGGTGGAGGCTACAGCAAATGGCAGGACAGGTGATTCGGCTTGGTCATGCATTTGGTCTTTCTTCCTCTTATAGGCTCTTGCATCTCACCTCAGGCTTCAGCAGGGGGGCGGGGTGTTGTTACTATGTAGGTACCTACCGTACCTAGCCAGCTACAGTAGGAGGTACCTACATAGTACATACATAGCCGGGACTGCCGTACTTGCATAGACAGCTACTGTACCTACCTACATTAAGGTAATGCTTACAATCTACATGCCCGTTGCCCGTACCTGTAAAGTGAGATACATAACAGATCAAGGGTACAGGTACATTACATGTACCTGTATCAACTGTGATTTTATGACGACATCCGTATCCCGCTCGCACATACCAGGTCCATGTATCAGGTACCTGTAGGTAAGGTAAGGTAGTGAGGTATATATACCTCACTGTTTAGAATTAGGGCAACAGCAAAGCGGCAAGGGTAATGCTATTATACGGTTATCTATTCATCATCATCATCATTACAAGGTTAGCATTCGCTAAAAAGAAGAAAACAAACCAAGAAAAAAAAAACAAGAAAATATGAGACTAGTACAAGGAGGTATTAACTTCAACTTCGCTCAAAGTGAAGAAAAAAAGGCGGAAATTTCGTTGTTTGAAAAACAAAACACCCTCATTCATCAGGTCAGTAGGTGTCCCTTGTTCATCAAATCACTTCATAATTTCGATTCTTCCTTTTCTTCTGCTTCCGTCTTGCCCACCGTGCCCGTTCCGTCGATTTTGGGCGCTGCTGCTACTCCACCACTAATACCACCGACAAACACATGATCCAGTCCTCCATCTTGCGCGGAGTCAGATTTGGGTGGATGAGCTTTCTCTTCTCCAGGGAGACGTTCATTCTTCACCTTTTCCGTATGCGATCGAGAGAGATGCAGCGTGTCCTCGACTTCTTTCGTGAGCTGGGCGACTTCGTCCTCGATTTGTTCATCTCTAGTTTTCTCCCTCTTCTTCTTCTCGTTCTCCTTCTCCTGTGTAGCTTCGGGTAGTAGAGCTTCGTTGTCCGCTTTGGTCGTAGTACCGGTAGTTGCCCATAGTGCCTCGAGCTCTTCGAGCCACCCACACGCCTTGGCCAACTTTTTCACGCCCGTATCGCAGTCTTCTAGAAGCAGCACATCGTCTGCTCGCGTTCCCAGATTGCCCACTCGCTCCTTGTTGATCAACAATCGTGGAGTTTCTTCTCGCGTGAAGCCAGGGAGACTTGCAAACGGCTGTACCGTCAAACTCGTGCCCATGACAATGGCAAGATCTGCTTCTGCGGGGAGATCGCGGGCCTCGAAGAAAGCTGCTGGGAGCTGTTCACCAAAGAACACAATCTCGGGCTTGACCAGACCTTTGCAGTCGTAGCAATGCGGTATCGTTTTGTTCTCTACATGCTTCTTGATGTCTGCACTCGGATACGGGGTTTTACATTCAATGCAACTTTGCTGCGCAAAGGATCCATGCGCCGCAATCATCTTCTCCTCTGGCACGCCAGCTTCCTGCTCCAGACAATCGATATTCTGCGTGAAACACTTGAGCAGAATGCCCTTGTGGTGGAGCAGGCTGATGAACGCGTGTGTGATGGTCGGACGATACTTGCCCGGATAGAGCTCGTGTGCCAGTGCATAAAAAGGTTCGGGATTCTGCCTGAAGTAGCTGATATCGAAGACGGCTTCCGCATAGGGCAAGTTCAGTCGGGCCAGATTCGCATACAAGCCGGTTTCGGGACTCCTGAAGTCGGGAATGCCAGCACTCGTACTGATTCCTGCTCCTGTCATAACTACGACTTTCTTGACTTTGCCGCTGGTAATATATTCCGCCACAGCCTCGACGGTCCTGCCGGTGAGTGTACTCGGCGGCGTCGACTCGTCGATCGGAGTGCTCTCTTCGTTGCCCATAGCGCCGGAGTAGAAATCGGAGTTGGCTTGCGCAAATCTTCTGGCGAGGCTGTTTCTCCAACTGCTGCCTTTCTTGTTCTTGTGGTTGCCTTGCGGCAGCTCACCCCGCTTGGCCTTGTGCTTCCGTCCTATGGTGACGAGTACTGCTTGGTAAAAGTTCAATCTGTTTGTCAACACCGCGTATGCTGTCGAGCACCCTCCAACTCCCTGTCGTGAAGGGCTGCGGAGTGTGGGACTTGCAAGGCTGGTTTGCCACGATGGAAGTTTTTGCTGCAGGAGAATTGGTGCGAAAATGTATAGTGGAACAATTGCCAGCTCGGATTTTCACTTCAGGGTATTCTTGTGTGAAGGTGGCGAACTTATGCTAGAGATGGTGTGCATGCATAAAACTTAAGGTCGTCTTTACTCACTTCATCTGCACTCTGAACGGACTGGAAGATCCATAGACTCATAGAGACCCCACAAAAGATGACGTAATCATCTGGAGATTGTCATGTGCAACGATCGACAACGTGAACCATTCTTGACTCGCGACTCTCACTCCAAGAAGATCCATAAACAGGTACATTAATAAGGTATAATAAACTACATTATACATCAGACTAGAGGGAACAATTATACCTCACTCTTCCATTATACCACCCTATCAGCACTCGACTCCACGGAAAAAGCAATGAGCAACTCGACAGGCCCATCCGGCTTCCTCAAATTCAACAGGTATGTATTCCTCTTGAGTAGATAGGTTTTGCCAGTCCTGAGAAAAGAAAACTACTCATGTCAAGTACTTGTACAATATAGTCTTCCCCCACGACTCCACGTCACAGCCGACGACGACGAATTCGACGAAGTCCTTTTGCAACATTTCCGTCAAGAAGGTTTCGACGTGACATATCTGCCCTGCTTGATTAATGAGGATGATGGGAGCAGCGGGAAAAAAGCATATGTGAATGAGCTCAAGCATTTGGCGGATGATTTGGAGGTGGGGGAGAGGTATGTATTATTGTTTATTTTGGCTTTTTTTTGTGAACGATGAGGTGAATGGGTGAGAGGAAGGAGGGAGATTGAAGATTGGGGGGGAATGATTAAGAAGGACAAGAAGAAAGAAGCTCATTCTAATCACAAAAGTGGCTTAGTTATGCGATCATAGCATTCAACCAAGCAGCCGCAATATGTTTGGACTTTTACTCAAAACCGCAACCCCATTTCGCGGCGTTGGTATGTTACTATCCTACCTACTTGCCGAATCCAAAGGTCAGTCAGTACATCTCTACTACTTCCTGACTTCACTTTACTTCACTTCACTTCCTTCCTTCCTTCCTTCCTTCCTTCCTTCCTTACACTCAATACTCACACTTACCTACTCACATCTCAAAATCGTCACATCACAGATATCCTCCTCCTACCCCACCAATCTCCACCTCCTCATCCACCTCTCAGGCACCCAACCTTTTGCCCCCGATTCTTCCACTTCTTCTTCTTCTTCCTCCGCGTCTCCGCATGTCAAATCCTACAGTTATCCCAAAGCACTCGTAGGATTTGCCGAGCATGACTTAGAAACCTTTGATAAGATTGCTGCGGGATTGGCTTGGACTCGGACGTTGGCGACGCTGCGGACCGCGTTCAAAAGGGATCGGAATGATGGTAATGGGGGCTTGGAGGGTGTGAGGGAACGATATGTGGAAAAGGTGTTTGGGCAGAAGAAAGATGCGCAAGAGGTGATGGGTATGGTTGGGCAGGTGAGTAGTATCGCGGGAGATTTTCTTTTTCTTTTTTTGGAAAAGGGAGAGAGAAATCTTGAGTTGACTTTTGGTTTTCCGACTATCTAGGATTCATATGTGAATGGTGTACCGACGATGACGGGGGGAATTGGTCGGAATGAGCTTTTCGTGTTCTATCGAGACTATTTCATTCCGAAAAATCCGCCGTCTTTGCACATCAAGCTCGTCAGTCGGACAATTGGGACGGATCAGGTCGTGGACGAGATGATCATCTCTTTCAAGCACACACAAGAGGTGCCATGGCTGCTGCCGGGAGTTCAGGCCACAAACAAGATCGTACATGTTGCAGTGGTATCGATTGTGGCATCACGTGGTGGTAAGCTGGTACATGAACATCTCTACTGGGACCAAGCTTCAGTGCTGGTGCAAGTTGGATTGCTGGATCCAAAGCTCGTGCCAGAGGCGTTCAAGAAGCAAGGCTTGAAGCGTTTGCCAGTATTTGGAAGTGAGACGGCGGCGAAAGTCCTCGATGAAAACAGTCAACCGAGCAATGGATTGATATCAGGGTGGAAGCAGTCGCTGAGGAAGCAGGAAGAAAGCCAGGCATTGCCGCAACGACCAAAGCAGACTGCGAATAGTCATTAAGCAGATTCGTCGTAATGTTCAGCATTTCAAGGAGCCGATTCGGTTTCGCTCAGGAACTTGCAGGTGGGGAGATGATACTCGGGCACAGTCCAGTATGGCCGGCGAATGCCGTCCCAGGCTCCGACAAGTGAAGGCACCTGTAGGATAGTCCATTCCACATCCAGTCCAGCATCGAAGAGCTCAATCTCGGAAACTCTTTTGTAAACATCATAGCAGATCTGTCGGTCCGCACCGAGACCGTTGTAGAAGCCGAATCTGCCTTTGGAGTCCAACAGCTGAATCACATATTCGGAGAACAGCTCCTTCAAATCACTGTAGTCCTCAGCGTATGTGTCGTAGTACATTGCGTCAAGCACAACTCCCTCTGCTACCAGCTTGGGGAGTACGTCCTGCCACCTTCCCTCACATACTCGAACATTCTTCTTCTCGTACCATCCCGTGTTGCGAATATGCTGCAGGACTTCGGGGTGTGCTTCCACGATGTAGTGCATTTCCGGCTCGTTCTCCATGAACATGCGATCGACAATGCCCATGCCGTGGCCAATGTTCATTGTTCGTAGACCCTTTCTGGGGCAAAGTTGATCTGCAGAGGTCTTCATGATCTCTGTCTCCCAGTCCATCATGACAGCGTTCTTGTCAGAGTCGAGCAAGCGTCCTTCGGAGTAAGTGAGCTTCGAGGCGAGGTAAGCGGGGTTGTCGACGTTTGGATTGGACAGTTCGCCGTTCTCGTTCGTTTGTGTAAGCTCAGGAACAGCGCCCGCTTCTGCCTGGCCATCAATCTTGGTCGATGGGTTTGGCGCAGGCTCGAAGCCAGAAACACCGACTGCAGCATCGCCACTCGTCTGTCCATTCGTTGCTGGCTTGTCTGCTGGACTTGGTTCAAAACCAGCAATCTCTTCATCCTCCATCACCTCATCCTCGTCGTCGGCCTGGTCTGGAAGAAATTGATACCCGTCGAGTCTGTTGAAGAGAAGCTCGGCTCGGACACCGGCTGCGACGAGGGCCTCGTAGACCTGCTTGAGGCCCAGACGAAGAGCCATACAGCCCGGCGTCTCATCGTTGTTGTCCAATTCATTCCAGATGGCGCCATTCTCGAATAGCAGTCGCACGGTAGCCAATGCAGACTCTTCGGTCAAGGCATTGCCGTGCACAGCATCGCCAGCCGGCACTGACTCCTCTTTGGAGTCCTCGTCTGGCTCACAAGAAGCGATTGCGGCATGCAGAGGCGAAAAGCCCGTGTCTGGATCCCGAATGCGAGCAGAGCCCGTTCGCAGCAGCTTGGTCAATGCCTCGAGGTCGTGGTTGGTGGCAGCGAGGAGAATTTCGTCGTTGGTCGTGTCGGTGTCGACCTGCATGTTGGGGTCTTCCTGGATGGTTGCCATATTGTGTGAGCGAGTGTGTGTGTGTGAGTGTGTGAGTGTGTGAGTGTGGGTGTGGGTGTGGAGGTTGGTGATATATGGAGAAGAATTAAATTTTGTCGGGTCTCCACGAAGGAAGATCCGACCCCAGCGCAGACCCTGGCTTCCGCTCCCGCTCCCGCTGCACTTCCCGTCCCCACTCCTCTTCCCGTCCCGTAGTCTCTCGATCTCTCCAAGCGCGTCGGCCTGCTTGTCGCACTCGCCGCATGCACAGATTCGCACACATGCGCATAATCATCTTCGTCAGCAGCATCACGCTCAGGTACATGTTCTGCTCCGTCGGCCGAGAATATGGCTTGGCGCGCCTGAACTGTAAGCAGTTTTCCAGGTCATGCGACGACGAACGGGAACAACCACAGGGCATGCCCTCGGACACCGCGCGACGTCATTCCCCGTCCTCCGCGACCCAAGTGAACTTCAAGTGACTGGACAGCTCGGCGTTCTACTTGTACATACTACTTGTCCCAGTTCACTTTTGCCTCATTTTGGCCCAGTACCACCATACACTGTACACTCACAGCCGCATTCGTGTCACGACGACCACCTTCTCCTGCAGCACTGGAAACGGGTTGTGTTGGTGGTTGTGCTGCAGGTACAGTACATGAGTTGTGGGTAATACTATCAGGCTACACGGCCGTCGACGTGATCCTGGTCGAGCCCTGCGTGCAGACAGGCAACACCGCAGGAGCTTCAGTCGCAGTACTACCTTCTGTCAAAAAAAAACTACCTCTAGATAACTGCCTCCCTTGGTCGCCCACTATGGGCACTCGTCCACCGCTCAACGCCCACGAGACTCTCGATGCTACGGAGCTGACCGGAACGCTGAGCCTAGACGGCGTCGCGGCCCTAAGGCAGAATGGAGGCTCGCGGAAGGCTCAGCACGCCAGTAAGGATGCCATCATCGAGGAATACGGGCTTGTCGTCGAACCGTCTGACACCGCGCCATCTGATCACCCCGACTCCGACCCCGACGACGGCGACGAAGACTCCGACCTCATCGAAAGCTACGATGACCTCCAGGTCGACCCCGACACACTCATCGTCGAAACTCGATCAAGCCTCGATATTGGCTTGCGCCCGTCCAACGGAACCATGAACACCTCATCCGCTTACGCCAAGCGACCCAACATGGACGCGAGGAGACGCAGTAGCATTCAGATCAAACTGGAGAGGACAGACAAGAGGGGGCGATACATCCTTACCGCAGACGATCCCGCTATCAAGGACATCTTGCGCAAAGGCATGGAGCGGGAAGAGGAGGAGAAGGGAGGGAAGAAGAGGATGCGCTTCCGAGACTTGGTCTTCACACGACAGTTCACCACCTTCGATCGGCAAAACCCACTCGCTGCCGAAAGTCCCTTCTTCGGCTTCTTCACCCTCTTCTGGATCTGCATGGCCCTGATCTTTTTTCAAGTCGCCATGAAGAACTGGAGAGAATACGGCAGTATACTAGGAGGCAACCAGGTCTTGAAGTTGATGATGTCTCGGGATCTCATTCTCCTCGGCGTCACCGACCTGGTCATGTGCCTGGCAACGCTGGAAGGATATGTCTTCCAGAAATTGGTGCAGTACTGCTGGATCAACTGGGCACGAACAGGCTGGATTATACAAAATGTATGGCAATGTCTGTACCTCGGAGCTGTTGTTGCCGTTGCATACTATCGCGACTGGCCCTGGACCCACACCATCTTTGTAGTCCTCCACGGTCTGGTCTTCGTGATGAAACAGCACAGCTATGGCTTCTACAACGGATATTTGTCCAATGTGTGCCGCCGAAAGGTGCTGCTAGAAGCAAAACTGGAAGAGCTGGAGAGACTAGAGCCACTGCAATCACCACCTACAAGCCCAATTTCCGAGAGCGCGGACTTGCTATCCTCTGGAGTGGACCTTGGTCAGATGGCAGCCAACGTCAAACGCCGTCTGTCAATGGGACCTAAAACGTCTCTCAACCTTCAGACGGAACAATCCGATGTTGCCACTGTAGCCTCAGCCATCTCTTCCGGCAAAAGACTGACCTCGGAACAGATGGAACTCATGGTCAACATTATCAAAAACGAAATATCGGAACTCGACAAAGAGCTCCGAGGCAAAGCGGAGAGCCCCGAAAAGGCCTATCCACATAACCTCACTCTCTACAACGCAAGCGAATGGATATGCCTTCCCACTCTCGTGTATGAACTCGGCTATCCCCGTCAAGAAAAGATCAACTGGTGGTACGTTCTCGAAAAGACCACGGCCACCTTTGGTATCCTCTGTATCATGCAAGTCATTTCTCAGGGTTACATCTATCCTCTCGTCCGCAAGACCGTGGACATGAAAGAAGCAGGAATGACTCTCGACCAACGGTGGAAAGAATTCCCCTTCATCGTGTCGGACATGCTATTCCCCATGCTTGTCGAACAGCTGCTCACCTGGTATCTCATCTGGGAATGTATCCTCAATGTCCTCGCCGAAGTCACATGCTTCGCCGACCGCGGCTTCTACGGCGATTGGTGGAACTCCGTGACATGGGATCAATACGCTCGAGACTGGAATCGACCTGTCCACAATTTCTTACTTCGACACGTCTACCAGTCGAGTATTAGTGCATTCCGACTGAGCAGGACCGAAGCTACATTTGTGACGTTTCTGTTGAGTGCACTCGTACATGAAATGTGTATGGCTGTCCTATTCCGGAAAGTTCGAGGGTATCTGTTTATGATGCAATTGACGCAGATGCCTCTGGCCATGATCAGTAAAACGAAGCTTCTCAAAGATAAAGTCGTGTTGGGCAACGTGATTTTCTGGTTTGGGCTGTTCATTGGGCCGAGTCTGTTGGCGAGCTTGTATTTGATTGTGTAGTCATCGGAAGCGTTTCTTCGGGGAACATAAGTGACGATGTACGATTAGTATAGGTGTGTGTATGTACCTATGTATGATGTGAGAGAGAGATGATTGAAATTCCCGTATTTGAATGTGGTGCTTTCACTCTCTGGATTTCGCCTCTCCTCTTTCATACACAGGCCCTACCTATATCTTCTCTTCCCCCCTCCCTGGATACAGTTTCCCAAATATTCTAAAATCCTTCACTCGCCTGTCCCATCTGTCTATCTATCTGTCTATGTTTCTCGACCAGCTAACTAGGTAACTGCCTTCCTTCATTTCATTCATTCCATCTACTCAGAAAGTACCGTATGTCTGTACCTGTATTCAAAAAAGGTAAAGTAAGGTCGTAAGGTACGCATCTCGCTCGTATTTATATCGTAAATTCGTACTCGTGTCGTACCTCCTATTGTACATATTTATGTTATGTTCGTATAGGTTCGTATCTACCTTGTAGTCTTACCTTATACATATGAGGTATAGTACTTATATCGTATTAGATTCATGCACACCTATCACATGTGATATCCATCCCTGACCTATTTACATCGCCGACTGATCATAATATGCTTATATGAGGTACCTATATACATATATGTGCACCTAGGTAGGTAGCCATCATCGGGTAGAGACTGCAGTACTCGCTTCTTCCTTCTTGTTTTCCTCTGGCCTCTTCATCATTCATTGCTTCTTCTCACACCAATCCCTCAAAAACCAAAGCTTTTGTATTCCTCACAAAATGAGTCAGTGAGAACAAACCAAAAAACACATCCACATCCACATCCACATTTACATCTACATCATCCACCAAAACCCAACAGTAGCATCACAACATCAACATCAACATCACCACATGACCAAATTTCTGTCGTTCAAAAAGTCGTTCCAAGATAAAAAAAAGATCTAACCTACCTGTTTCCTCTCCAACCTCTCCCTAAACGCCTCCAATCTCACCGCACACGCTCTCCCCTGCTCATCCACCTCAAACACGACCTGTCCCAGAGGAATATTCGCCAGCGTAAAATCATCAATATCCAACCACGTCTGACAAGGCCAATACCAATCGTTCGCTTCTCCATCTTGCTCCTCCGTGCCCGTCTGGGGGTATTGTTGAAAGAGAGACGTGAAACCGACTCGTTTTCTGGTCCCATTTCCGCCGGCGTCAATCACATCCGCATAGTTGATCAGATTCGGCAAAATTCTCGTGTCCACTTTGGAAGTATTTCCAAAGATTTGATTGAGGACGTCGAGTCCCTGAGTGGTGTATTCCGTCACTTTCAATCCGGCGTTCTCGTCCGTGACAATGGTAAATGAAGTATTACTGGTACTTCCCACGTACTGTCCCGCGAAATTCTGCTGTGCTTGTAACCGGCTGATTTGATCCAAGACAGGGAGGAGAGTATTTACAATCACATTGGGGAGATCATCTCGTACTTGGCCTCCGGCGCCAGGCGCGGAGCAGGAGGTGAGGAGGGTAAAACCGAAATTGTACGTGGGTATGAGGACGAAGATGGAAGTGTACGGGCCCCAGTAGCCGGACTTGGTGTAGATGTCAATGGTGTATCCGCCCGAACCGGGGAGTCGTCGACGGAAAATCTCCCAGCCGCGACCGACGGCTTGGTCGAGGGAGTTGACGAATGAGGTCGAAGTGAACCAGCGACGCGTGGTGGATGTGGATGTGAGGGTGCTGTTGAGGATGGCTTTGCCTATCAGTGCCAAGTCGTGAACGGTGGAAAAGGCGCCCGCGGCAGGATCTTGGGGACCGAGGACGTTGTTCCAGCTCGTGGCATCGCTGTCCGGGATGACGGATCGGTCGGTGATGTTAGAAGGGTTACCCAGTGTTGTTCCTGTGAGACCAAGAGGTTCGATGAGGCTGGTGGTAAAGATTTCCTCGAGAGGTTTGCCAACGAGATTCGCCAGTGCGGTGCCGAGGAGTGCAAAGTTCGCATTACTGTATAGAGGAGTGTAACCCGGCGGGAAACTGGCGGCCAAGAGCCCACTGCCTCGAGCAGACTGCTCTGGTGTGCACGTCGCGTAGCTGGCATTGACATCCAGATATCCACATGTGGGAACGTCGAATTGAGGTACGCTATAGTCCGACACCTCATTGGGGTCCAACTTCAAGAGTTTTGTCACATAGCCGCCTTGTGGTAACAGGTCGTTCAACCCATATTCTCGGGCGATTCCAGCCAGAAAGGACGCAAGATCGCCAATCGTGATTTCGTCCCACGCAGGCACAGCGTAGTCATACTGAGACCGGTCGATAGCCGCCAACTCGGGAATGTGGTCAGAGACTGGATCATTCCACCGTCGATCACCCTCCTTGATCATCCAGAGGTACACTGTCAAAATCTTCGAGATACTTGCAATGCGAAAGATCGAGTTCGCGTCGACGGAGTGCGTGCCCAGGGTGCTGTTCCGTACCGTGTCGTCGGTATGGTGGTACTCGTATGACAGCGCCTCTTCATCTACGGAGAAGAAGCCGAGGGAGAAGCTGGTCACATTGTAGGGTGAGGTCGTAAGATTCGCTTTGATATGTTCCTCGATTGTCTTGGTGGCATTCTGGAAGAGTGCCTCTTTGGATAAGCCCGTCGGTACGGGAAATTGCTGACCCTTGACAGGGCAGAGCTTCTTCTGGCCTTGCGCTGCTGTGGTCCAGGCCAGCAGCGCTACAGTCAAGCCTGTAAGGGCCAATCTCATAGCGCCCATTTGATATCCTGCTGTCCTGGTAGTCGTCAAGTTACCGCGACGGAGACACCAGCTGGAAAACCAACAGTGAGAGTGCGAGGGAGGACACCATTTTACACCAGTGACCAACGCTCAATCAAAGTATCAAACAAATAACCTGGTAATGCAAGCATCCCAGCAATAGATCCGCCTGTTGCCATTCCGAAAATCTTATCGACACGAGCAGGATTAATCCACAACACGGAAATTGATCGAGTCCAATCGGATTGTGCTAGATCATTTACCAGCCTGTTTCTATACCTACACCGCACGCAAGCGTCGAGGCGAGGAAGCAAAGATCTGCTCTGAGAGTCAAGTCAGGTTTTGGAACGCAGCCATTTCCGAAAGCTTACACAGCCAATCAAACGCGTCTGCTTACTCTCGTGAGCGGTGTGGATGGAAACGCGGTTGATGGACTAGATGTATTGAGTCAGCGGTCGAACAGACTCTCTTGTTTCAGCCTCGGTGTCGCGGGTTCGCCCGAGTTCAAACTGTAGCTGGCAACAAAAGATGGAGTAGTCCATCAGAAATGCAGATGTAGGTAAGTTAGTGGGGGAGAGAGAGAAAGGAAGAGGAGGAGGAAAAGGATGGCACAAGATTGGAGGAAGAAGTCGATATTCGAGATGATCGCGGAGGGCCACTGTGAAGCCACTCACGTGCAGCATTATTCGAAGAATGCCAATTGAGCTGCGCTCCTGGATGGAAGTGCCACACCGTATGCAACAGCGTGGTCGGCGTTGACGGTGTACGCGACAGCGTCGTGCAGAGCTCGCGCTGCAATCAGCAGACGACTTCGATAGTCGTGCAGCGAGCTCGCTTTTGGTCGCGACGACTGCCGAGCTATGGGGCTTGTGTGTGCTTCATCGGTCTACAATTTCTCGTCTCGCGGGAGGTCCTCTGAAGTTCTCCCCGTCATCGTGGTCCCATCATACTTCAACCACCTTTCCTGACACCTCCACTCAACCCTAGCTTCTTCCGCTGATCGTCCACCATCCTCTTCGTCCTCTGCAGAATATCCTGCTTGTCCGCGGCAGCTCGACAATTAGCCGATTCAAACGGCGCGTCCAGAATGACGGCTTCGCTGATGATCATATGCGTGCCCTTTGCGGCGTTGCCGTGCCATCGGACAGGTGTGTTTCTGCGAAGCGATCAGTGTCAGGGAAGCCGTGTCCCAAGAACTAGCCTGTTTCTCCCGATGCTACTCACAGTTTCCGCAGCGCATCGTACAATCTCTGACCATCCTCACTGACTCCTTGCCCAATATGCTGCCTCTCGGCCTTCACCTGCTCGATACGCGTTTCCAGCCGCTTCTCTAAGAAGTTTCTGTCGATCCGCGTAGGCGCCGTCTGTTTCATATAGTCGCTGTTGCCACCTGCTTGGACAGAGAAGGACTGGATGGCGGATATGGGGACGATGTGGTAGTCGCCGGGGACAGAGGAGGGGTTCGTTGAGGGGTTGGGCGGAGGGCTTCGCGAGTTGATAATGACGACTTTGGAGACCGGATCTGCGTTGTAGAGAGTTCCTTTGATCTCCGCGCCGAGAGCGTTGGTGAGACGCACTCTGTCAGACACATGCACACCAGGCAGATGTCAGTGGTGTGTTCGTGGAGCTGCAGCTGCAGCTTGCCAGGGATAGACATAGCAAGTAGAATAGATGCAGAACGAGAGAGGAAAGCCATACTGCCCACCAATTGCCTTCACTGCCGTTTCCAAGACGTCGTCGGTGGCCTTGGGAGTCGCCGCTCTTCCTGCATTGCGCTTGGCTGCGTCGGCCATTGCTCTCTTGTCGCTGGCGAAGATGTGCGGTAGCGGTGGTATTGTCGAAGTCGTGATGTCTGTCGGTGGTGCAAGGTCGACGGAGGGAGGGAGAGGGGGAGAGAGAGGGGGGAGGAAGAGAGGAAGAGACAGACAGAGTGAGAGATGAAGAGGAGAAAGAGAGACAGAGACAGAGTGTGTGTGAGAGAGAGAGGCACAGTCAGAGAGAGCTGGAGGACAGGGCATTGCCGGTGCTACTTTCCACTATCGAACTAGCGTCACAACCGCGCACAGATCAGTCGTTCCTCCGGGGTGCCTTATTAGGTACCTCTTACGTCTCTTAGCTCGCTTTTACATCCTTCACTTCACGAGAATCACGACCACCAGAACCTTGAACATCAGAAAGAAGATTCAAGAAGAAGCGATATTGCAATCAAAAACGTATGGTACGTCAATATCAACTCGCGCTCGCTCAAAAACCACCAATCTGCTCTACCTAGTCTTGATTCCCAGCAGCGAATGACTTTTCGTACCACGCATCCCTCCTGATCTACTCCCCCTCATCCAATCCACGTGTCTCCATGATCAGCACCATTCAACAGTTGAAACAAGGCGACCCCATATCCCACGTTGCTATGGTCGACGTCGTCAGCCCTCTAGGCGTGGTCTTCCTCCGCCCCCAGGATATCCATCTTGGTCAACGGAACCCCTTGCATTCTGAAGAGGCAGTAGGCACTGTTTTGGTGGAAAAAGTAGTCGGGAAGTGCATAGTTCTGAATATATGTCAAAACCCTGAAATTGGCCTGATGTCCACGCAGTGTAACCTTGCATTTGTCATTCTGGAGTGTTGATCATAAGTCAGCACGGCGCCACGATACATGACCATAATACCTTAGGTTTCTTCTGAATGTACTGGGGCAATGGGGCCAACAACATACAGGACCCATAAATAAGCTCTTATTAGCACTATGCAAACGGAGAATCTGAAATTCAAGACGATCGTAGAGCTCTTTCAATGTGCTTTTGTGGAGCAGATCATCTATCAGATAAATCTGCGATTCTCCTCCGATGCGAGAGAGAAGGTTTCCGGCCGTGTTGCTTGCACCAATGATGTAGAATGCTAGGGGCTGGAAGGCATCAAATACTTCGTCAACGCACTTCTGGAAAATGGAGTCAGGTTCTCAATTAGAATCATGACTGACCTTCGCCCCCTGGTAGATGCGAGCATGGAGCATCTCTTCTATACTCCTGTTGTTGTCTTTGGCCCACTGCTCGCCTTTCTTGAGACACCCCAGGAGTCGCTGGAGACTGCGGATCATGATTGGGACCGTGAGGTCGTAGGTGGTAAGCCTGAAATTGGTGGGCGTCGGGTTGCCATAGACCGGGAACTCTCCCATGTGGTGTCCATGGGATGTGGTATCACCGTTAGACGTCGCTTTGCCATTGGTCGTCCCATGGCCATTGCTGGTTCCATGGCCATTGCTGGTTCCATGGCCATTGCTGGTTCCATGACCATTGCTGGTTCCATGGCCATTGCTGGCTCCATGACCATTGCTGGTCCCATGACCATTGCTCGTCCCATGACCATTGCTCGTCCCACAGCCATTGCTCGTCCCATGACCATTTTTCGTTCCCTCGCCATTAGACATCACAGCCTTCTTATCGAACATCAAGACCCCGTCAAAACTCGCCCTCATATCAGTGTCCTCACTGGAGTCACCATCGGACAACGCGGCGCCACTTTCAGAACTCGCATCATACTTGTCCATTCGACTTCCATTGGTTAACGCAGCTAAACCCGACTGTAACGCTTCCTCGGACTGCAGCGCATCTTCCTCGAGCTCTGGGTCCAGCAGACGCGTGGTGCTGATCTGAGGTGGTCCCACCACCAACCTGGCTCCGCCGACTTCACTCGGCTCCATGGGTAGGTATTGCTTGAAGTTTGGACGCATTTGGCAAGCGAATTGTGAGGAATACAGGTTATGATGATACCTGTAAAGTTGCTCAAGGTCAGGTATCTGTGTACCGTAAGGTATGTACCTATGTAAAGATCGGGGATGAGAGTGGGAGTAGAAGTACCTACAGGTAGGTACTTCCCAAGTTTAGGTATGTAGGTACATGTACCTTTGAGGCGTTTGTTGATTCCATGAGGTGGGCATCCATTTCTGCTTTCTGCTTTCTGCTTCCTTCCTACTTCCTGTCACCTGCTTCGAATGGCGAATTCCTCTTCCACACTGCCGATGCTCTTGCTCGACACGTCAAAGTGCAGGCTTCACCAGCACAGGGCAAGAACTTGTTGACCACAATCCTTGGCTGAAGCGCCCTGCCTTCTGAATGACCAACCCGCGTTGGTACACAGGAAGTGGCAAGATAAGAGCCACAGAGCAAAGTGAGTGGAAAGCATGAATGGTGGTAAGCAGCTGCATTGATTATAGTATGTTGTGCATTGCATTGACAGGGAGTGACTCTTATCTGGCAACCATGTACATTGACGAAATCGTCTAGATGATGTACCGATAACCCTTCTGCAGTGCTCGTGCTTCAGCCACTGTGCAGTGCTCCAGCTCAGCTGTCTTCTCGAGCTTCTTGATGTCTCTGGGTGTGAGAGTCATATCCTCATTTTCCATTCTCTCAAGCTGTCTGTTCTGGTATTGCAGATAGAATCTCATGATGATACCGCAGATGCCAGCAATTCCGACAAGAGCAATGTTGATGCCCATGGCAACAATGTAATGGGGACCATCCTCAGATCCGTAAGTGAATGGCGTCCATATGCTTGCGGCGTTTCCAACGCTGTTCATGAATGCCAATGCAGCAGCGCGCTTCGCTGGCGGACGTGGAATGGCGTTGGCAATCCATGCATAGATTGTCCCGTTCATGACGAATATGGCGTTGAGCATGAACAGGCTGAAGTATCGACCTCCAAACGAGTCTGTAAACATGAAGACTAGCGCACCAGCTATCACGATTGGAACCGGATAGATATAGAACCAAAACCGATTGCCCACCTTGTCGGAAGCGAGACCGTGCGAGAGTGACCAGAAGACTGTGAAAATGTAAGGCGGTGCACAGAGCAGCAGAGATCTGACCCGAAGCGTGAAGCCCGTCAGGTTTGGATAGAGAGATGCTGTAAGCGTCGGATAGAAGTTCTGAAATCCGGCTGCTCCAGTGATACCGTGATAGGCCAAAGAGAGAATGTACGTCTTCGGGTCGGTGAAAGCGGCTTTGAGCCCTTGGAGTTGAGACATGCCTCCACCAACATCGACATCAGCTTCACGCGCATCGAGTGCCATTCTGCGATTGGCAACCGCTTTCATCTCCGGAGTAAGCAGTCTCCAGGTATCTGGGAAGTCTGGCAGCAGGAATGCCACCACAAATCCGATAGCGACTGTGATTACGCCTTCAATGACTATGAGACTGTTAGCAACGTATTCGGAACTGCTTGGCGAACGACGTCGACTCACTGTACAGCCATTGCCAAGCCGACAGGCCTCGTGTCCCGTCTAGTCCGTTTAAGATTCCCGCTGCAATCAGATTGCCAAAAGCTCCAGAGATCAGAGATCCAGAGTAGAAGATGGACATGCGCAGATTGAGCTCCTCTTTCGTGTACCACTTCGAGAGGTAGAACAAGACACCAGGGAAGAAGGGCGCTTCAACGACGCCGAGAATGAATCGACATGCAATGATAGCACCAGGGGTTTTGACTAGACAAGTCAGGGTGGAGACCAGACCCCATGAGACGATGAAGAATCCCAGGTACCAGGCCGGCCGGCCGCAGTAATTGAGGAGCAGATTGGATGGAACTTGCATGAGAACCTGTGCACAGAGGTCAGTTCTTGGTGGTGCATGCATTGATTTATGGAAACTTGACACACATAGCCAACAAACAATATACTCAAGCCCAGTTGGTACTCGGTATCACTCATACCCAGATCCTCCATCAGTCCTTGAAGTTTGGCTGCAGCGTAGTTGTTGCGATCAATGTAGTTCATCAGATACACCAGTACGACCAACGGCATGATCAAGGTGTCAATCTTCCTCCTGAGCTTTTTCTCGATGACCTTCTCTTCCGGCGTTAACACGCCGAAATGCATGGCCTCCTCTTTGCCGAGGTCGGCATCCTCGTGCAATGCCTCCTTGTGCAGGATGTCGTTCTTTTCCATACTTGATGAGTCGGCCATGGTCGCGGCCTGAATGGGGTTCGGAGTCGAGCTCCGGATACGGGCTGTATCTCCTGCAGGGAGGGTGAAGTAAGTGCACGAAGCGGGTGTGGAAGGGGGCGTGAGAGCGAAGCACAGAGCTGCACCAGGGTTTTATACCTCGACGCCAGGTCACATCACGGTACGCCAAGCGGTATGTTGTGTCTGATGTACAAAAGTAGAAGAGGGGAAGTTGTAATTGATCGGCATGGTGGACCGTGAGACCGTGACCAACAACAGTCGGCAAGTCTCGAGAGCGCGCCCTGCACAAAGTAGTGAAGTGACCCCAGCGTTGGTATGAAGGCGCGTGGCGAGCTCGCCGCACGCCGCACGCCGCAATACCAATACCTACCTTGCCTACTGGTCTTGAGTCCTCCAGCATTCATCCAGCGAGGTGTGGTTCAGGCTCAATGATCAGCAACCTGGCCAGCCGAGATCGGACCCAAGCAGTGGGCATGCGATTCGGATGCGCCTCGCTGGAATAAGCGAAGAGTGAAGTAGGTAGGAGGTGCTTAGTGTGTGACTGTGTGTGTGTGTGTGCTCGCGTAGAGTTGATCTAGCCGCTGTCAGTGAAGCTGGGAAGTCTTTTGATTGGTGTGCGAAGACATGTCCAGCAGTGCCAAGTCGCAACAAGACCGAGAGTGACACCGGCTCCACGTTCCCCAGCTCTCCGCGGGAGCGCCTCCGTACTGCTTGCTCTCACTGGCCTAGCAGGCTGGCACAACATGGCGCGGGGATGTGGAGTGCATCTGGGGCGCGGCAGCACATTTTCCTTGGCCTTGGCTCTGTGAAGACTGTGGATGACACTGCATACCAGTGCATGGCTGGCACGAGGTTGGCGACGATCGCATGAAACCAGACGAATCCAGGCCAGAAAAACACTTGGAACTGCTCCTCTTCCAGAGCCGCCAAGTACGATGAATGTGGGTTCAACGGAAGATATTCCGGAAATGGTATACACCCAAGGACTCGGTAAGGAGGCACGGTATTTCAGTGGTGTTGGCCACACTTTTCCTTCGTAGCTGAAGAACGAGCGATTGTCGACCAGTGCATCAACTTTGATATATCATGTCTACCTTATGGTTTGCAAGAACGAATTCAAGGTGTACTTTAGGAGGTACTGTACCATGCAACGGCTCTGATGCTTAACTCTTACTAAGCATCTCACCGCCAACCGCTGGACGGGACTCGGGAGCGGCAAGAACAACGTGATCGTGCAAGCTAGCCGCTTTCGCTCATCCGGATGCCGACAGCCTCGGCCCATGGTGCGGTCAGCCAGTGATGGCGAGGTGATTTGTCTTCTTCCCATCGCTGGAATCACCCTCCAACAACAGAATACACCTACGATTGTGGTATTCCGCCTACACAGACCGAAGCCCACATCGACAACATACACGCCATTGCGCAGCGAAGACCCCTACGATACCACCACTACCACCAATCCAAAATGTCGAAACAATTCACGGCAAACGAAGTCAAGGAGCAGGGCTCGGTAGAGAAGGGTCTACACATCATCATCGACAACAACGTATACAAGCTAGACACCTTTGTGGATGAGCATCCCGGCGGCGCAAAGATCCTCAAGCGCGTGGGTGGCAAGGACGCAAGCAAGCAGTTCTGGAAGGTAAGTAACAAGCAACAAGCAAGGAGAGAAACAACGGGAGACACAGCACAGTTCCTGAGTTCCGTCCGTAGGTATGCGGCAAAACGGCTTGATGCTAATTCAATTGGACGTGCGAATGTAGTACCACAACGAAAGCGTCCTGAAGAAATATGGAGGCAAGCTAAAAGTGGGAGAGGTGAAGGAGGCCGCTAAGCTATGAAGAACGGAAGGTACATCTTAGAGAACACAATGATACCCTTTACGACCTGCCACGCACGCTACGATTTGGCATAAGCATATATAAGATACACTTTGGGTTGTGCTTTTTGGATTATGGCGATATCTCCCTACATCCTTCGAAAGACTTCAATGGAGCGGATGAGACTGTTTGGGACCAACGTACGTGCATTTGACATGATAAGGTACCGAGCTGAAATTACCTTATGTAGCTAGAGATGGGCGTTATCAAGTCGTAAGGAAATGACCAATATCCGAATGTTCTTCTACTATACTAGTCTCGCGAGCACAACTGGTGTGTTCTTTCGTATCATTGTTCCGACCTACCTTACTTATGTTATTCACGATCGGTTATCCGTCCTTTTTAATCAATCCTAGGGCACCTCTTTATCAAAACGACTGTGTTTCTCCTATAGCTCGCTTTTCCCCTTTTCCTTGAGTGACCTCAAGGATAGGCACTATATCTTAGATGCAGGAAACATGCTGCGTCTGTCCGTTCGTATTATAGGAAGAAGAGTACCTACAGGTATATAGTAGTATAGAGGCGAGTAATATAAGTTAAGTAAGTAGTAGGGTATATACCCCATCATTCGATACCAGCTACGCATTCATTAGACCCGCTATAGCTGACTGCTGTTACTTACATGTTCCTTACGGCTCTGCATTCCATCGGATTCTCAATTGCGTGCTTGCTTGATATAATACCTAGCTAGGTAACTTGAGTGTAGGAAACCCGGGATATATATCTATCGATTTGCATATGCGTTCCTAGGGCGTCATTAGCAAATACCTTGGGTATGTACAGTATATGCAGTCAGTATACATATCACTCACTCACTGTACAAAGAAGTGATATCAGCCTAGTTACCTTTGATGGACTTACTACGACGCGTGCTTTCTACTTGTTGGTTCTTCGCTGTCAGTCAGAAGCTCTCTAGCTACGAACCGGCATGTTCGGTATTCGGACGGCCAGAGATCTCACTGGGTATATCAAGCAAGGCAGCGAATAAATCTTGCAGCTCTCGCTCTCTCATATACGTTGTTACAGTTCAGCTGGTCTAGATCGTCAATGGCTAACAGCAACTGTATCGAGGTGCTTGATAACCGATTTGATAGAGCGAAGTGACTGGATTTCTTCTTTTGTCGACGCATTCGAAAGGCGGCTCATCTGACGACCATCAGCGAAGGTGTTCCCGCTCTAGTGGTACTCATTCTAGCAAGTTGCATTCGAGTCGTGTGGTAACGCTTGTACGATGCTGTATCTGTGTGATTTCTCGAGATGACACTGTTGAATGCCGTAGCAACATCGGAAGCATACCTACCTTACCTGACATGTACTAGTAAGATATGCTGAGCATACATGTATGTCAGCGTCAATCTGCCAACTTGCAAGTACATGTACATACACCCAGGCTCCTTCTTGTTAAACCAACGTCATGGTGATGGACATGTACATGTATGGAGCTGCCTACATGTTCATGCACGTCCTGGATCACTTGAACGTCATGAATCCGATAGAAACTGGAATGCTTTCCAGAAGTCCTGGGTGGCACAGCATTCTAGAGGGGAAAAATATACCGAGAACTGGAGGGTAGTGCTCGTGAAACCGGCTTGTGGACAGTTTCGAAAGGATGCGCTCCTCTTACCTATTTGGTGTCCAGTAACCCTATTCAGTGATGGTAGATTGGCAATCCGCCACTCGTTGTGGCCAATGGCTATCTATCGTCGAACCCCTAAAGATGCGTTGGCGCGAAGAGTTCGCTTGCGTGAGCGGAGCCAGAGGAATACCGTGATGGATTACCCCGAGTGCGATAACAAGGCAGGTGTCACAGAACCGAGGATACATCGGCGTGCGTTTTCATAATATATGTTTCTCCTGTTTCTGGTCTGACGAGATCCGATGCCGCGGTCTCACCAGATTCGACGCGGCAGATGGAAGGAAACCGAGCGACTGGTATGGGATGTTGTTCATGGTCGGCACATCTGGGAGATGGTGTGCGGCAGTGGATAGTCTGCCATGTCCACGCGGTGAGGGTGTGGTGTGTGATGGCCCGGATGTGGACACGAGAGTCAGTGGGAAAGTTGGATATACTGTAGGTGGCTGTAGGCTGTACATAGCTGTCCTCCGAATCACATGCATCCGATCGGGTTGTTATAGAAGATGTGGAAGGAGCTTGGGGCCGGGGGCGTCCGGTTGCTCATCTGCGCGCGCAGTCAAAAGAGGTGTGTTCTTGGCGTTCACATGCAACAATTTCGCATGTGGAGCCTGAACGTGGTCTGTGGATGTGGTTGAGAGCTTCCGGCCCTGGGACGTGTTTATGCAGGCCCAGTCATTGGCAGTGCGACGGTTGTGCGGTCAGGTATCTCTGTGGACTGTAAGAGCCTAGGAGGTACAACGTATCTCTGTCCCTCTGTCACTATGTATCTCTGCGATAATGCGACCCAGTCATGCCCACCGGCTGCAAGGTGTGCGCGTTCCATGGCGATTGAGATGGAGCACAGTCCGACGGCGGCTCTCGACCAACTCCAGCACGTCGTGGAGAAACCGCCCGGCGGAAGGTAGGAACCTGGAGGTAGGCTATGCGGACAGCCGATGGCCATGTTCACAGCATCCAGTATTTACTACAGACTACCTCCACCTTACCTCCTAAAAGTGCAACTCGCAGGGCTTCCAGGTGTGCGGCTCCTCTACGCGCTCTATCAGTACTACTGTTCTAGTGTACACAGGCGAGTCGCCGATTGGAGCGAGGCGGGTTGAGAGTGGATCCAACGGCCGCGCTATTACACCCTGCACATACAGTCGTTACAAGCGAAGTGTATAGCGCGCTCATATCCCTGCAACCCTACATAGATATTGATCGTATTGACTAGAACTTTCTAGGCATATCAAGTTGTATCGACTAGACTAGGGTTAGCTGTTTGGCATCTTACCTAAGATTTATTATCTTAGAAAGGGAGCTACTAGGCTAGATAAAGCTTAGTACTCGTACAAGCCGTAGGGTCTAGAGAGCTGTAGATTTCGATTGTTTTCTAAGCAATTATAAGTCAATCTTGATTAAGTTAGATTGATGTAAGTACATGGATCCCCTGTATGCACTTCGCTTGTAACGACTGTACATGTACACGGGTACGGGTAGGTCTTTCACATGCAAGTGACGTTTGCCCTCTCACATTCATCATTGATGCGAACCTGAATAGAGCAGCACTTCTGTCGAGAGAGAGTGGGAGAGGCAGGGCAGGGCAGGGCAGGGCAGATATAGAGAGAGTAGGTACCCGCGCACACCTTCCCAACGTTTCTTGCTTTCTTCTGCTCTGCCTCTCACTCCGATCTGTTTCTGCATTCCGCTGCATTCTTCCATCTGGTCCCCCTTGACAGGTCAGCCCACCACACTTTCCAACCCGCAATTGAACCTTTCTTGCGCGCACCCAGGCCACGGCAGTAGCATCCATTAGTCGGATACACCCATCCCAATTTGTCAATTGTACGTCGCGAGCAGGGCAGGGCAGGGCAGCAGCGACCCGCAGGCAACGCGACGAGAGGTAGTCACGATGGACCACTGACCGCGGATGTGACAGGCAAGCAAGCAAAGCAGGGCAGGCGCAACTGTCACCTCTTACCTCTCGCACACCACACCACATACTGATTTGGCAGTCACCGCACCAAACGTAAGTCTGCAACCCGCCCAACCAGCAAGCACCGCCCCGTCACACCCCACGAAGCTTCCTCCCCAGTGTCCCAGTGGCCCAGTGGCCGCGTCTCACACACGCATCGAGATTTGCTGCGATAACAGGCTCTGTCACATCCATCTTCGTCTGACTGGCTGGTCTCACCCTTCTGCTGCTCCCGTCTGCACCGACTTTGAGCCATTGTTGGGCCCTCAACGCCTGCTTCTGACACTAATACCGTCCAGCAGTCCCGTCACCACCATCATGCCTCACGCTACCGATACCCTGACCAACGGCGACAAGCCGCAGTCCAAGTTCCTCTCCCATCTCACCTCGTACCCAGCTGTCCACGACGGTATTGAGACCTACAAGACCAATCCATATGGCAAGAAGTCGCTGGAACTCGCCGATGGCGCATACGCTCGCTTCGGCAAGCCAGTCGAGCCATACCTCCAGAAGCCGTATGGCTACGCAGCGCCCTACGTGCAGAAGGTGGATGAGCTGGCCGATTCGGGCTTGAGCAAGGTCGAGACGCAGTTCCCCATCGTCAAGCAGGACACCAGCACTCTCGTCGACACTGCCAAGGGCTATGCCTTCTGGCCATACAACTACCTGACTGGCACGTGGAACGGTGAGTCGTACGGCTCTATAAGTGTAGTCTGCATCCAGTTGACTGACATTGCATCAGACGAGTACACCAAGACTGCCAACCACAACAACCGTGGCGCAGGCGTTAGTACCGCTGTCATGGCCCTGATCAGCACCAACCTCAAGATCGCTGCCGACGTCTTCCAGATCCTTGCAGATACGCTGGGTCCCAGGTATGCGCCCATCGTAGCTTGATGAAATAAGTAAGTATGATGCTGACGCGCCTTCCAGGTACGAAGAGGGCAAGAAGAAGTCTGCCGACTATGTGCGAAATGCTCAAGATCACCTTAATGGCGTGAAGGAGGACGCCGGCGACAAGCTCGACACGTACTCGAAGCAAGGCAAAGAGAAGGTAGAAGAAGCAAAGAAGGTCGGCGAGGAGAAGAAAGACCAAGCCAAAGACCAAGCGAAGCAGACCAAGGATGAGGCTAAGAAGCAGGCGAACAAGTAGAGTCCAATGACCGAGACGAGCTGAAATGTCTTTTGAACCGATGGCTGATTATGTTTCGCAAAGGCGCAAGAGGAGTGCCCTACTCGACAAAGTATAGAGACGGGCCTGGGGCACTCACAACAAAATGCTGGATGCTATCTGCTGAGTAGTGGCGCGGTGATTAGCGCCTGATGGCTCTCTAATCTTCTTGGTTCGAATTTGCACCGAGAGCTGTGAGTGATTTCAGGAGTCTGAATGCTTGGGATCCTGTTCACTGTTCGTTACGAGCGCCTGTAGCGAATACCACAATGTAGTTTTTAGGAAGAGATACATTCTTCACGAATGAGAGATGAATAGAAATGGCAGTTATATGTAACTTCAACTTTCAGTTATTACTCTCTCTGATGCAGGCTACCTACCTAAGGTACCAGGTACCGTATCTATTATCTTTTGGGTAGGTAGGTATGCTTGGTACCTACGTTACTTGTATCCTGCAGCCATTGGTGGACTACATGTACCTCTTACATACCTAGGTACAGTAACGGTATCCGACGGACGCATCGAATCTCGATGATTCGGCTTCACGGTACGTGGTCCTACCTACATACCTACCTCCTAGACTCCTAGACTCCTAGTGGGTAAAATCGTTGTTATCTGAGAGTACATACCTTAGTTAGGTATGTATCTACATGTACCCAAGGTACTCGACCCACTTCTTCACATGCATGCCCAAATTTCTAGACAACTTAGTCACGCTAAACCCTACTACATACTTGGCACTATCCATGGATACCTACCTACCTCCTACCTCCTAGGAGTATTTGTTATCTATACCCACCTAACTTGCCTACCTGACCTAACTTAGGAGGTAGGAGGTAGGAGGTACAGGTACAGGTACATGTAAGTAAGGTACCTACCTGAGGTGGATCCGCATGTTGAGGGCTTTCTCTCTCTCTCACACACACACACATGGCTGTAGAGAGAAAAAAAAAAGAGATGGTAATCGGTGGCGCAAAATTGCCCATTATTCGCCTTGCCACGAAACGGGCTGATTTCCACCACCAGCACTGCCCTTTGTGAGCTGCTATCTGGACCTGATCCCTATCAAAAGAAAACGAATTGACGCAGAGGAAGACCAGGTTCTGCCCTGCTCCAGAATGTCCTTGTCGCTCCTCCTGCGAAGCCATAGATATTGTATAATCATCACTCGTTCTTCCTTGGACTCTCTTTCAAGTCATGTATTATCCTGCACCTGTGTGCGACTCGATGCCACTCTCTTCATTCTTGTCTCTGGGATTTCAAATATTCTGCCCTACCAGCCCAATCGGTCTGAAGCTGCGCCCGCAAGATTCTTGGCGTCGTAACCGGCAGGGACGTAGCCGCTCTGCGATATGCCGCCGAGGAGGAGGAAGATGGTAACGAGGACGAGGCCGAAAACGATAAGCTTTCGAAGTGCTGGGTGCTTGACACCGTAGTCTGCCCAGGCGCGTTGTGCGCCACCCAAGTGCTCCTACGAGATGGTTAGAACAAGACTCGACTGGATTCTTCACTGTTCCAGACATACCTTGAGCTTATCAGCCCCAAGCTTGTAGTAGACCAGACCGCCGAGAGCAATGGAGTAGCCGAAGGCCTGTAGACCAGATACAGGGTCTCGGAAGATCATCATGGAAGCACCAACGAGGAGGATATCCTTGAGAACACCAGACAGAGTCATGACGAGAGACGAGGTTTTGCCGATCTGGAGGGGTTTTCATCAGTATCGCAACGCGGGCGCAGGTAGAAAATTGAACCTACCAGGAACACTACAGATACGTTCAAGAGGAAGGCAATCATGGCGTTGACGACCAAAGTGAAGTATCCCACCTTCGCCACTTCTGCAAGGGTCAATCTTGGTACCTCGATAACCAGGGCAACCAGACCGTTCATGATGGCACAAGCGGGGGCGAAGTAGTAGAGCGAGACCAGAGGGTCCATCTTGAATTCGGCACTGCTCAGCAGACGCTGGACCATGACCAAGCGAGTAGCCTCAAACACGATGCCTCCGACCTGGTAGAGGAAACCGGTCATGTTGAACTGGATCTCTCCATACGAAGCAATGACGACACCAATGACAATGAATGAGACGTTCCCGAGGGTCTTGAGGTTGACAGGCGCAACACCAAAGATCCAGGAGGCGATGAGAACGGCGACGGGAGTGGTGGCCTGGAGCACGTTAGTTGTGTCCGGACCGAAATGCCTTCATACACGGCGCTGACATGTCATTCATACCTTGAGCATCTGAATGAAGGAGACGGAGAGGTACAGATAGGTCAGGTTACCGCAAATGAGCGACAGGGAGAACATGAGACCAATGGGCACAATGGCGCGCAAGTAGATCTTCCCGGTCATGGGCACCTTCTTCCGCGAGTCCAGCACATGTGTGGTGCGGGCCAGGATCTGGGTCATCAGCGTGGCGAAGGCCAGATGCCATGTGGTGAGCACAATGGGATATCTGAAGCCGGCGGTGTCGAGAATCCATTTATTGAAGATGATGACACTCGACGAGAGCGAGATCCAGGTCGCGATGTAGAAGGCGGGGTGGAGTCCGGCCTTGGGCGTTTGGCTCGTCTCTGCTTCGGGGTTGACAGTGGGCAGGACGTCTGTCGGCCGCTCCTGCTCGCCCGACTGCCGTTCCTTCTCGGCCATTGTGATGATGTGTAGAGGTGGTGTTGTTACTGTTTTATTATTGCGGAAGCTGCCTTTTTTTCGACCTGCTGCCCTGTGCGCGTATAATCTCGTGCGCTCGCGCTCTCGATCGCTTCGGCGGCGGCGGTGACTTGTGTCTGTATTCGTCGGAGGTGGGCAGTGAGTGTGTCAAGGTGGCACTGCAAAGGAAAAAAGGAAGGAAGCAGACAGGGAGGGAATGATGGAATGAGGGAATGAAGGGAGAAAGGAAGAAAGAAAGGACGGAAGTCGTGGCCAGGCGCAGACGCGGTAGGAGGTGGTCAGTTCAGGTATGGTATGCAGAGTCGGGGACGTGAGCTGAAGTGGAAGACAAGAATCCCTAAAAGATGTGAAAGACGTGAGTGAGAGCGCGCGACGCAGGGTCATCGTCTGTACAGCTTGCCTCAGCATACAATTTGGTCCAATGGGCGACGGGCTCCGACGCGACGTGCTCCGGCCAAGCGTCTTCTATCCCTTGTCGATGTCGATGTAGGTCCGCAGGAGGAGTTCGGTTAATACCTGGTAATTCTTTATTATTATTACCAGCGAGTGCGACAACGCGCGTTCCTGAACATGATCTCCATCACTCCCCCACACCAACATCATCAACAGGAACGTTCATCAGAGCACGCAGTCGGGGGAATGGCCGCTGTTGCAACGGCATGGCCGAGGAGGAATGCTGACAGTTGCACTTCAGCTTGCGCCCTCGCAGCAGCATCCACCAGTTAGTTTTGTTAGTTCTCGAACTACTTGACACAGTACCTCCATACCGTACCTAGTAGTGCACACATACCTCACACACATAGGAGGTACACTCAGTGAACAGCTGTGCTACGGTAGGAGGTAGGCATTCATTCTTCTACTGGCCATGGGCGGCGCCACATCAGCTCAAACACGTGTGGATGAAGACGATGCTGGCTGGTTCCCGTCTTTGCCCCGTCGTCTGTTCGCTTTCTCGCCCCTGGAGTTGGACCACTGCCCGTGCAATGGTTGAATGGACTTGAACTACCGGGATAGACTAAAAAGCGGCGTGGTGGACGACCTCCTCCTCCTCCTCCTCCATCCTCTTCGCCATCATCTTCAGACGGACGGATGTGGTGCTGTCCCCAGTCCGTTCGCGCCGCGTCATCGGGCCCATCTGCCATATTAGAGAATTGCTCCTGCGCGACCGTCGTCGACAATGCTGCTACTGAATTGTGATGTCTATTGTCTACCATTGGCTGCCCGTGAGGATCTCCGGGGGGTCGAAGGGGGGGAACAGTTTAGTTTCGGATCGGAGGCGCTCACTTCGGCGGCGGGGCTATGGGCAGCCCTTGGATTCGTCTAACCGTAGCCCTAGACGTAACACACCTCGACATCTCGTTATCGACGTAATATACTCCGCTGCCTGAGGCGGCAGGCCCGCCTCTATATCGCTACTACTACCGCTGCCACTGTCGCAAGTCTCGCCGTCGCGACTCCCGTCTCCTTTACGAATCTGCCTTTACCCCTTCAAAATAGGTACGATTATTAATCGCGAGCGTACGATACGTATACCTATATATAAGATAATCGGCTTCTACGAGTAGCGAGGCAGATTCGTAGGGGAGAGTCGTAATAGTAGTAGCGACGTAGCGTCGCTGCGACACAGAGGTAGCGAACTTCGAAGTATTTTACGTCGATAACAAGAAGTGGACTTAGCGGAGCTGCGGAGGTAGGTATATTACGTACTGTCTGGGTGAGTTACGTCTAGGGCTGCGGTTAGA